TTATTGTCAAAATAAAAATATTTTACTATTGAGCAAAATTCCGTTTTTGACAAACCTTGTACACAACTAAAAGTTAATATCTGATGGTTACATTTAAGTCATATAATATGGTCACATAAGACCATACACAAGATGACATGGATGTCACCAGATGGAACCACGACCAATCAAATCGACCATGTGCTGATAGACAAAGGAGCAGCCAGTAGTATCTCAGATGTGAGAACACGACGTTGTGGATCAGACCATCGTTTACTCCAAACTAAATTTAGATGCAGAGTTAACAAAGAAAGAAACGAAAGACAACAAAGAACAAACAAGCTGGACCTGGAAAAACTGAAGATTCAGGAGTGTAAAGAGAAGTTCGGGGAAGGGGTCGCAAATGAGTTAAGGATGCTAGAACTGCACTACATAAGAGGGCAAGTGGAATAATATCAAAACAGCAGTACTTACAGCAGCAGCGTCTACCCTGGGAAACAAGAAAAAGGCGAGAAGAGGAGCATGGTTTTTCACACAGACCGGACAGACTTTTTCAAAATTTCGCAGGGATTAAAGCAGGGAGATGGGCTTTCCCGACTTTGTTTAATCTGACAATGGAGTATGCGGTTAGGTAAATGCAAACTGAACAAGGAAACCTACTGACCAACCGAACGGTTTAACTGGCCGCTTATGCCGATCATGTTAAAATTATACGTAGAACATCAATAGGAGCACAGGAAATATACGTAGAGTTAAAAACGCAAAAAAAGGCTAGGTCTGGAAATAAACAAAAAAGAACAAAAATAATGATACAGACAAGAAGAAATATAGTTTCACAAAACATTATACATGAAGATGACATTGAAACTGTTGGAAAGTTTGCATACCTTGTAACATTTTTTATAATTAATATATTAAATTATTTTAAATTCCTTTTAACCCCGTGATAATACGCTGATGGTTGTGTTTACGATCATTTATTGTGAAAATACCGAATTATGACTGAAGAATCTACCTACCTATTTATTTAAAGACGTCGGTTTGGCTAATTCTTAGTTAATCCTTTTCCGGGTTCTTTTTCATAAATTCGGTAATTGTCGTCGAACGCCCGTTGTAATGTTTTTCGGGAAAAACCTAATCTAGAAGGCCCTAACCTTGTCGGCTCCTGACAAGTTCCCTGATAAAATAGTAACTCTGAATATTTGCTTTTTACCTTTAATTATTATTATACCTTCGACCAGTAGAAAGATCAGGCTGATTAAGTTACTGTAGGTAAGTAAGTGTAATACCTAATATATTTATTATTTGTTTATATAATGTGTTGACCAAATTTATTTGATAATTAACTGTTGGTATCTTTCCTTGGGTTTTGATCTCTGAACCTAAATATCTTTCCTTATCTCTTTTCTTTTCTAAGGTTTCTTAATTTTCTCCTTAACCCCAAAAAATTGAGTGGCGCCCTGTTTCTATCTTATCGTATCTTTGGTAATTTTACCCATCTATCTTTTTGTTTATTTCTGTATCTTTTCTAATATCTCTTATCCTATCTTTACCTATTTCTTCCGTTGGATCCATTCCCGGTTCCAAAAGCTAGTTTCGAACCCACGACTCGCTCTCCACCAACCATCTGGCTGCCGTCCGCAGTGTCTCCATTGTTGACCTTTCTAGCACCATCCAAAAAAAAGGTTTCCGAAGTTACAACCTGGGAGTATAAATATGTGCCGACGGATCAGAAAATGAGGAAATACGGAAGAGAATAACGCAGGCAAAGATTATTTTGCCCTCTCCTATTTATTTCGGTCTAAAATCTATAAAACCGCTAAGCTTTGCTTCAATAACTATTTTTTCAATTTGTAATAATTCTATATTGTAGGAAATTTAATCGCTTAACTTTTTTTGTCTTCAAAAAATTTTTGTGAAGAAGTGCTTATTTAGATTAAGATAAAGTGAGAAGTAAGATAAAGTCGCTTTTGCGTGTGTACCATAAGTTGGGGCTACTTTGGTCATGTGTCTATCTTGGGACAAATTGCATAATATATTTTTGTTATTTAGTGTGGCACCTATGTTTCCAGTATTACATCTTCTAAACACGTGAATGTGACGTAAATAAACTGGTGATTTCATTAACTATATTAGCTGGTTGTTAGTAGCGAAGGTAAGTTTACAATATTTAATATAATATGAAGCATTAACACAACCTAAATTCATCTATCTTTATCTCTGTACTTGGTTATATTTGGGCAATTATATTATTTGTGCGTTAGTCATAGCCTTACTTTTTACCAGACCATATGTCCTAGTGAGATAAGTGTTGCTTCCTATTTCTGTAAAACAAAATAAACATAAAAGTAATACATTGGTGGGGTAACTTGGGACAACTGTCTCATGTAGCTCCACACGTAATGTTATAAAGTAAATATTAGTTATTTTTCTTTATCTTTTTTTTTTCAGATATAGATATGGTGCGCAAGTATATAAGAAAAGTTGGTGCACGTAAATACCAGGATTACACACAAATCCAATTAGATGAAGCTATATCAGAAGTAGTAAATAATGTGTTGTCGATGCGAAAAGCATCTGAAAAATTTGGTATATCAAAATCAACAATTAACAGAGCGGTTCGTGGCCAAAACAGAGGAAAGGTTGGAAAACCATTTGTACTCTCAGAGGAAGATCAAATGAAATTAGCACAATGTTTGTGCATGGCTGGTGACTGGGGGTTTCCCTTAACAATTCATGATATTAGACTCATCGTTAAGTGTTTTCTCGATCGTTCAGGTAGGACAGTAAAAATATTCAAAAATAACCTTCCTGGCAAAGAATTTGTAATTTCATTTTTGCAAAGGCATAAGCAAATTCTTACAAACAAATTTTGCCAAAATGTTAAGAGATCGAGGGCAATGGTTGATATTATAAATGAGAACATTGATGAACTCCAGGTAATTCTGGATGGTGTTGATGCAAACTACGATGAGACGATGATCACAGATCACATTCTCAGATGATCCAGGAAGGAAAAAGGTTGTAGTTAGACGAAGGTGCAGACACCCTGAGAGAATTATTGACACCAGTAAGTCAAGCACATCTGTGATATTCAGTGGTACTGTTGATGGAACGAAGTTACCACTTTATATAGTTTACAAGTCTAAAAATCTATACAACACTTGGACGGAGAATGATCCTAAGGGTACAATGTATAACCGATCCAAAAGTGGTTGGTTTAATCTAGAAATATTTGAAGACTGGTTTCCGTCGCCCTCCCTTATTTTAGGAAATTCCGCAATGATTTGATTAAAGTAATAATTGGCGACAACCTGTCAAGTCATATATCACCTTAGATTATTAAAGAATGCAAAGAAAGGAACATCAAATTTGTTCTCCTCCCTGCTAATAGTACTGGTTTAACACAACCTCTTGATGTGGCCTTATTTCGGTTTTTGAAGATGAAGTGGCGTGAAACTCTTGATGAGGGGAAGAGCGAAAACCGAGGTACCGTTCCAAAGGATAAGTTTCCACGGTTACTAAAAAAATGCCTCGACAATATTGGTGTTGAAAATATCTCCAAAAATATTATGAGGTGGTTTTAGAGGAGCAGGAATTTTTCTCTCGATTGGAATCAAGTGATCAAGAGACTTTCTTCTGCAATGAAAATCCCTCAATCTGATAATAATTCACAGACTAACAGTCTGGAGTGGGTTCAGACATTTAAGACCTATTTGTAAGAAAGTAGGAGAAAGGAAATCCAATCTTCAAGAAAAATAAGGAAAAAGAAAGTTATTGTTCGTGCTAGAAGAGGGGTAGAGTGTATTGAAGGAGAAGTGATGGAACATGACCAACTTGCTATTGCTACGACTTTTAAATCTATCCAAAACCGACACTTAAGGGACAATTGAGACTCAACCGATGAAGATGATTCAAATTATTCATTAAGAGACTCATGCACTGAACTCATTCTCAGTGATATAACAAATGAAGATTAGTTTGATGTAATACCAGTAAGTAATGTGCAAGAATGTGCAACGTCAACTCCACTTCGGATACCGAAGCCTATACATCCCATAACAATTGATAAAATTGAAAAGGATATGTTTGTCATTGCTAATTTGGTATTTGATGCTAGATCAAATTAAAAGACTGCTAAGCAAGTTTATGAAAAAGTGCAGGGAAAATTTGATGATAAAATAAATGTAAAGTTCCTAAGAAAGAGTTCAAAATCAGTCGGGAAGTTGTATATTTTTCCCAATGTTGTTAATGGAATGGACATTAATTTGGAATCAATAATAATGATGGTGACACCAACAAATGTAAGGAGAGGAAGATACACATTTCTTTACGAAATTTCAGCTTAATTTGTAACAGTTTTATTATGATCACACAGAGATCTCATTTCTTATCTACATAGGGTGCCATTTTCTTTATTATGTAGATTTAAAAAATCTATTTTCAACTTAGATGTGTTACTTACCTTACTTATCATTAAAAATGTCGTTTTTTACCTTTTTTGTGGATTACTTGTACCACATCTTCTTTTAACTAAGTTTTTACATGGATTTTAGTGTTGTCCCATGTTACCCCATATATAATTCAATTACCCCATTATATAATTATATATAGTTACATATAATTTGAAAGTACAAGTGTAGGTACTTCCAAGTTTTAAACGTGTTTTTTTTTTTTGAAAGAGTTGTTGGTTATTCAGTGGTTAATTGTTAAAATTGTTAAAAAATGTTAAAATTTTTCCCAAGTAGCCTCAAATTACGGTATCTAACAAAATTTTAACCCCACGTGTCATAGCCTTTAATAAATCATCTTCGTATATTTTAACTGTATACTTTAGGACTTGTGTGTTTTTTCCAAGAAATTATTTAAAAAAAACTAATTTGACATCCTCAAAACAATATCGTACACCTATCAATCATATTTCACCGACCTCCTTCTTCGAGCCGGTCCTGCTAACTACTTGGTAATCCAGCGGCCAGCAAGTATTTCCAAATCAATTACATATTTCAGTAGCAATCGTCCAGCAATCTCGCGAAGAGCGCGAACACGAAAAAACGATTTTATTGAAAATTTCCAGCTCGAAAATGAGCCACCGATTCCGAAAGAAAGCCTCGTTGATCGTTTCCTATCGGCCTGCCTGGTGTTTTGTGAAAGTGCCAGTGAAAATTCGACGGAAAACGTAGATGTGGAAAATATTGTTTTGGGGAATCATCATTTCTTTGGAATGCCAGGTAAGCTGTGTTTATATATATTTAATGGGTTATTTATTATTTATTTTTCTTTTGTTTATGTAAACATCGGTAGCTAAGGAGATTTTAATAAGTAACTTGTTGATTGTAATACAAATCAATACGTGGAAAAATTTCAAATAATATTTTTTTTGACGCCATTGTATGATCTAGTTCTCTAAATCAGAACAATATACCAACATTATTTAAATTATGTTTCAAGTAACATTATTACACAGGACAATATTTTTATTTTCATGAAAAAGTGTTTTAAGTATATGTCCTAAAGTAAATGGGATGTGCAGATCACAATTCTGTACTTAGTTTTTTTTTCCAGCACGTCAGATTTTCAAGAAAAGTGTGTTTAAAATTTTTCATAGAAACTGCCCAAATACTGAGAAAATGTTTATTGAAATCTTATTTAATATAAAATTACACTGCAAAATTAAGTTGTTTAAAAAAATGAATTCAGTATAACTTACGTTAGACAATATTTGTTGTTTTTTTTAATAAAACCGTTCTTTTTGCATAAAAACTGCATTTTGTGGTCTTCTTTTTATGGATTTTTGTGATAGAATCTTTCTTCAAAGTTAAGCAGTAATCAGCCATCATTCTTATATCCCATCTTCCTTGGTAACCTCTTTCCATCTTCTTTATATATTGATGGAACCTTTCTTCAGCTCTTCGCTGACAACTCTAAGATTTTCGGGAAAATAGTTAACGTGGTAATCCAAAATATTAAGTTTGAAGACCATATTGCATCTCAGTTTTTTATAATCTTCGACCATGTTAGCTACAATTTCTTTATAGTCTGGAGACTTGTTGTTTCCAAGGAAACAACAAGTTTTTGCTTGTTTATGCTTCATATTCATCCTGTGTCATTATATTCTGAAATAATCTGTCCGATTTTAAGGTTCGAATTTAAGGGGCCTACAAAAATTCCTTCATTAAGTTTAGCTTCAGAAAGTGCAGGAAATTTGTCGCACAGATATTTAAAGCAGTCACATTGTTTATCTAAAGATTTGACAAACTACTTCATTAATCCTAACTTTAAGTGAAGAGGGGGCGAAAGAAAAAATAAAAAACATGGATACTATGTGAATCCAGACTGCTGAACCAAAAGCATGGATATTATTTTGAGATCTCCACAGAATTGCCAACAATATTCGCTATACTTTCTTTCAGATTCACTGAGTGAGCAACAGGCACTGAGGCACAAGTATTACCATTGTGCAACAATAACACTCTTCAGACATTTTTTAGAAGAATCATTAAATAACTGCCATGATGTGAAATCGTAATTATCAGCTCCCATTTCATGACTACTTCAGAAATATTATCACAATACACCCGTAAGCTCTCTTGAAAAAAATATTTCGCGAACATTTTTTCACGAGCCAATTTTTACCTGGAGCCAATAGATTTTTATCTTTCAGTCGTGATCGTAAGATTTGTACAGCATCCTTCAATAGGCCCAATTCTGTCACTAAGTTATTTTAGTTCAGCTTTTAAGGTTGATCTATCTCAGGATTGAATTCATCTTCATCGGTTTTTTCGTCTGAACTTTCATCTGATGATTGCTGTTGGATGGTGTGAAAAAAAACTTGGAGGATTCCTAGTTCATGTGATACAGATCGTTTAGCAGAAGGTAAATCAGGATATTGAATTTGGTATGAATTTTTTGAATTGAAACCCTTGATATCTCAGCAGCAAAAGTAGCAGTCGTCATGGTTTTTTGGTTCCCTCCATACCATAGGAATGATGAAGGGTAAAGAGTTACATGTACCTTTTGTCCGTTTTCTCAGTAGTGCGACACACTGAAAACACACTTTGTGTAGAGCTCAAGGATTGTCCTGATTACCAAACTTTACAAGCACCAATAAGGTACTTGTTTGCGCTAGTATATAATATCTCACAAGGTTTTTTCAATTTTGTGAAAATTTTGACGGGATGGACAGTGTTGCCATTCAAAAACATAATAATGTATTAAAATATTTTCTATCGATCTATCAAGTATTTTAAAGAACTAATTTTAATGTAGTTTACGAAATATCAACAAGGTATTTGTTTGCAATAGTACAAAATATCTTACTAAGTATTTTTTTTATTTTGTGAAAAATTTTGACGTGATGGAATTCGTATTCAGAATCAGTGTACCCGTATTAGCTAAGGACACATGTCAAACTCAAAACACCAAAAACCATGTCGGTCTGTGTTATTAAAGTCTTTATAAAGTAAAAATTACCTGTCCTGTTCAAAATGATCTTTCGGAAAAAAAAAATTTCAATTAAATTCGATTTTGGTAAAAAATTATCCTATATGAATTTCAAATAATCTTATTTACAGAAAAGAACAAAAAATATTAAATTAAGGACACACATATAATCGTTTTTCTTCTACAATTAGGTTCCGAGGCAGGTGCGTTCAGCTGTTAATGAATTTTTTCCATTTTCTGTCCTTAGAATAGAATAGAGTTATGCTTTATTGTCACTGAAAATTGTACAATTTAGAGGACAAAGCTTACAAAAAGACAGAAAAATAATAATAACAATTTAAAATTTAGTAAAACTACATAAATCATCACTATCACAAAATAAAAGATAATAAAATACACAATCCATTGCAATTTGCCTAAGAAAACCTTACGAACTAATAAGTTGCTGCATGTGATACCCAAATATGTATAAAAATTCTTTGGTTACTTGTACATAAACGTACTGTAATTTCTTAGTTATTGGTTAAGAAACTCTTCCACTGAATAATATGGTCTCGTGTTATAAGAAAGAAGATGGTAAACATTTAATCAAATCAAAAGCTCTGTTCGAAAGATTTAACATTGACTTTAAAGGTCCAATACCCAGTTCTTCTAGAAATTCTTATATGCTTACAATCATTGACAAATATTCAAGATTTCCATGGGCTTTTCCATGCTCAAATACATCTAGTCAGACAGTAATTGAATGTTTGAATCAACTATTTTGTTTATATGGAGAGCCGGCAAATTATTTACACTCTAAAGGAATATCTTCAAGTAGAACTATAAATATAACTATGTACAATATGGTCAAATCGAAAGATACAATGGAGTTATATGGAAAGCGGTGAATCTAGTATTGAAAACAAAAATTAAGACTAAATGGGAAACTGTTCTACCAGATGCTCTGCCCTCCATACGGAGTTTACTGTGTACAGCAATAAATTATCCACCCATGAACGTTTGTTTACTTATCAACGAAGATCAACTAGCGAATATTATATTCCTTCATGGCTTTAAGATTCAGAAAAAGTATTACTAAGAAAATTTGTACCAAGAAATAAGTTTGATCGTTTACTTAGTGGTTTATCTTTTAGAAGCCAATTCGGATTACGCCTTAATACAGTATCCAAATGGAAGGAAAAGTACAGTTGTAATGAATCATTTAGCTCCTAGGTGACCTAAAATTATTGACACAATAACGATGAAGATGAAAATGAAAGTTCAAATAATTAGAGAATTATACTTCCTCTTCTGAACATGCCCCATCCCTAAGGACATTGGCGATCATCATGTCCCATTTGACTCTATCTGCAGCCATTTTGAAAAGTTCTATGGACGTTTTCCCACTCCATTGTCTTAATTTCTTCAACCAGGACGTGCGTCTTCTCTCCCGTCCTTTTTTGCCTTCCACCTTCCCTTGTATGACCAGCCGCATTAATTCGTATTTCTCGTTTCTTAGTATGTGACCAAAGTAGCTCATTTTTCTTTTCTTTATAGTGTTGAGTATTTCTTTATTTTTTTTTTTTTTTTTCATTCTTCGTGGCGTTTCCGCATTTGTTATGTATTATGTCCAAGATATTTTCCACATTCTTCGATAACACCACATTTCAAAGTTAATGAGTCTTTTCTCTGTCGCCTATGTATTTCAGAATTCCACTAGTGAATCAATACCAGATGAGACAGAAAATTTACCTGTTCAAGAACCGAATCAACTGATGATAATCATGACCTTAGATTGGAAAATTCAGATTTTCAATCTAGCCTTAAATCACCTAAGTAAAACCTAAATATTTGCAAGATTTTGTTGAAAAATAGGACCGGGTGAATGCAATATTATAGCTCATTTTTCTCATAGCTATGCATCCGAAACGTGGACCTTAAAGAAAGCGGATAAAAATAAACTGGACGCTTCTGAAATGTGGGTATACCGCCGCATGTTGAGAATATCCTGGATTGATCATGGCACTAACGTATCGATACTAGAACAACTTAAAGTAAAGGATAGATTGCTTAACCAAATACAACAGAGATATTTGCAGTATTTTGGACACATTGCTAGAAAACAGGCACGATGGAAAAACTGATAGTCGAGGGTAGAGTTGAAGGAAAAAGACGTAGGGGAAGATCTCCAAGCCGTTGGGTAGTTGGGTAGCCGTAAACAAAAACATTGATTAACCAAGGGTTACATGAAGCCGAACAACTAGCCCAGGATAGAGAAGGATGGAGGAATATCGTAAAAAAAACTGTGAATGCCTGATGGTGTCACCACATCCTAAAAGGGATTAGGACTGAAGAGGAGGAGGAATGTAATATAATTAAGTGATCTTAGTGTTGTGATAGTGTTCTTACTCTTATGGCAGTTGTAAGAATTTAAATAATTGTTTTGTAATTCTAATGTCAAGTTTTATGCGAATAAAAGCCTAATTCTGCAAAAAGGTACTTAACTACACAGTACTTGGTTTTATTGATTAAATAAAACAAAAAAAATCAGTATAAATGAAGCATATAAGATGAGTTATGTTGGATGAAAACAGCGATGTCACAAAATTAATTAAAAAAACAAATTTTCTTATAACGTAAGCGTCAAGGTTCAAAGATCAATTTTCCATCGTAGTATAAAAAAGTATAAAAAAAATCCTTTTTTTGTATTAAATGCATTTACAGTAAGCTTACAAGCAAACAATTTAATTGGGTATTTTTAAAAACACCCAATTACTGCAACTATCTTCACTTATTATTTGATCAATTTTTATTAATTATTTCTACGAAAAAAAATCAAGAAGCATTTAAAGCTTATTAAAAATTTATTATATTTTTTCTATAACTTATTTAATTGCATGAAAAACATTTTTTTTATCTATTTAGAATTTTTATAAATAAGTAACAAAAGGGTAGTCTTTATGTGGAAATCCATCATACACCAAGTGTAATCGTGTCAAGAGATGTTAAATTTTTGGAACGACTGATTGTCAGGAACGAGTTTAATTGTCTCTACAAGATAATACCTCTCTATTTATCCTATAAAATTCTAAAAATGGCAATGATGATATAGCTAATTGTCAATTAAAACAAAATAAAATCGATGATGAAAGAATGTTGAAGAAGATGATGAAGAAGAATCTGTAGATGAAGATGAAGTCACAGAAGTAGGAAGATTTTTTTTGCTTATTGGCTTTGGCTTCAAAACTTTTGGATAGAAAGATGTAACCTAAGAAATCGTGATCAAATTAAATTGCCTTCACATCTCAGCAATTATTATATATTAGTAGCTGAAGATATTCCTTTTTTTATTAAAACACTTAAGAGTTACGAAGAAGCTTTAAACAGTAAAGAAAGATCGGACTGGATAAAAGCTATGGATTTAGAAATAAACACTCTTAAAGAGAAACAGTACCTGGAAAGTGTTTAAGTTATCAAATAACGCAAAGGCATTACCATGTAAATGGATGTACAAGCTCAAAACAAATCCTAAGGGTTTCATTGATCATTACTGTGATTATAGGCTTTTCAGTTCAGCGGCTAGATTTTCTACTGTAAGATCAATTTTGAACATGGCAGCAAGTGAAAATATTGTTTTTGCAACAGTTTGAAGTTTCGACTGCATTTCTTTATAGAGAGTTGGAAGAGACAATCTTCATGAAACAACCAGATGGCTACAGTCAGGGTCAAGACTGGGATTTTGAAGAATTTTTACAAAAACTAGGATTTAAAATAAGTGAGGCTAATCCATGTTTGTTTGTACGGGACAGAAACAACAAAAGGATAATTATTGCTTTGTACGTTGATGTCGGTTTAGTGGCAGCTTCATGTAATCTAAAGTTTGAAAATTTGATTGAAGAGTTAAAAAAGGAGTTTAAAATAATCTCAAAACCAGCAAGTTACTTTTTGGGCTTAGAAATTAAAAGATCTGATAGGAGAGAAGCTAAAGTTAGTCAAAGTGCGTATGCTAGAAAACTCCTGGATTGTTTTAATTTCTCAAAATGAACCAGTCGTAACACCAAAGAAGAATATTTCCAATAGTAACGTTAAATCAGGGAATGATACCAAACACATGTTTTCTTATAGAGAAGCAGTAAGTGCCCTTACGTATTAAATGGTTTTTACCAGACCCTATCTTGCATTCAATGTTGGATTCCTCCCAAGAACTTTAGAAAATCTTCAGATGAATATGTAGTAAAACTGAAAAGAGTCTTTAGAAACCTTGCAAGTACGATTGACCTAGGAGTCACTTGTCAACCAGGCACATCAACTCAGTTAAGATGTTACAGCAATGGGATATTCCGATCAAAAGATATCGAATTTTTCGATATCTTTATTCGAAATAACTCCATTAAGTCCATAATTAGTAGAATGGAAATCTACAAAAAACAGGTCAGAATTACGGGTTCTTCGCAAAAGTATATTAGAGATAATCTAATTATCTAATTTGTTCATTTTAAGTTGATTAAGAATATAACTGTAATTATAATCTCCTCGTCTTAAATCCATTTTATAACCACATATCCTTAAAAATCTGTTTAAAACTGTTTCTAATTGAGTTTTCTGGGTATTATAAAAAGGACACCATATAATACAGCAGTATTCTATAATTGATCGCACTAGCGAACAATATAATATTTGAAACGTAAAAACTGAAAAGTCCGTTGAATTTCTCTGGATAAATTATAACATTTTACCGGCACGTTAAGTTATGTCATTAATATGATCATTAAAGTTCAGTTTTCTATCCAGTGTTATACCCAAATCTCGTACCAGACGTATCTATTGCAGAACAGTATCATTAAGTGTGAAATTATTTTTAAAAGAAGCCTGCGTTTTACTAAACGTGATTTTAAAACTTTTTTTTAGATTTAAGTTTAAAACATTTACTTTACACCAACGTGAAAAATTATTTAAAGACAACTGCAAACATTCACAATCGGAGAGGCAAGCAGTAGATCTGAAGATTTTTTTGTCATCAGCGAATAAGAGAAATTGGTCGGAGTTAATTACTGTTTGTAAATCACTAACAAATATATTAAAAAACAGTGGACCCAAATGAGAACCTTGTGGAACACCTGATGTTATATGAATTGGTTTTGACAAAAAACTATCATTACTTAATCATTTGAGAACGATTAGACAAATAATGTTTAATCCAATTTGAGATGTTATCGCTAATGCCATACGCATAAAGTTTGGCAATCAAAATCTCATTATTGACTCTATCGAAAGCTTTTGAAAAATCAGCATACACGAGATTTGTAACTGATATTAATATTATGAGTAGAACATCAACAGGAGCACAGGAAGCATACGCAGAGTTAAAAACACAAACGAAAAGGCTAGGTCTGGAAATTAACACAGAAAAAACAAAAATAATGGTACAGACGAGAAGAAATATAATCCACAAAACATTATACATGAAGATGACATTGAAACGGTTGGAAAGTTTACATACCTGGGAGTAGCAATATATGCCGATGGAGCAAAGGATGGAGAAATACGAAAAAGGATAACGCAGGCAAACAAAGCTTATTTTGCCCTCCCCCATATATTTCGGTCTAAAAGTGTCCACCGAAATACAAAGATGAGAATATATAAAACTTTAATTCGGCCAATAGCATGTTATGGCAGCGAAGCATGGGTCCTGAAAGAAACATCCAAAAACAAACTCGACACATTCGAAAGAAAAGTACTGAGGAGAATACTAGGACCTGTGAGGGAAAACGGAATCTTCAGAATTCGATATAACAACGAGCTCTATCAACTGTATAAGGAAACACCCCTGTCAAACTTCATTAGAATACAAAGATTGCAATGGGCCGGACATGTGATACAAATGGGAGAGGATAGGCTACCAAAACGAGCACTGAACGCCAGAATGCAGGGAAAGAGACCAGTTGGAAAGCCAAGAAAGCGCTGGGAAGACACTGTAAGCAGCGACGCACAAGCACTTTTAGGAGTCCGTGTATGGAGAAGAGCAGCCACAGACAGACAAGGGTGGAGGCAAAAAATAAAGGAGGCCAAGGCTAATTTTGGGCTGTAGTGCCGTAGAAGAAGAAGAAGAGATTTGTAACTGTGGATTTACCTTGGCTAAAACCGTGTTATTCACCAATTATTATGTTTTTCAATCAAAACTTAACATTCTATTTACAAAAAAATCTTATAGTTTTGGTAACTCTGACTGTACAAACTGCAAGGCAATTTTCAGCTTTATCTTTCTGAGCAGACTTGAAAATTGGTTTTAAAAATCTAGATTTCCAGAAATCGGAAAGTACACTTTTTGTAACCGAAAACTATTTTGGTTCAGATTTCTGGTTTTATGAAATGAATTTGATGATTCCAATAAATCAATTAACTTACTTGCTTTTTCAATTGGGTTATTATTTCTATCCGCTTTTTTGTTGATAATATCATTAAACTTCGGTAGACAGTCATTACAAAACCATTTACAGTTATCACAATCTTGTTTAATCTTCAAAATATGTTCCTTTACTTTAGCACAATGAAGGTGATAACATTTATTACAAAAATCACAAAATATAAATTGTCAGATCAAGCAACACACGTTTTATCGCTAACAGATATTCTCAAAACTTTTTGTTTAAAATGATCTCAGATACTTTTTTTATTTGAAACATTTTTTCTGTGAGGTAAAGATTCTTGGTAAATTTCCATTTTTCTTCCCATGGGGGGTTTTAGGGGAAGCTCGATGGTAGGAGTGCCAAACTCGTTTTTTGGATCATAAAATTGACATTCTTTGTAAAATTCAGCTTGTTCGTATGATTTTTAGAGGTCCAAAAGACATTTCCAACTGCTACATTGTCACTTTGATTCAGATACAAACCCGTAATGACTGAATTCATATTTTCAGATAACTCTACACTAAACACAACATTCTACAACATCGAAGATCAGGAATCCATCGAAGGCCACGAATCTCCTCTTGTGGACAACGACTCCTTGCAAAACCTTAGCTTCTTCAACAGTTTAAAGACCGTCCAGGAGGTGATAGCGAAGTTATCGAATGCCGAGTGTGTCAGAGATGTGGCGTATGTCCTTCAAGCTTCTAACAAAGGGGAAAGGTGGGCTTACGAGAGTAAGTATTATTTTGTAACGATATGTCTCAACAATTTGAAGTCTCCAAATTGTGTCCAAATTACCTGTAACTATAACCAAACTTTTTAATGTTTATTGTTGTTATTGGATATAGTTTAACTGCCTTGATTGTTGAATTTAAACCTATTCAACTCGAACATGACCTACTGTTTTATTCATATCGCCTAACTAAACACAAAATATATGTTTCGGGGATATCATTTATTGGCAAAAAATACACATTTTATAACATTTATTTGCAACAATTACAAATTTAATTGTCCTGTTCTGCACCAGAACATTATTCATGTGTTTATAATTGGAATATGAGACAACAAATCCACAGCTCTCCTCCTTTGTCTTCTGAAAATCGAACATCACAAAACATGCAATCTGTATCATCGTTTTCTAGACTGTTACTTCTAAATCATCGTCTTCGTCAGCTGGTACAAAATCTTCATCTTCTGGTGAGTCGCTTTCAGGTTTCTTCTGGTTTTTTCCTGACTTTTTGTTTGCTAATTCAGAAGTAGCAAAGACTTTTCTTTTTGCTTTTTCTTTTTCTGCAGCTGCTTTTTTCCAAAGGGAACTCCAACTCTTGTTTGTATAGCGACGAAATTATAATTTTTGATTTAGCAGGCTTTCGGTTGAGACAGGCAGGTTGAGACTCGATGTCTTTTGAAAGATATTTTGCTGATTTTGGTTGTGCATCATTGGGTTCACTATAGTTCTCTAAAGAAGTAGAACCTCATTTCTTTGCTGCTTTATCTTTGTCTATAGTGAAATCTGACTCAGAAAATATGTTTCTATTGAAGGGCCAAATCCATTAGCCTTGAAAAGCGCCCATGAATGTTTCATTTAAGGACTTCATGATCCTTGCTGTCCATGATATTCTCAGCATTCTTCTATAAAGCCACATCTCAAATGCTTCAAGTTTTTAATGTGGTGTCTGTAAGCGTCCATACCTCCGCCCCGTACAACAACACAGAGAAAACATAGCATCTCAAATGTCTCATTTTTGTATCATGGGATATGTTGTGACTTTTGAAGATGGCGCTCATTTTATTAAAGACCGTTCTTGCCTTTCCTATGCGGCACTTTATTTCCTGTACATTGCTCCACTGTTCGTTTATAATAGTTCCCAGGTAGCAATACTGTTTTACTCGCTCTATCTACGTCCCATTAATGTATAGATGAGCCCCGTTTATATTCTCCTTGCTGATAATCATTTGTTTCGTTTTGTGGGTATTAATGTTTAGTACGTACTGTTGACTGTACTCGTTTATTCTGTCCATTAGCCTCTGAAGTTCCTCTAAACTATCTGCTATCACCATGGTGTCGTCGGCATATCTAACATTGTTTACTCTTTCACCATTTAGAATTTATTTATTTAGCGTATGGCTACATCACAGGTTCATATAAATATAAATATATAAATATAAATTATATAAATTACAAAGAACAATAAATATAAAAATATTATTCTACAAACAAACATCTAGATTATAAATATATTCGATTGACTCTTTTGTAGCAGCCAGGAAATCTGAAGGGTTGCCGTTATAGGATCTAATCGGGCATTCCTCTACCATGTGTTTTACTGTTTGCCTTTCGGCGCCGCAGTCGCAATTTGGTGATTGTATTTTTCCCCATCTAAAAAGTGAGTTGGAACATCTGCCACAGTTCGTCCTTATTCTATTGAGTGTGGTCCAAATTTGTCACGGTTGGTTGAAGCCTCAGGTTTGCTTGTAATACATGGCATGTTCCAGTTAGCTGGTGCAGCGTTATTCTCCATTGTTCTCTCCACCGTTCAGTTACATTAAAGTTTTGATCTACTAGCCTTTTTGCTGTTTTTACGGAGCCTATTTATGTCTCTGGCGGAAGTTCCGACATGGGAGCGGAGCTCAGGATCAGTATTGATTTTTGTAAATTCACCATTTAGAAGGATGCCTTCGTCTATTCCGTACAGAACCTCGTTAAAAATTTTCTTTGAGTACATATTAAATATCAACGGCGATAGGATACATTCCTGTCTAACTCCACGTAGTATTTTTATGTGATGTTTCTTCTACGTAAATTTTCATCCAGGTCTGCCTCTTTTAAAATGTTTATCATCTTTTGATGTTGAACTCTGTCAAATGCCTTTTTATAGTCGATCAAGCACGCGTATACGTCGCAGTTAACGTCCCTGCATCTTTGAATCAGTACCTGTACTCCGAAAAGTGTCTCTCTGGTACCCACTGCGTTAATGAAGCCAAACTGTCTGTCCGATATTTGTTCCTCGCACTTCTTATAAATTCTTCCATGGATGACTCTAAGAAACAGTTTCAACATGTCATTAGGCTCATTAGGTCATTGGCTGATTGTTCGATATTCTTCGCACTTTTTAGTCCCCTGTTTTTTAGGTATCGCTATGAGTTCTGATTTTAACCATTTATCAGGGATGATTCCTGTACTCACAAATTATAACCTGAAAACTAACCACGCTATGGAAAATGGTTTACAACTTAGATAACGGGTCCCATACTGGATAGCACCATTGGTATCACAGAATTACTGGGGGCAACATTATATGCAGGGCCCATATCCCGACCATTTCCTCTATCAAATCACTGACGACTGACCTACTACAGCAATAAATGTTAAGATAATCTATTTTCTATTTTAGTGCTAGATTCATTTCCAAAATTCCCTGAAGGCATTCTATATGGCAATTTTTACCAGCTTGGAAATTTCGATGAATGTGTTCGAATCAAAAGAAGCGTCAAAACTGATCGCAAAAATACCAGCGTAGCAGATACTGTCCTGAGAGGACAGTACTGTCTCGTGGATATTCATTTTAGGAGCAAATCAGAACAGACTAATCCGCATATACAAAAAAATGAAAATATGGCGTTAAATGTAAGTAGACATGCAAAAGTTTGTTAGTAGATTATATCAAGTTATAAATAACAATATACTGAGTTGTTTTTATAAACGATTTGTTGTTTTTTAGATAAACAGAGCTCAGTTTAACAACAGCATAGTTCATTGGGCCGTGTGCTTGCCATCAAGTTGTTCGAGTAAGGACACCGAGGTTTTTACGCAGGAAGTATTTGCATCGTCGCTGCCTAATTTCGATGTAGTTTCTGTATACGCAGACCCAAAAAAATGCGAATATCAGAAACCGTTGCCAATTAAAACAGAGGAAATTATTTATGGGTAAGTAAGCACCAAACTACAAAAAATTCCATTTCCAGTAGAAAAAAAAGTATCGCGTAACAAAAACTATCAAACCTTGTGTATGGTTTGGAGACTAATAGGCCGGTCAAATAATATTGTAATATATGTAAAAAGTAAAGTAGTTCGTTTCGGAACGAATCCTTGAATAATTGGAGTTTTGGTATGAAAATGTGGATTTAGTCAAAAGTATCAGTTTAAAATAACGGCGTCATTGTTTAAATATTGATTTTATAGCAAAAATCACCGAAAATTACTACATAGGTACTTATATTTTTTTTCAATACTTATTTCTTTATTAGAAGCTTTTAGTTTTCTTTTCTTGAAAGTTTATGAAAAAACGATTCATTTGAAATCTTTTAAATTAAATTTGGTTGATAATTTATTTAAACATACACGAAAACTACAAAAACTTGTAAGAGCAATAAACATAAAGGTATAAACAATAATAAAAATTACATAAAAATATGTCTTTTAACACCCTTAAGGTACACATAATTTTTTGTTGAAATATATTTAATTTTATTTAAGAGTTATTCCAATTGTTTATTAGAAAGTTGTTTATTTGATAATAAAAAACGCCGTTGTTTCTCATTATTCTTAACTGGAATCTTCATATTCCGAACCAACGGCTTCATCTCAGTCAAATATGACTCCGAAGAACATCAGAAGCCCCGTTAGCTTGGAAAATCCAATTACCATTTTAAGCAACAACAAAAGTGAAGTGGAAAATACAAAAATAGTAACAGACAAGCAGGACATCGAAATTTGCAAATCGAAGAATGCTTTCCATTCTCATATTAACTTCATTAAGAAGGATACTTTGGAAACATCGATAAATCTGGATCCTTTGACGCCACCAAGAGTTAGATTAACCAATAACTCGGATAGTCGATATCTTCTAGCACAATGTTTCCTGGGGGGTCGTCATGAGGTACTAGAGGGTTCGACAAACATTTCCAAAATAAGACAAAAGCACCACTTTGTTAGATCATGTATTTTTATTTTAACAACGCCGTAAATAGAAATTAACAGTTAATTATCAGACGAAATATAAAACTAAATATTAAAGTCCGTAAAAATAAAAGAGTAAAACAAAGTCAAATATTATAATCTTAATGAGAGCTATGCACCTGTTTCTGTGAAACTAATCTTTCAAATCTAGGCTGTGTATTTGAGACACACACAATTATATCATTTTCAAGTATGAGACGATTTCTAACTCTTGTTTTAATGACAGTCATAGACGAGAAACTTAACTCACACAAAATATGATGTTACAAATGGGGGGTATTTCTACATCTTTTCGGTCCAAAATTGGTCCGAGTTCTTGGAAAAAAATTGGAGCTTCAACATTCCATCACTTGATATTTCAATAATTTCAATAAGTTTTTTCTTTCATGTTTATTTGTATTTCAACATGCTGAAAGGAATCGGCTAAAAACGGATTTAGTATCCATCTGCAACTGTCGTAACTGTTCTGAATTTCTTCGGGGAAATAATCACAGAGCTGTTGTTTTAAATTGAGCAAATTAACATGCATGTCAGCAAAAACTTGTTCAAAATTTGTAGCACTGTAATTGGATACATTTTCCATAATTTCCTGAAGGCACTGGAATGAATCGAGTTGTTTTTTGCCAAGTGAGGTCGACTATACATCGATTTTTCTTAGAAACGCCTTCATTTTATCTCTGGCTGTAATTATATTAATGTCGCGACCTTATAAATTACTATTCAAAATATTTAATTGCTCGAAAATATTAGCAAGGAAACCTAGTTTCAGAAGCCAAATAGGATCGGAAAATTGATTTTCATCTGGGGACTGCTCATCTTTCAAATACATTAAAAGCTCTGCTCTTAAGTGAAATACTCTTTTTAAGACGTTGTCCTTGAAAGCTACCCTACTTCAGTGTGATAGAGAAGATTTTCAAATAAAGCAGCCATGTTTTCGCAAATTTTTCTAAAAATACGGGTCTGCAAATGTTTCCTTTAATGGAATTTACAACTTTAATGATGGACGCAAGAGCTTCTCGATGTAACAAACAATGTTTCTATTTGGCATTAGGCATTATTTCTTGTAATTTTACGACAACGCCAGATTTATATCCTGTCATAGCTTTAGCGTCATGTGTGCATATAGCAATACATTTACCCCAGTCAATATCATATTTACTTGTACGTTTCACAAAAGTGTCGAGTAAACATTTTCCAGTGGTATTGATCTCCAATGGGGAACAAAATAAAATAGCTTCTTGAATGCTATTATTTGTATCATATCTTTCAAACATTATGAATTGGGCACAGTTAGATATATCTGTGGATTCTTCCATTTGGAGAGATAAGTACATGCATTTATTAGGACTTTCCACAACTTGCGCTTGAATATCTTCTGCCATATCAGTAATTCTTCTTTGGATAGTATTATTTGACAGAAGTATTGTATTTAATTTTGCAGCCTCTCTTTCCCCACACATTATATGTACCATTTCAACAGCTGCTGGAAAAATCAGATTTTCAGCAATTGTGTGCGGATTACTAGTTTTGTCAACACGATAAGCAACTTTATAACTTGCTATAATGCTTTTTCATTAGTAATGGTTGCCAAGGGAAAACTGTCTTGCTGTTTGTGAAGGACGTTCAGCTTTCTTTCAAAGAATTCTACGGGATTGTCTTTTTTATCTGGATGTTTGCTATTTAAATGTCGAAGTAACTTTGATGGCTTCATGCTTTCTTCTCGCAAGATCACAAATAACACATTGTGATTTATTGGAAATAACGGTAAAACCATATTTAAGATATCCATCAATGTAGAATCTGTTTTTCTTTTTATTGCTGCTACTGCCACTTTAAGACGTAGATATTTCTGCACTTCTTTTTAAAAACTTATCCATAATTTCTAATTTATCGTAGACGTAAATACGTAAACGGGAATACGTAAGTCGTAAAATATTTACTCATTACTCAACACCGCGTTCACCACCATAGGCTGTTTGGATTCGAACTGAGGTTTCGTTGCGCATCGCCGATTATATAAAGCCAAAATGAGGGCTACGAGAACGTTCCAGAGTGCCATCTAGTAGTGAGTGCTTTCGTGATTATCATGGAAGAGTTTTGCGATGTAGACACAAGCTAATATGTCGCGGTGTACAATGTGCAGTCGACTTCTTATTATTTATTTTTATTGTAAATGCTATTCTGGCAGAAGTACCTACTACTAATTACTAGTGTGACAGATCGCAATCATTAAAATAATTGTATTAAAATAAAATAATTGTTTTTGATTTAAACTTAAACAGTAAAGTAAAATTAAATTTGAGAAACCATTAGATAATTGTAAATTAGGCACGCTATTTCTGTCAAATAATATTGGATAAGTGAGTGGGGGGAAATTGGGGAGTCGCGAACAAATTTTTTAGCAAAAAGTGGTCGCGGTTTAAATAAGTTTGGGAAACTCTGTTCTAGCAATATTAAGGAAACCGGATATCTTAAAAGTCATTAAGCTACATCTTGCTCTTCTACATGAATAACCTGCTTCAGTATATTACGAAGGATTCACCAACATAAGCATTAAACTCTTTTTGGCTTCTGAAGGACTTCTGACTAAAACTAAAGATCTACGAAAAAACCTTCTAGAATTTAACTATTGCATTTTTCATATAAAAACGCTTGCACGTCATTCAAGATTTACGACGTCAGAAACCCACGGCGTTGCCAAAACATAGAATGCCAAACAGCATAGTAAGTAAGTGAGGAATTTCTAAAATGTCAACTATTTGTCAAACTACTATATTAACAGTAAATACATTTAGTTTTAAGACTACTGCAACATACTAAAATACATAAAACATTTTAATACAAAATTATATATTCTAAATTTTAAACTTACCTCTTTTGGGGGTTTAATAGTAAATCCCACCCTTATTTCTTGTTCAAAAGAATCTATCTTATATGAAAGCTTATCAGCTTTCATGCTTATTATGTGAATATATATAATCCTTATCTAAGAATTTAACGAGCAATTAAAACTACTCCTAGTAAAAAACTGTGGAGTCATTTTAGTGTGGTTGTGCCGAAAAAAAAATTTTAAACAAAAAGAAGAAAAGGACGCCAATGAAATTAAAATCAAAGAAGCTTTATTAAAAAACACAAGCTAATTTTTATTTTTACGTAAAATTTTAATAGATTTAATTTGTTGTTTGCCTCGAATTAAAAAAACTGTTATATGTTAATGTTAATAATAGTTATTATTTAATTTACATGATTTATACGATATAATACGCTCAATGCTATCAAGCAGATTTAAAAAATAGGAAGACTAACTAATCGGCAAATTTTTGCGTTTAAAATGAAAAAGATCGACATGTGTGAACTAATATTAGACTTAAACCTGTTTTTTACCAAATGAAAACAACTTTAAATACATATCGACGGTTTATAAAGATACCGAAAAAAAATTATGAAAAATCTTCAAATTCAGTAAAAAATTTGCAGTTGCGTCGTTATCTCATTAAACATGTACCGTTATGATAACAAAAGTTTTGCCCATTGCCGACTTAACTTACAGTTTCCCTATGTTATTTTAATGGCAATTAAAAATAATATCCGAAATTGTTTCTTAGGCTTCTTACACGAACTCAAAATTAATTTTTTTTTTAAATTGCAGAAGCTTTCTCGTAAGGTGACCACGGAAGGCTTTTTAGATAATATATTAAGTCTTTTAAGAGTAGTGAGTAGACCTGCAGAGTATTACATAACCCCATAAATAGAGGGAAAAAACGAAAAAATAAGTTCTATAAGAAATTTATTTAGTATATTGGTAACACTAGTAACTAACCTAAGTTTGTTAACACTAAGCAAAACTAAGACTTAAACAAAAACATTTTCAGGAACAAAATTTAAACTGCTTAAGCTTACTTAACAAAAATTAACAAATCATAAGTTTTCATAAAAAACTCTATACACTTCAGGAATTACACCCCTATCTATTAAATTAATTAGGGCCTTTACTTTACTTCCCTTAACTTTAATTTTTTTAGTGTAAAGAGCCGGTACCTCCTCATTGATAGCAGTAGAAGTTAAAGGTCGCCAATTTTCCCTTTCCCATTCAGAACCATGGTTAGTTTTGAAGTAAATTGTCTGCGGTTCATTTTTATTCACTTTTAGCATAGATGTTTGGCTACTTTTAAAATCATTAAGCTTCACTGCTGGTAACATTTTAAAATTTTTGAAGTCTTTGAATGACATTTCAACCACTTTATAGGGACTGGTTTTTCTAGCTGCTCTTATGAGCTGTATGTATTGTTGTGGCAAATAAATAGGGCCAGCTTCTAGAGCCTTTTTAATTGTCCTTTCGATACATGCATGGACGGCATCACCTTCATTCTGAGTATGCCCCGTTACTAAAAATTTATGAGTAATACTGGATATATAGTCGAATTTCTTAAGAGCATGATAGTACATTCGACGTACATATTGGTTCTTTTGTTGCCCCGCACAATTGTCAGAATAAAAAATTATATCCAAAGGTTTTTTAATTTTTAGCGAATAGTCTTTCAAACTTTCTAAATATTTCCAAAGGCATGAAGCAATTTCACATGCTCCTCTCTTCCCATCTGTTTCTGTCCATGTGTAACAATAAGTCTCCATATTTTTTATGTTACAAACAGTCAAATCATACATCGCTACTTTTGAGATGTAATAAAAAGATGATATTTCACCCTGTGAGAAAGGCAAGACTGCCTGCAGGTCGTAAACAGAGACAACTGTTGATTCTGGTGTTTCCTTTTTGTCCGTGTCTTTGCCTAATCTGGCAAGATCTTTTTCTAAAATATGATTTTCGTATTCTATTTCAATATCTTTTTTCTTGTCTTGTGGTGTATTTTTATAGATGACACAATGGTCACATTGATCTTTTTTCGGTTTGTAAAAGCTGATGTTATAGGTCTGAAATATTTTATAATATTGGTGATAAGACAAAACTTTTTCCCCTGAGGATTGGTTATATTTTGCATAGTCTCTGTGCAAATCTGCAACTGTCTTGCCCCCCTCTATATACTCTCTAGAGGTTTCCTTTCGACAATAGTGGCTTTCCACTCTTGGAATGCTATTTATATGCTTGCGCACATTCTCAATATCTTTTTTAGGTATTAAGTTTTTTCTGTCAGGAATTTTGCATCCTCTTTTCTCTCCTGCTAAAACTCCTGTATTTTTGTCAACCTTGGAAAAGGTTGTTCTCAAGCACCTGTCGGTTACGTCCAGAGTATTTAAAAAAAAAATCTTGCAAACTCTGATTTTTTCTCCTTCAGAAGTGTTTAAAAAAAACATGTGGTTAAGTGACCTATTTATTTTTGGGTTCTGCACTACCCTCCGGTACTTCGGATTTAAACTTGTGGTATTGTTGTGTATAAATGCCCTCTGGGCTTGTAAATTTCCCATAGCCCAGTACTCGTCAAATAACAGCTGCCTCTGTGAATTGTCAAATTTTTCCGAACATTTTAATACACATTTTTCCCCACATGCCGGTTTTAGTACCCTCTTTCTTACATGATTTTTTTTTCTGGGGGTTATATAATCCAAGCCAAGGTTCCTCCTTTTTTTCGCGATGGCCTGAGCTGAGCCTTGTCCCTTTCTTTTCTTCTTAATCTTATTTTCTGGGGAGGCCTTGGAGGGTAAATGAAATTGTTCAGCTGAAATCTTCAAATCAATAGGCCTAATTTCACCACCATCTTTAGTTTCATAATTTCTAGTAGAAAGTACGGAATAAACCTTACTACTTACGGAAATATCTAAAATATCATTAACAGTCTTTTTATTCTCTTGGTTTCCATCGTTTTCGGCATTGACCTCAGATGCTGGCTTCAATTCTAGGTACGTCAAATTTTCTGTTTCCATTTCTGGTTCTGGATCAGCTACGGGGACTAACGGTACAGGATTTGGAAGAGCAGCAACCCACTCTGATGTACCTAAAAAATATTAAATGATTATTGGTTCTGGAATAATTGATAGTATTTATTACTTACGTTTTTGAAATTCTGAAGTGGATTCTGCTGAATTATTGATTGAAACCTCCCATACTTCTGAATCTATAGAAGAGTCATTATTATTTTTCCCATTTCTTGTGGAGTCTGGTAAAATTTTTTGTTTCGCCAATTTGAATATAAGTTTACTTCGACTATTCATTTTGATACCTACAACACCAAAAATAAAAATTGGTTTTACAGTTTATAATGGTATTAGTATATTTCAATGTCTACTACATTAAATTTTAAAATATTTATTTTAAAAACAAAGCCTGAAATTTATTTAAATTTAATAAAGAAACTACCTCTCAGCAGTATACGCCACTATTTTAGATAATCAAAATAACACTAACTCGCTCTGTTTTAACTCGTTACTGACTTATCTGCATGAAATTCAATTACATTCAAAAATCATTGTAATTAAAAGAGTACTCTTTAAAAATATTGTGACCCAACTGTAAAAAAGATCATTATATTTTCAATAGGAACGCTAAAAAATACAGTGAGTTTTAAAAATATAGTGACGCATTTACAAGAAGTGTAAAATATTTTAATAAGAACGTTAAAAACTATAGCGAATTTAAATATTTAGTGACGCATCTGCAATGAGAGTCATTCTATTTAAATTAAAGCGTTAAACAGCAGAGGAATTTTTAAAAATGTAGTGACGCTTCGACCAATATAACATTTTACTCACCAAAATCTATTACCTTCCTCACTGAAGATTTATGCACGACTGACGGAAGGTATGACGTGACACTATCTTCTGCACAAAATGGCTCAGATTCGCGCCAAAATTTAACACGCCTAAATTTTCAACGCCTCCTATTAGTACATTTTCAAAGTAACAGAAGTGTCGCTATCATATAAAAATAGAGCAAAAAATTAGGAAAATTTTGATACCAAAAACTCAAAAATCGATTTTTTGCAGATACGTCGGTATCTTTATAAACCGTCGATATTTATTTTGCTTTTCCTTTTCTTTTATTATTATTAGTAGAAAATTTTATAAAATGATAGGTAACTTATTATTTATAACTCTAATATCTTTTAAAAATATATTTTACAAAAAAATTTTTTATTTGAAAATAAAATCTATACGTGTTATTTTTTTTTGAATAATACTTAAGGTCAGTAGGGGTAATGGGGGACATATACCTCAATTTCAAATATATTAAGATGTTTTGGGGACAACTGGTGTGATTCAATTTTTCGTATATTTTTATGTGATCGAGGAGAGACAATCCTTCAAGAAATTATGAATTTCAACATATATTTGTGTAAAGCAAGTACTCTATAATTTTTTTTAAATCTAAAGTCAAATATCCTCATTTGCCCCAATCTACAGGGTAAATGAAAACGACAATTTGTTCCCAATTTAACTCACCTATAAAATAAAATGGGCAAATGAAGACAAAATATTATCATGTAATGCATATAAAAAAATAATAAAATCGATAATTTCTCTTACCAGTTTATTCAAAAATTAAACGGTACATTGTGAACTAAATCATTAACTAAATTTAAAATGAACAAATTAAACAAAAACGATACTGTTTGTGAGAAATCTTCGACTCTTTCCAAGCTTGTTCAATGTCCTTAATAGAAGGGTATATAATGTTACGGGATTTTTGGCTTCTGGAAATCCTCCATTATAATTGATTCTACCGCTACATTATCAATCTTCAGATGCATTGGCCATCTAAAAGGACTTCCTAGTCGATCTAAAAATGTCATTTTCACTTCTTTATCGGAAACAATTTCTGATATCAGACCAACGTACCATGTTTTCCAAGTTCAAATATAAATACTTCATTTGGAGTACCAGAAATCGAATTCACTACGAATATAGGCCATGATGAACGGCATTTGAAGTGCAATTTTTAGACTCCCTTGCCGATTCATTCATCAAGCTGTTTGCTTCGCAAGTTTTAGGGAGCACGGCGGCTTATATTTGAATTCGATTTCGCCAGGTAGAAATCGTATGATTTCTCTTTTTGTTCTTATACCAATCTTAACTGGGTTTATTTTGCTTGAAAGGAGTGGAAATGTTTGTATCTTGACAATAACTTTGAACGAAAGATAATAATTCTTCTTTATCCATGGGATAACCAAAGTCGGCTCTCGCTTAAATTAGCTGTTCTAGTTGACCCTCGACTTTTTTTGGAAGGGCATTTTTAGGAACTCCATAATATTCTGCAGCAGACCGATAAGAACGGTTGTGGTCTTTGACGTCGTATACGGCAGCTTTTACTTTTTCTGCCATGTAGGTTTTCTCTGGTCTTTATTTAATATCTTTTTTTACCATATTGCAATTTATTTTAACCTGTAACGAAAAAATGAGTATCAACTAGAAACCAAGTATCTTTATAATAGTAAATAGGGGTAATTGGGGACGCGTCCTCATTTACCTCTTGTACATATTATTTTGGGGTAATTGTGGACACACAAAATAAATATCTCACAAAGGTTTGCAGTTAAATCAAGTATTAAAAAAATGTTCTACTTAATCAATTAAAGCCAACTGTGATGAGAAAGCTTTTATTAACGATTTTATTTTCGATGCCCTCATTTGCTTCTGTCCACATTTACCCTGATTGACCTTATTATTTTTACATTATCTTAATCTTACTTAATTTTTTTTTGTGTACCGGTGTTGAAATGTATGTTACTTCTCGTAGTGTAATCCTGAGCAAATAATGAGGATGTAAAATAATATGGAAAAATCATAAAATTCTATTCTTTCAGCGTGATTGTCGGACTCTTCCTCATGCTCACCGTTCTTGCCACTATCCTACATTGCTGGTTCCTTAAGCAAATCAGGAAAACCACGGTCTACAACGTCGATGCCCTTCGACAACAACGATCGAACAAAATTAAGGAGGCCTTCGTCTGTTTTTCTCTAATAAACACCACACAGAGGTTTTTCCACACAAAACCCAGCGACTTGAACCTCGAATCGATCTGTGGTATTAAGTTCCTGTCTATGGTGATCATCATCGGAGGGCATTCTTTGATATTTTTCTTCGGAGGACCGATCGCCAATACCAACTTCTTTCTAGAGGTGAGTATTGTGTTACAATAATAAAATACAACAGTTATATACATGTGTAAATCTTTTTTGATGTTGCTAGAAAGGTCACCAATGGATACACTACGAACGGCAGATATATGCTTGAACAATAGGCGAAAATTAAACAATTACTCTAAAATAGCAAAAAAAAATAAAAAAAACTCTTTGTAACCAACAAAAAACAAACTGGCACTGTCGTTTATCAAATAAAACTTGAATTGTGTTTAAGCAAAAATAGCTGAGAAAGGTATTAAACTGAAGTTCTAGTAGTCGTCTTTAATTACTCTGGAATTCTAGTAATTAAACAGGTGACCAAGATATGATCTTTATTTGTCAAAGATCCAGCAACTCTTAAGCTTTTCAAAAGAAATATAATTGGATAACTTACAGATCTTAATGTCTGACTGCTCTTTGAAAACTCACTGACTCTGATAAAAAATTCAACTATTACTAAGAATAACTATATATTTATCTTAGCGAGGAATTGGATATTACTATTACTATTACTATATATCTCTAAATAGAAATAATTATACCAAGATTTTATAACTTAGATCAAAATCGAACTCGCGAGAGTAAGGTAGATCTTTTCTTGACGTACCATACCAGAAATCTTTGTCCTTCCTTACGGAAATTACCAGTTTTCCTTAGAAAGTGCCAGTGACATATGGTCAAATTTTCTATAATTACTAAAATTATTAGCTATATTAGAAGCCATATTTGGAATGCAGTACAGATAAGATAGGCAATGTATTTCGTACGGCCGACCACGTTGGTTTTCGCCATTCTGTTCTTTGCCTTGCTTTGTTTTTCCAGTTGGTAATCCTAAGTGTTTTCAGATCTTGTTCCACTTGTTTCATTGTTGTACCTATACCATTCCCAAATTTTGGATCCCTTTTCTTTTTTAATGTTTAAGATCTTATTCTACTTTCCACTGCACTTCCACTTTCCACTTTTCTGCTGCATACGTTTATTAAGTCTGAGTGATGTCTAGAGTCTAGAGTCAATAATAACATGATCGATCATGTTTACTGTAGCCCTATCTGGACATCTCCACGTTCCCATATGAATATTTTTCGTTGAAAGCATGTGCTGGCAATGACCATGTTAAGGGAAGTTGCTAGATTTATTAGTCTGATGCCATTGTCATTGGATACCTCATAAAAGCTGTTGGTAGCTTACCTATAGTTGGTAGGTATTGTTGCTCTTCTGCTATTTTTGCGTTGAGATCACCATAAATAATTTTGATGTCATTCTATATTTCATTGGAGCCAAGTAAGAAACTACTTACAACAACTAAATATAAGAAAGAAGAATGGATGACAGAGGAAATTCTAGAGTTGATGAATGAAAGGAGAAAAAACAAAACCATCAATAAGACGCGCTATAAACAGCTTCAAAACCAAATAAGAAGAAAAATTAGGGAGGCTAAAGAGACCTACTTCTCTGAAAAATGTAAAGAAATAGAAGAACTTCAAAACAGATATGACAACTTCAACCTACATAAAAAAGTCAAAGAACTAGCCGGAGTAGGAAATAGAAGAACTTTAAATATATTGCTCGACAAAAATGGAAATATTATATTGGAAACAGAACAAAAACTACGACGATGGAAAGAGTACATCGAAGAATTATTTCATGACCAGAGAGAAGCTAGTACATCTGTAGATAGCCAAACGGGAGATGTAGGTCCAGAGATAACCAAATCAGAGGTTAGTCAGGCATTAAACTCAATGAAAACCAATAAATCTGCTGGTCCAGATGAATTACCAAGCGAGCTACTAAAGTTGGTCAACGAGAAAAACCTGGACATAATAGTAGAACTATTCAACGCTATCTATACTACGGGAATCATTCCTAGAGAAATGTTGACATCAGCATTTGTGTGTTTGCCAAAGAAGATGAATGCCAAAGAGTGTAGTGACTATCGAACCATAAGCTTAATGTCACATACCTTGAAAATTCTCTTGAAAATTATCCACGCCAGAATACACTCTAAACTGGAGCTGGATATTAGTGACACTCAATATGGGTTCCGCAATGGTATGGGTACTAGAGAGGCATTATTCTCCTTCAATGTGCTGACACAGAGATGTTTGGATGTTAACCGTCCTCTTTACGTCTGTTTTATAGACTACAATAAAGCGTTTGATAAAGTAAAACATGATCGACTCCTGGAAATTCTAAAAAATAAAAACCTAGATGAAAGAGATTTAAGGCTAATAACACACCTCTATTACAATCAGCGAGCAATAGTAAGAATCGAAAAAGAAACATCTGAAGAAATGGAAATAAAGAGAGGAGTCAGGCAAGGCTGCATTCTATCACCTCTATTATTTAACGCCTATTCTGAAGAGGTAATTCGAGAAACTCTGGAAGATGAAACAGTCGGCATAAGAGTAAATGGAGTCTTAATTAACAACATCAGATATGCAGATGATACAGTAATAATAGCCGATAGTTTACAAGACCTGGAAAGACTCATGAACAAAATAGTCATGTGTAGTAGGGAGTACGGAATCTCTCTTAATGTCAAAAAGACGAAGTTTATGAAAATTTGTAAAAACAACTATAATACTAACGAAATCTTGATAGTAGAGGGCCAGCAGATCGAAAGAGTAAAAAAGTACACTTACCTAGGAACACTTATAACAGAAAATAATGACTACACGGCAGAAATCAAAGTCAGAATCGAAAAAGCACGTTCTAATTTTATAAAAATGAAAAAGGTCCTATGTGGCAAAGATCTAACATTAGCTCTTAAAGTACGCCTAACAAAATGTTACGTATACAGTGTACTATATTATGGAGTGGAATCATGGACGTTAAATCTAGATACCATGAGACGACTTAACGCCTTTGAGATGTGGACCTATAGAAGAATTATGAGGGTTTCCTGGGTAGATAGAGTTACAAACAATGAAATACTGAGAAGAATAGGCAAAGAGAAGGAAATTGAACTTACAATTAAAGAAAGAAAGCTACAGTATCTCGGACATGTGATGCGGGGCGATAAGTATGGCATCCTGCGACTCATAATGCAAGGAAAAATAGATGGCAGAAGAAGCATCGGAAGAAGACGAATTTCATGGCTGAATAACCTGAGAGAATGGTTTGGATGCAGCTCAAAACAACTATTTAGAGCTACTGCCTCAAAAATTAAGATAGCTATGATGATTGCCAACCTCCGTAGCGGAGATGGCACCTGAAGAAGAAGAAGTCATTCTATGGGCATGAATGGTATGCAGCTTCTAGTTCTTCATAGAATTTTTCTTTGACATATGCACATTTAAGATGCTATAATTAAAAACATGTCGTTTGATCAGTCTGGTTTTCTTTCCTTGAACATTCGTAACATGTGTTTTCTAGGAAAGGGTTGTTAGCCCAATGCCTAACCCCCTTTTCGGAGAACCATTTCTCCCTTCTTCGTCGGCCCTGACCCTACTTACCACTGGGTTGGTTATTCAATATCCGGTAGGGCTGCTCAGGTTTGCCAGGGTCCACCCGTGTGATTAAGTCGCACTTCTTGGAGGTGAGGATAGGAATTGAGTAGGAGTGGCTAGAGGTGTTATCAGGAAGCAACACCTTATATTGCGCATCACTACTCCTTTGAACCCAACAACAATTGCCTTCTGCAAGAAATGGCGATTGGGTTGTGATAAACGACAAACAGTATACACTGTTTAAAGCCATGGATGAGCAAATACAAAAACGAGTTCATCATCAATCGATATAACACTATAAAAATAGAGGTGGGAATGTTCCGACATTCCGACAAAAACAGTTCCGACACATCCTAATAGTAGTTACTAATAATATTATTACCTAATCAAGATATGTTGCCGAAAAACGTTGTTATTGTATAAACTAACAATTAGCTTTCTTCTGTTTTTAGGAAGGAATACGACCTGAGAATTCCATGTTTCTGAACGGCCCCATCATTGTAGATACATTTTTATTAATAAGTGGATTCTTAATGTGTCGGTTACTGTTGATAGAAATGGACAAAAGAAAGGGAAGAGTCAATTTTTTCGCGTTGTACATAGCTAGATATATAAGGTTAGTATATATGTTTTCATTTAAAGATAATACATGTTGTAATACTGCAGTAAGTTAGAGTTGTATGTTCTCAGTGTCTTGCAGCACCACATATATATTCACTTAAATCGTGTTATGATTTCTTTTCTAAGTTAAACTGCTTGTATATTGCGTTATTCCTTTTAAATTCCACCTCTAGCTAATATATTAACAATATTTTGCTTCATCTGCCATCTCTGATGAGCCTGGCGACCAATATGGAGAATGTGTCTCTTTTTGGACTGATCTGTGAGATTGTTTTGGTCGGCGTTCGTCAAGTTGCTTATATTTTTTTATATAAGGTTGAATGCTCGAATAAATGAACTTTGATAAAATGAAAGGCAGATATCGAGCACAATTTTATTAATTAAATATATGACAATGAACTTACAAAAATGCGAATATCTCTCTGTGGGGAAAAATACAGTCGAAGACCTGACATTGGAGAGTGACAATATCAAAGGAACAAATAGAGTAAAATACCTAGGAGTAGTGTTTACAAAAGACGGAAATAGCCATGAAGAAATAAATACAAGAATAAACAAAGGCAGAAACCTTACCAAATGTCTAAACTCCATTCTCTGGGATTAAAAAATCACAAGAACGACGAAAAAACGAATATATAAGACGATGGTTGAGCCGGTGGTAACATACGGAGCAGAGATATGGGACACTAGTAAAAGAAACAGGAAAAAATTACAAGCTACCGAGATGGATTTTATGAGAAGAAGCTGTAGATTGACAAGGATGGACAGAATCCGCAATGAAGAAATAAAACGTAGAATGGAGCAAGAAAAAGACATTATAGATGAAGTCCAGAAAAAACAACTAACTTGGTTCGGTCATGTAAACAGAATGGCAGACGAGAGGTGGCCAAAGAAAATATTAAAATGGGGCGTCCCCAAAGGAAAAGAGGGCGTCCAAGAAGAAGCTGGCGAGATGACGTGAATGAAGCCATGGAAGGAAGACAGCTAAATGAAGCCGACACCCGAGATAGGAAACGATGGAAACTAGAGACAGGAAAACAACGACAGTTGTAAACAACCTGTACTATATAAATATTAATAGAGCATCTTCAGAAGCAGTAAAAAATAGTCGAAGCTACATTCTGGTTGGCAACAGGAGAGAGACTATTCTCTATCTATATAATATCCACCAGAATACTGCCCGTCAAAAAGAAAACAAGAAGCAAAGAAACAACGAGGTAGATCTAAACCTAGGAAAAGAGGGAACAGCAGAGGAGGAAGAGGAAGATCTTAAAGATCAGGAAGGAAAAGTAGCAGAAGAAGTAGTAGAAGAATTAGTAAAAGTAAAAGAAGTAGCAGTAAAAGAAGAAGTAAAAGTGTAAGTGGCTGTCCGTGTCCAAAGTCACATATAAGAAGTAAAAAAAAGACAATCACAACGCAAGAGATCCTCAAAGCAAAGAGATAAAAGTGAAGAAAGTGTGGCCAAAAATGTCACAATCCGGACCTATGATCATCATCATCAGTGGTGCTACAGCTCTAGTTGAGCCTTGACCTTCCCCAGTCTATTTCGCCAGTCGTTTCTGTTCATCGCCAACCGTTGCCAATTTGCCGCGCCGATTTTCCTTGCGTCCTCGTCCACACCGTCCCTCCATCTCAGTCGTGGTCTGCCTCTACTCCTATTTCCCACTGGGACCGATAATAGAGTTCGTCTGGGTGGGTAATTCTCATTTGCTCTTGACACATGTCCAGCCCATCTAAGCCTGCCTATTTTTATGAAGGATATTACATCTCTACCATTTACTATTTTTTTTTTTTTTTTTTTTTTTTTATATATTTCTCGTACAATTCGAAATTATATCGCCTTCTCCAAATACCATTCTCACAGAATGCGCCCATTATTCTTCTTAGTATCTTTCTTTCGAAGACGAGCAGAAGATTTGCGTCTGTTTTGGAGATGGTCCATGTTTCTGACCCATATGTCAGCACTGGTAGGATGAGTGTTCGATATATTATTAGTTTGGTTTTCTGGCTTAAGTTTCTGTTTTTTAGCTGCTTGCTTAGTCCAAAATAACATTTGTAGTTAGGGACTATGATAGTTAACCCATTTTTCAATTTCTTACGGGAATTTAGGAGGAGACACTGTGGATGGCATATTACAAAAATTGCAGTTGAAGGCGCTAAACATTGGACCACAACAAAACTCTGGATCCGTTATTTGAGGAGGGATTTCATCATACACCAGTCAATTTTGACGTAATTGTTGATATAAAAGAATCTGTCCTTAATTATGAAGAATACTATTTTGACTTTAAAAATGGTGATTATGTTGCTTTAAATTATTATTTAGCAGAAGTTGACTGGAATTTATTATTTCTTAACAAAAGCATTAATGACGTAGTTAAAGATTTTTATGATATTTTATTTTATTTAATCGAATTGTTTATACCATTAAAAAAATTTAAAACATCTACATATCCCAAATGGTTTACATCAGAGTTAAAACACTTACTTTATGAGAAGAAAAAAGCACATAAAAAATTTAAAATGACTGGTGGTGATGAGAACTATTGTCTTTTTTCTGATCTCAGGGAACAATGTAAAGAGCTTAGCAAGTATTTACAAAGGCGTCATGTGAATGAAATTGAGGCTAGCATTTTTCATAATTCTAGTTCTTTCTGGAAAATATATTAATAATAAACGCAAATCTCATATTCTACCATCGAGTATGAGTTATGGTAATGAAAGTAGTGAAAATGGTTCAGATATTGTGAATTTATTTGCTGGGTTCTTTTCGACTGTCTATAATAAAGAAAAAATAAATCAGATTCCTAATTTTAAGTACGAAAATTATGTTAATGCTAATAATTATTTAATTAATGTTAAGGATATTATTGATAAGATACAGAATAATCCGTGGAAACTGACAGCGGGTCCAGATGGTATACCAATGTATTTTATTAAAAAATGTGTATTCACTCTTGCTAAACCTATTCAGTTATTATTCAATAAGTCCTTAACTTCTTCTACATTTCCTGATTTTTGGAAAGTGAGTTTTTTAAAACCCATTTTTAAATCTGGTCAAAATAATAATGTTGAAAATTACAGGGCTGTTTGTTTGCAGTCTGAACTACCAAAGTTGCTTGATTTTTTTGTTAACCATATGTTATCCTACGATTGTAAAAATTTAATTCTCGGTCAACAACATGGTTTCTATCAAAAGAAATCTACTTGTACAAATCTTATTTTGTATTCAAACTTCATTGTTGATTCTATGGAATCGGGAAACCAAGTTGACTCCATATATGCTGATTTTGCCAAAGCATTTGACAGGGTAAATCATGAAATATTAATTGCCCAATTTCGAGGATACGAAATTGGAGATAACTTATTGGGTTGGATCACGAGTTATTTAACAGATCGTTCACAAATAGTAAAATATGGTGATTTTGTTTCTGAAGCGATTAATGTTACTTCGGGTGTACCTCAACGTTCTCACTCAGGCCCACTTCTATTTAATCTGTATGTGAATGATATATCATCAGTAATTAATAATAGTGAATTTCTATTGTTTGCTGATGACATAAAGATCTTTAAAGCAATTAAAAATACCTCTGATATGGATGCTCTTCAGTCTGACTTAAATAATTTATCACGTTGGTGTGACATTAATGCCTTATATTTAAATATAAAAAAGTGCTATAAAATTACGTTTTCCAGAAATACTAAACATCAGTTATATAGAACATACATACTTAAGGGAGTATCGATTACAGAAGTAAATCAAATTAGAGACCTTGGAATTACAGTTGACCAAAGACTAATGTTTGATAGACATATTAATAATATTACGTCGCGGACTTATAGAATGCTCGCTTTGTTCAAAGGAACTCCCGAGAATTTTCAATATTTACTTTCAAAATTTTGTATTGTTCTCTAGTTCGGTCCATTTTGGAATATTGTAATATTATTTGGTATCCATATTATAATATGTATATTGATCAGTTGGAACGAGTTCAAAATAAATTCCTAAGAATTTGCAGGTATAAAATGGGTTTTAATAGAACTAACTGTGATTATAACTATATTCTTTGTCAACTTAATATGAAAACTTTAGAAAATAGAGAATCTGAGTGTGAATTGCGTTTTTTGCATAAAATTCTTAATGGTTATGTTGATTGTCCGGAACTGCTGGAATTAATTGTTTTTAATGTAAATTCTAGAAGAACACGCTCTCCTGACCTGTTTAGACTAAAGTTTCATCACACTAATTATGGTAAAAGTGAGTCAATCACAAGGATGTTGAGAACTGCCAATAATTTGCAAGATAGTGTTGAATTGTTTAATTTATCCGTGTCCTCGTTCAAGAACAGTTTAAAGAAATTGAGACATTAATGTTATTAATACTTTTTAAAATTGTATTATATGACTACAGTTTATATGTTAATTATATGTGTATATTGTAATTTTTGTAAGGAAAAAGGGTTCATCCCGTTAAATAAACAAACAAACAAGATGAGCAAAGCAGGTAAACGTAAAAGGGGAGGAAAGGGAAAGAGAAGAAGGAGAAGCAGGCGAAGGGGATGAAAAAAATAAAGCCCTGTAAAAATAAAATCCCTAAAAAATAAATATTAGTACTTCTTCATGTGTTTCTGTATAATAATGCTTGAGGAAAATGCATTATTTGGGAGCAGGTGTAGATTTTTTTCAATAGGAGAATAACAACACATCTTTGGTTGATAAAGTTTACGTTTATTGTAATTTGTAATCGACTGACATGTGTATCATTCAAATATCTTTATTGATTACGCAGCAGAAGCGTGGCATTAATAATCTTGACCCAAATATTATTTTATATTATATAATCCAAATCTGCTTTTTGCTAAATTTTTCAATCTACAAATACTACTCATCATCAGATTACATCTGACCAATCAGTATAATAGATTAAATCTTTAGTCAATCCATTTACCTATTCGTCTAGAGAGGAACAAATTGTACACATTACAGGACGGTTCAGATTCTTCGTTGAAGATATTTACTATGTTTAAATTTTCTTCCAGGTTAACACCTGCGTATGCGGTAGTGGTAGGTTTCTACACGACGTTTCTGTACCGAACTGGGTCTGGACCTTTTTGGGACTCAAAAATAGGCATAGAAAGGGACAGATGCCAACAATCCTGGTGGCTCAATTTGTTGTACGTAAATAACTACATAGGAACTGATAATTTGGTAAGTTAACTAAGATTGTTTTCCCGGGAACCATTTATTTCCAAGAAAAAAAAGTTTTCAAGATATCCATCTATTTCCAAGATAAAAGTAACAAAAATTTATTGATCACAATATTTAAAAATAGTTTCAAAATAGATTTTTTTATTCATAAAGAAACAGTACTGTAATTTTTTCAATTTTGATTTATGCTGTAAAATTCTAAAGATGATATCAAGTCAAATGTGACGTCCATGAACATTTTGTTTTGCATTTATTTAAAAAAAAATTCTCAATTAAATACACATTTTAGTGCATGTTCCAATCATGGTACTTGGCAGTGGACTACCATCTTTTCATCGTAGCTCCCTTTGTGATCTATATATTGTGGAAAAAGCCAAAATTTGGCTTAGCAGTACTGGTTTTGTGTACAGTGGTCTCCGTACTTGTTCCCTTCACTATTACGTACGTAGATAGCCTGGATCCCACTGTGATGGCATACCCACCGTAAGTATGAAGTAGATTTTACTTGATGCAAAGATAGACAACTTCAGTAATTCGCTCGTGAATCGCACCGGTGTACAGAAGGTATATTATTACGGGGGCAAATTTTATGGAACCATCTTACTTTTCACTTATCCACATTGGTGAAGCAAACACAATAAAAATGCCCCAGTAAGAATTTACTTCTGACATTTAACACTGTTGCCGTTACCTCTCAGTTCAATTTGTAGATGAGTCACCTTCAATTGAAAATGGTTATAGTATAGAAGTTTCTCGAATGTTTTGTATGTCTATAAGAACACTGTGGCACTCTACTATGATTACGTTCAAAATATGCACCTTTCTGTTTAATTTGGATGTATCTGTCAATTATATGAAGCCCTTAAAACTGAGTATTTTTAAATTTATACACTTAAGCTAAGGTTTCTTTATTTTTTTTTTAGAGAAATAGAAGACCTAGCACGAAATTTCTACTTTGTTAATTACTACATAAAAACACATATGAGGTGCAGTTCCTATTGTATAGGATTATTTTATGCGTATTTGGTGTATAAAATCCAACGAGATTCGTAAGTATATTATTAAAATTTATACCGTCAAAGCGTAAATTTGTACTTTGTGCATGTATGAGTCATAGCCGTTTATATAATCAATTACCTCTTCTTGTTTTTTATGGACATTTTAGCAAGTCTAAGTGACGCACCAGTGCGTCAGTGCGAGGATGAAAATCAACTACACTACATTCTTTCTGTATTTCTAGTAAAATTCTCTGTCTTTTAGTGATTCTATCTCAATTATAATACAGTTATTTTGTCTAATTAATTAAATTTGTAGAAAAAACATCCCACGATACTGGTGGACATTTCAGCAAACTGATAATGTGTTAGTTTATTCGTCTTCCGGGTTTGGACCGTGTCATTTGTGAGTGACCCAAAAGTGGGTTCATCTCGACGTTTCGCTACAATTGTATGTAGCTTCTTCAGGAGAACAAAGAAAAAGAAAACAAAAGACAGGAAGATGGGTAGTTAGCAACGGTAACTCAGTTACTCAACGCAACCAGAGGCGAATACTAACTACCAAGATGAGCATTTGGTCACAGTAACTCAACTACTCAACGCAGCCAGAGGTGAAAACCAAATGTCAGGACAGGGATTCACGTCCAACATCTCAGAACACTAACGCGTCGAGAGGCGGGGAGTGAATCCGACGATTACTCCGCTACCGCTCTATTTATAGTCGCGGTGACCTGTCGTGTCGGGACGTATCGGCACACTCCGTGGCGCGAACGTCAAGAAGCGCGCGCTGGCCAATCATGTGGCTGCATCGTGGTAGCGGGACCGGACGGCGGCTCTAGACTGTGATTCCAGATGGGAGACAAGTAGTATCCTTCCTCTCGATTGATATTATGTGGATTTTTTCGGATCTCTAGAGATTCGCGGATTTTCCTGGAATAAAAGAAGGGGCTCTTAGAAATAATATGGGTTTTTTCGAAAAATATGGAATGACCGGTTTCTTGGCAGTGTTCTGCAACTGCAGAATGGGAGAAAAGACCTGATCGAATGCATCTTTGATGCTCTTGAATCCGAGTTTTGACGGAACGACCAGTTTCGCCAATATACACATGTCCACATGAACAAGGAATAGAATATTATTCTGAAGCTATTTTCTTGTGGCATTGTAAATTAATTACTATTTATAACTGGGAATAAGCCACAATTAAAGATAAAAATACGTTTAGTAAATATAAGTTTAATAAACGTATTTTTATCTTTAATTATAGCTTATTCCCAGTTATAAATAGTAATTAAGGAATAGAATAGACACCACAGGAAGATAGGGGCGGTAATGGGTCCTTAGGAGAGGGTAGATTTTCTTGGGTGGTCGAAAAGTAGTCCTGATACCTTCTTTGCGAAGAATTTTGCCAATCCTATCAGTGACATTTCGAATATACGGAAGAAAAGCCACAGGAGTATTACCCGAAGATTCTGAATTTGTCGTCCTAGGGTGTAAAGGGGGATGTAGATGTCGGTGTGTAATATTTTGAATTGTGGACTTGGAGTAACCGTTGGCGACAAGGGTTTTTTGCAGATGGCCAAGTTCTTCTCTAAGGTTGTCGGGTTCAGAAATCGAAATGGCCCGATGGATGAGAGAGTTGATCACAGAATTCTTTTGGGCAGGATGGTGGTGTGATGAAGCATGTAGGTAACGATTCGTGTGAGTCTTTTTTCTATAAACAGAGTGACCCAATCGGCCATTGGGCTTGGAGGTGACACATCGAGAAAGGGAAGGGACCGATTATTTTCTACTTCCATTGTGAATTTTATACTCGGATGTTGTGAGTTAAGATGATCTAGGAAGGGAGAAAGGGTATGTTGACCATGGGGCCAGATGATAAATGTATCATCAACGTAGCGGAACCAGACTTTTGGTTTTAAGGGGTAAGATTCTAGGGCTAAAGACTCAAAGGCTTCCATGAAAATGTCAGCAATTACAGGGGAAAGGGGAGAACCCATTCCAGATATTTGTTTGTAGAAATTGCCTCTAAAAGAAAAATATGTTGAAAGGAGGCATTTTTCCGCAAGATCTGCCAAAACCAAAGACTTGTTATCATTGGTCAAGTGATCTCGCAGAACAACTAGAGAGTCATGTATGGGGATATTGGTAAATAGGGATGATACATCGAAACTGACGAGAATGTCTTGGGGATCGACCGTGAGGGAGGAGATTAAGGTGATGAAATGTGTGGAATTTCGGACATAAGAAGAGGTACGACCAGTATATGTCTTAAACTGATTCGACAAGTACTTTGCGAGTTTGTAGGTAGGAGAGTTAATCGTAGTCACAATGGGACGAAGAGGTACGTTGTCTTTATGGATTTTGGGAAGACCGTAAATTCTGGGGCAGATTGAGTTTTTCGGAACTATGGACTTCTTAACATCATCGGAAAGATCGGATTGTTTGATGGCATGGGAAATTTCGCGTTCGACTCTAGGAGTGGGGTCTCGAGAAATTGTATTATAACCCCGTGTTATAACAAAACCTTTGGCGCACATGTGCGTCATAAGAATTGATAACTGCATTCTCTGTTATTAAAGATGGTCTACAAATATGTGAAACTATTTTTTTTCTTAACTAGTAAAACCTGTAATTATATTAATTCACTTCCTTAATTTCTTTCTATCGTTTTAGTAAAGAATCTTTGCCTTTTATTCTTTTTAATCCAGTCATTTATTTTGTCTCATATATTAAAAAAAACTCCCAGTTTACTGGCGGACATTTCAGCAAGCTGGTAATGTATTTTTGGCCATTATATGACGCACGAGTGCGTCAAAAAATGTCGTTGTGTGACGCACATGTGCGTTATGAGAATGAATGATTGCGTTCTCTGTTATTTGTAACGATCAGTTACAAATGTATAAAACCATATTCTGTCATTTATTTTATAATGTCAATCTAGTTTATTTAATTTTTTTTTTTTAGAAAAAAGATCCCAGGATACGTCATCGTTTGCGGGTGGATCCTGGCCATAGTGGCCGGCGTAGGATCGATGGTATCGGTTGTAATTTTTTACCAACCAGATCATTCGCCGAACATTCTAGAAAATGCCGTGTATTCTGCCTTACACAGAATATGTTGGGCGCTTGCCATTGGATGGATTATGTTTGTTTGCATCACAGGCAATGCAAGTAAGTCATAAAAACATTTTAAATAACATCAATAAAAAAGCCACACTGATGAACAATACTTATTCAATCTTTACTAATAAAAATATGATATGAACAGCATCATTATATATAAAAGGCTAGGACAACAAATAATCCATTCTCCGTCATTCTTCAAGGTTAAATCGATTACCATGATAAATGTCTGCCAAATAAAGCAAGCCCAAAAGGGCTGTTGTTTCTAGTTTGTCTGTATCCCTGGCATCTCTTGGACGACAATAATAAGATCTTACAGAAATTATGTACTTATTTGTGAAGTTGACGATGCTCTCAATCATAGGATCAGTTATGAGGCACTTCCAAATATCAACCATGTCTGTGAGATTCTTAGCTGGTCCAATGACCCCAGAGAGACGGAGTAATATATTGCGAGGTGGCCGCTTACTTTTTTTGTTTGGATTTTTTTGCCAAATCCATGAGTCGAAAACTTTTCCATTTTTCTTTAGATACTATATTTAAGCCTCATTGGAACTGTCAGCTTCGTCTTTGGTTTGGCATTATTTCCATCACTCAATTCGGACTCAGAATGTTCCTCTTCGTCTGTATCGCTATCATCCATACGTATATCGTCATCCGACTCAACAAACATCAAATTTGTTATCATCATCAACTAGCCTCTAACGTCCACTGCTGAACATATGCCTCTCGCATGCTTTTCCACTTAGTCCGATTTTGCGCCATCTGAATCCAATTTGTAGTCACTCTGAATCAAATTTGTAACAGCTTCTATATCAGTGGGAACATTGAGATTGAAAATCTTCTTTTTATCCGCCAGTTCTAAAATTAAATAAACAAAATGGAACTAATTGCCACAAAAGGTTGCGTGTATATGCGAGATACAGACCTCTTATATGAACGTAGAAAGTTTTCAACACAAAAAATACATGAAATAGTAATATGTTATCAATATTACAATAAGAGTAATGTAAATGCAAAATTCTCAGCAACGTACTAACCCTTGACAGGTTATTTGTGCACTAGAAGCTGGAAGGTTCGCAGCGTATATAATAGATATTAAACTATATCTATTACCCGTGTAGCTACCACATATGCGCGACCGCTGGAAGGTTAACAATTATTAAAAATCCGGATATATACCATGTAATATAAATACAATCTCGGTATTTTATTTGTTTTATTTTTTTAGCATATATCAATAAATTCCTGTCCCACAAATTCTTTATACCAGCTAGTCGTCTCACATATTGTGCATACTTAGCCAACGGATTGGTGGAGATATACAGCTCAGGGGTAAATCGACAACCGATGTATATGAGCGTATTTGAATTGGTAAGTATTTTTTAATTACACTTTCTCCAAAGACCGTAAAGATATTTTTAAAAAGGTTTTATTTATATCCAGAAAAGTTTCTAAAATTTCTACCAGTCACTTACAAAGCTTCATACAATATTGAGTGACTAAAAACCAAAAAATAGATATTTCGATAACGTCCCTAACAAATAATGATAATTTTCATGTGAGGTGTGTATTTATGGTTGTCTACGTTACGGGGGCAATAAAATCTATTTTACATAAAATCTCATTCCATTTCGCCTTCCGCCAATGATGACTTTCGTCTCACGTTACGATTTTCATTGAAATTTAGTTATTTCTTTTTAAATCCCCACAAAAACATCTTTATATTCTTGTAAAGAAGAAGTGAAGCTGATTAAAAGCTGGTTAAAATTCAAAATAAAATACAGGATATGTCATTTCAAAAAGCATAAGTTTATTGCGATACACTATAATTGAAGATCCTGAAGAATTATTTTTAAAATATCTAATCTACCTCCTATTTTTGTAAATAACTTTTTTGGTATCTCCACATTGATAATGCCAAGCTATAATTGTCACCTCATTTAACAGATTGACTAGACCGCTACTGAGTTGTAAATTTATGTGATTCCACGGCCTACCTCAATTGCAATTTCTTTCGATTGGAATATAAATACTCAAATTATGTAATAACACCAAATTTGATTTTTTGAACTGTTAAAGATCTTCTTAAGTGAGAATTCATTGTTTTTTAGGCATCAAAAGTGTTGGGCCACATAGTGCTAACATTTACAATGGCATTTGTCCTGTGCATTATTTTCGAATCGCCAATCCACGGCATGGAGAAGATTTTACTGAAGAAAATCAAAGTGAAGAGTCCGAAACCAAAGCATCCCGAAAGATTTCCAAACGGAGATATTTAATAGCCCAAATTAGTTGTAGTTATTTATTTTTTAATAAAAAAACTTTTAGGTACTTTTGTTTTTATATATTAACACTCTTGATCGACAATAAAAATTGTTTATAAATAAGAAATTTTTAACTAAAAACAAATAATTGACATGTATGCTGTTGCGCAGACATTTTGTGACCATCGCAGCCTTTTCGAACTCTCTAAAATCACAACGTGCCAACTTTGTGTGACGATTTTACCTTCTGCTTGCATTTTTACTTCATATATGTCCTTAGGAATTATTAAATAAAACGCAAATATTAAATTGTCAATATATTTTAACCACATAAAAACAAATGATCTAATAAACATTTTTTCAATCGTTTATAACAAAAGCAGACGTTTCTTTACGTCGATGTCTACATAACAATCACAATGAAACAGTTATTTGTGAAAAATGATGGCGAATCAAACCAAAATTGATGTGGAAACGTCCGAATACTTTGTTCCTTGACTCAATCTGCGCTGTAGGATCCCGATATTAGGGCCCAGTCGCGAATTTACAGCAGAGAGTTGAAAAACGAACATTTCGGAATTATGCCTACTACTAGCGCCAACTTAGCCGCTGCGCTTGCGCCGACTATCGGCTTTGAACTGGAAACTGGCACGTGATCCGAATCTGGCATCATCTACAACAAAAAAAAACACTATGTAAATATTATGTTAAGTTTTGCAACACAACACACATTTGTCCTATCGTTCTGTCAAAAACAAGGGTATGTGACTTAACAGATCATTTTTTTATATGACTAGACAATTTTTGGTTCCTTCAACAAAAATGTCACATGTCAAAGTCATGTTATGTTTGACTTGACAGTTTTTGAATGTTTTATAGAATTTTTCATTCAGTTTTATTGTAATTTTTCTGTTTCACAACACACCACTCACTTTCTTCCAATTGATCCATCCCACACTAATTATTCTATTGCATGCATCTTCATCTATTTTCCAATAATCTGGAATAAGCATCTTAGATACTTTAAACAATGACTTTTCACCATCCAAAGTTATCTTTTTTGTATTAACACCATCTTTAAATGAACATTCCACTTCACCATTCAATTCCATCTTTGGATTAGTTGAAATGGTATCATCTAAATGATTTTAGATGGTAACATCAAGATAATACACATTCACACAAAAATATATCCATAGAAGCATCGAGTTAGAATCTATGGAGAGGGCATCACGTGACTAAAATGACCTCACTTCGGCCATATTGGTATGATCTTTGTGTCAGATCATGTATTATTGTTTAGGTTTTTTGTTTTTCAAATATTTTTAGTTTTATAATACTTTTCTAAAAACTGTAATAATATATTGTGATGGTGCATAATAATGGTTTCTTGTTCTTAATGTAGTTGCAGTAGCAGAAGCGATGTTAATAGAAAATCTTCAGGAATAACATTCCATAGGTTAGTATACAAATATGTAAACAGAACCCTCTCTGTGGCTCAGTGGTAAGAGCGCCTACCTTTAAACCTAAAGGTCGCGAGTTCGAATCTCATCGGGGTAGAGAAATTTTCGTTTATTAAAAATTAATGAATGAAAATAATTTCTATCCTTGTGCGATCGGTACTCACCAGAGGGACCGCAGACGTTCGGATACAAATAGCGTCTCTTAGCAAAGACAATGACGTCGACTTTGCTAAGTATCAAGACAATTACTCTACACACACACACACACTACACCAGGTACCTGACTGTACCATGCCAATGATCATAGTTGTCGAGGCATTAACTCAATAAAAAAAAATGTAAACAAAGTAATGGCCCTTACTTCAGAAAATGAATTAATAGTATTCATAAAAAATCTTATAAGTAAGGTAGATCAGATCATGCTATTCTTGAGAATACTCAAATATCTTCATCCTAAATATCTTAAAATTTCTTATTAACTACTGCAACATAACTATTTTTTTCAATTTTGTTTTTATAATAATACCTTTTCTAACTTTGTTAATTGAACTAAACTAAGTGTCAGTTAATTCGTAGTTATCAAATATATAAGTTGTAAAACGCACGTATTTCTTTTATTTCATAGCCTATATTCATTTTACCCTTAAAAATATTATTTATATTATTATCTCTTTCAGATACAACTTGTTTTTTGACTGTATTAATTTATCTTTATGTACAATATGTAGTGTTTTTAGTGTTTACTGCAGGATAAATAAAGCGTAGTTTATTAAAAATGTATTGCACTTTTTTAGATTATGATTAAATCTTCTAAATAACTAGTCATATTTGTATATTAGTTTTAATATTATTGAGTCTGGACCTGATATCCCGCCATATTGGTATGATCATTAGCCACACCTACTGAAGCCTTATACACACTTTAATATGCTCATAGCTTCTCCATAGATTCTAACTCGATGATAAGAAGGAACATTTTGAAGATTTCCCACCTGTCATCAAGAATGTCATCTGTCAAGTCATTTTTTGTTTAAGGAATAAATTTAGAACACCACAATAGACAAATATGAATTCACACTGACATTTTGCTCACATATATGTTTTATGAATCTTATTTGCAGTGGTGTTCTTTAAAAAAGCAATGAATATTTTTTTAAATTTTCCATTAAAATGTATAAGAAATTACACTTTGTACATAGATTTTTGTTCACATGAGCTTTAAATTTTGATCACAAGCTATTTTCTTGTGGTATTTTAACTTTATTTACTATCTTCAATGAGAATTAAATATAATTTCAGTTGAAAATGACCTTTCAACTTCCACTCCAGAAATATAAATTGAAATATCAAATTAAACATATTTTAAACTGAAATTGTTTTCCATTTATTTAACTACTTACCTTTTCAGCTACATGTTTGATAACTTGCCCTTCAGAATTCACATAGAATGTTGAGAAACCATCATACCAACTGCAAATACAAAAAAATGACATTATATATAAATAATATACCACCAAATTATTTTTGTCACTTAGGGCCGGTTTCACCAACTACAAATAGCAGTCTATTCAATGAATAAAGTTATTCGACCAATAAAACTGACATATCTGCGTTTCACCAACGTCAAATAAGACTTATTCTATGAATAAACTCCAAATAAGTTATTTGTCCAATATCGGCCCAATAAATATTTATTCTTCCAATAAGTTGGCAGCTAACCTCACTTTAAATATTAATAATAAAGAAAATTCATTAGTTTAACTTGAAATTATCAACAATGTATTGCAGGTAAACGTAATTATATCAGACAATTTAATTTTGTATACATATACCTATATTTATTTTCGAATATTATCTTCATCATCATCCTCTGAAGGCTGCAAAGAAGAAACCCTTTTGCTGAATTTGATGATGTTGACTTTAAAATTAGGTTTAGATTATCAAAAAATTCAGTAGATCATTTATTAAATTTGATCGGTAACCAATTGCATCCTGTAAGCAACAAAAATAGACCCATAGATGTGCGAAATCAATTGTCAATTGCTCTTCGTTTTTATGCAACAGGATCGTTTCAAATATGTATTGACCATTGGCATTGACAATTATTATTATTTTGACAAATTAATCAACCAATATCAAATATTATAGGTTATGTATATGATTACAGTGAAAAATAGTGCGATGTGCCTGGCCAAACACGTAAGAAGTGGAGGCCAAGAGAGGTGTCAACAAGTACAGTCTCTGGAAAATCATCACACTTTGAACTTATTCGACGAATAACTAACTGTGGATTACAAATAGTTATTGAAACGGAATAAAATTTATTCTAATAAATTTTATTTGACGATTAACTATTCAGTGATTTATTTGTTGTTGGTGAAACCGGCCCTTAGTATATGAATTTTAAAACATTGTCACAACAGTTGTATCTATAATTTATCACCAAAATAATCATTATTTTTCTTATTTCCAATTTTATAACAAAAATATCTCTATAATACAGTACAATAACCTTATTTTTAAAAGGAAAGACAGTTAAGATTTTATTTGACATATAGTGCCTCTATATATCCGCTTATTTGTATTTCATCCTAAAAGGAATCTTCAGAGCATCTATTTACAGATGTTCCGAATGTGAAAACAATATTTCCTGTCATAATAGAAGCAAAGCTAAAATGACTTCAATATGGTTGAAACCAAATTCAGATTTTCACTTTAATCTGTGCCTTCTAAGCTAACCTTATTTTTTTTTCTTTTTATAATAAAAGACCAATGCCTTACCTTTCAGTCCTTTCAAATATCTCTTTGAAATTCCACAGCTTGATTTTCCAAAATGTTAGCATAACTCTCAATGCTGAAATGCCCCTGATCTGCCACCTAACCTTAATTGAAGAATCCTCTGGGTGTTTTGTGATTTTTAATATTTCGAATTTGACATAAGCAAACTTTAAATGCCCTATAGTTCTTAGCAGTGCTACTTGTTTTACATAGCTGTATAAACCTCTGCAAAAAAAAATACATACATTATAATGAAAAACCAAGGATGTCTTTAAATAAAGACCCTATAATATATTTTTATGTATACTGAATTAGTATTATTTGATGGTATATTATGTGAAAAACCCATTTATAGCATATATTTCCACTGTACTACACTAAGCGGGTTCATTTTTATTGTGTATTACTTTTATTTTCTAAATAAACTCCATAAAATCAATTATACACTTTCATTTTACAATTAAATGAAAATAAAACACTTACACTGTTCTGATATTTCTAATATTATCCTCGAATACAATGTCTTTGTGGTAAATCTTATAATCTAAGGATTGAATAAATATTTTGGGCAATGTTTCTGCCAATACATCATACACATGTGTCAATTTTTCTAGACTTGGTTTGTTAGACTTCTCATCTTGATTCTGACTACTAAACTGCTGTGGATTAGGTACACTGAACTGGCTGCTAGTGGCGGCTGAATTACTTGATAAATCTGAATAACTACAACAATAAAATTTATATAAGAACTATTTTTCATGTAATTATACAATTGTGTACCTACTTTAAACACCTTAGTCTATTTAAGTCTTTTACTACAGGGTTGTCTACAATAAAAACATGTTCTTTTATAACTAAATCATTATCACTTTCTCGGTTATCTACTGAAGAACTTTGAAGGCCTTCTTCATGATTAAACTTCTTTACAACCTTCGGTAAATACTAAAAACACATTACAATTAAAAAAGAGATCAAGGAATAAAATAGCAAGATTTTTTTATTAACATCATACATACACAACTTTGTTTCATTTCTTAATTGGACCAAAAGTGAAGGATCTTATTAAGTATCACTAAAACAATTACTCAAAGCATTAAGACAAATATGTTAATTCCCCAACAATTTAATTAATCAATACTACAACTATTTACTCACTTAAACTTCTATAACATACATCCAATAATCATTATTAGATAACATTTACCTGATGATTTGTTTGTGTAATTTGAACTTGTGAGGTTTTCTCAAATTTAAAAGCACTGCTTCTAGAAGCTACCAAGCTTGAAAAGTTAGCAAATTTGATCAACTGTCGGAATCCAATCGCCATTGTCTTAAGCGTTTTTCTTAATATTATTCAGACGTGTAAATATTAAGCAAATCGTACATTTTTACAGCAACTACTACATGTGAATTCGATTTTACAAAAAGGAGCACATACGGGAGTCTGACAGACAAACTGACATGAGACTTATTTTAAATTTTTTGACACATGGAATAAATTTGATGTTCCATGAAATTTATGATATTGAAATTTTTATTTCATAATTTCTTGTTAATAATAATAAGAAAGTAAATTAAACTTTTCATTGAAGTTTTTACAAATTAATTACTATTGATTTTTAAACAAATATTCATTTACTTGTTAATAGAATTCACCTAGAACTACATGATCGAACCAACCAGTGTGAAGTTGTTCGTAGAACACCTTATATATCATAGGTGGAGGAGCTTATATTGTTAAAGGTTTTATAGATAAGAGTTTAAAGTATTCTACGTGATAAATTAAATACAGCAATAAATACAATTATTGTTTTTTTAATACTTATAAATATTTAGCATAGATTATACATTAACTTGTTTTTAACTCACGTTTAAAACTTTTTAATTTATCTAATCACTCCACATTAAAAGAACTGCGTATGTTGATGTGGAATCGAACAGACTCGTTGCTGGAAATTTTGTACGTTGTACGTAATAAAGATAGAAGATCTTACTGGGAAAACCACCAATATGATTATTTGCTTTGAAATTAATAAACGAACGTAAGTACAGATGTCACATTTTGACAATGGTGAATGAGAATAATGGGATTATAAATATATTATATGTAATTAAATAAAACTCAATTTAATTTGTACCCATGAGTGTCTGTATGTGTTTCCTGTGTTAGTAATATAGTTTCTACGTAACATATCATGTGGAAATGCCACAAGTGTCATAAACCAGTATATTTTGGTAAGTTTATTCACCTCTGCACCTAGTACTTTGTCTTAATAGTCTACTTTTAGCTGAAAGAAAACAGTCTCTGGGCTATAACTGGCATCCGGAATGCTTGCGGTGCGAAGAATGTGGCAAAAGACTCAATCCTGGACAACATGCAGAACATAAGGGTGTTCCCTACTGCCATGTGCCCTGTTATGGGGCTCTATTTGGGCCCCAATTGTTCGGTCATGGAACTAGAGTAGAATCTCATAAGAGTTTTGGTGCCCAGAATAACTCACCAAAGTTCAATAATGGCCCCGTTCTTCCTAGGTCTCATTTGGAGTCAAAAATCAAGGTAAGTTAGTAATATATACTGTCTTCAGTTTGTTAATTGTGTGTTTTTAGGTTTATAATCAGTTTTTTGAGGGTAAGAGTGGGGAAATTAGGTCTAGGGAAGTAAATGGTAGATTTATTCTGGAAGGTTCCTTAAGAATTCATTGGGGTATCCAAGGAGTGATTCATCTTAAAGAAAATGATGACCAGAGAACTGTAGTCACTGTTAGAAAGAGAAATTCATACAGATCACCCAGTCCAGAGTATGACACTGATGATGACATCCAAAACATATCAAGGGATAGCAGTTATAACGAAATATCAAGTTGTTCTGATGATCTTACAAGGTATTTTTCTTAAATTATTCTTTCTAGTTATATTTCTTTGAATTATTTACATAAAGTGCAGTGACACTGAACTTTTTACCGACTTTTACTGTATTTAATTCTGCATATATAAATTTTTAGGTCTGATACAGGTATTGAGAGTGGATCTGAATCTCTAGATATCAGTGTGACTGATAGTGCTTCTTCTTCTCCACAACATGTTATAAAAAGTGTGACATTGCCTTCCAAATTAGATGTTAAGAACATGGAATGGGACGAGCTTGATGAACTTCTTTGTGTTGAAAGAAAAGTGGATGTTTCTGAACACATTTACCAGACTATGCCTGTTACCCTACCTTCACAAGTTAGTACTGAGAGTTCAAGCGGTTCTAGCAATAGTACTAAGACTGAGAGGTAAGCTTGTCTTAGAAACCTTGTTTATATATGGTTAAACCATGTTTATATTTGTTATTTTTCCAGTGTATCACAAACTATAAGGAATGACAGCACAGACATGACCATCAGAAATGACACTACATACACAGATAGCACCTTGAAAGCCCCACTTACCAATGGTACTAATAGTCAAGACAAAGTTCCTCTTTTGTCTCCATCTTTAAGCAAGGAGGACACTTGGCTGATGCAGAGCAATCATTTGAATAGATCTATGTCCGGTCCTGACTGTTTAGGCCGTGTTAGGGATGCCCAATCACCTGAATTTGATAGGAGTAGCATGGCAAGTATGGAATTGTCTACCATGACAGAGCAAGCAGAAGAAGTGGTGTTGAGGAGGCCATACAAAGGTGTATATATTGCAAATTTGTTAAAATAATTTTAAAAATTGTCAAATATGTTAAATGTTGCAATTTGTTATATGGATTTTAATGCTGTACAATACTTTTTATAAGTATTGTATGTTTTACTGCTTTTTATAATATAGTTTCACATGTATAGGTTCAACTGCCATAAAACGAAGGCCTGGAAAACGATTGTCAAGAAGTAAAGTAAAAAGAAGATGCTCCATCAATGGCCATTTTTATGATAGAGAAACTAGCTTTTTCACCCCACCCCACGGCAGTCAGATGAGTGTGTGGGTCACGTCACTAGTCAATACCAATGAAGTTATCAATTTGTTATTAGAGAAATATAAGGTGGAAAGCGATGCACAGAACTTTGCATTGTTTGTTGTAAGAGATAATGGAGGTAAGAAACTAATAAAGGTCTTTTTATGATTAAAACTCCCTAACTAACTGTAAATTTATTAGTATAATAAAATATTATTGATGATTCTATTTGGCCACTAAAATTACTATAAGACCTTACATATTTCATTAATAACCACAATATCAAATGGGTAGGATGAAAGGCAGGCAGTATGATGGACATTTTTAATGCTATTGTAAATTGTTCAAACTTGTGAGCTGATCATAACGATTTACCTGTCCCATTATTCAAATAATGTTAATCTGTATTGCCTTGGTCCATTCTTTTAGTTTATCTTTTTCATTGAGAACTTTTTATTGAAAATGGAAAACTTACGTTTATTGTTTTTAAAATGAGTTTACATTTTTAAAACACAACATGGTATAGTACAAACAAGGTACAAGATACATTAAAATACTAATTATAAACTTTCCATAATTAAAAAATATGGATCAATTAGCACAACTGTCCTCAAAAAATTCCTCTATACTATAGTAACATTTAGATAATAAAAACTTCTTGATTGCTCTTTGGAATACAAAAATATTGCTTGAGGATTTTATATCGAGTGGTAGGTGATTAAACACTTTCTTACCAGTGTAAATAAATGATTTTTAGTTAAAGTAGAAGAGGGAATTGGAAGTGGAATCACATAATTTAGAGTGTTACAAGGGGAAACTGTCCAAATATCCTCTTTATGTGTTTTTAAAAATTAAGCATGCTAATTCAAGGATAAATGTGCTAGGAAGTGTCAAGATACCATGTTTCCGGAACAGAGGCCTGCATGATGTACCAAACTTGACCTTGCATAAATATCTGAGTGCTCTCTTTTGTAGCATAACATTTCTACTGAAATGATGAAGAAAACAGCTACCCCAAAAGGCAATACAGTATCTCAAATTAGATTCAATCAGGGCCACATAAACGCTTCTTGCAATCTTGAAATCTAAATGGTGAGCAACTGATTTGACTGCAAAGCAACCCGATGATATCTTTTTGCTTAAATATACAGTGTGTTGCTCAAATTTAAGTTTATTATCAATATAGAGACCTAAAAATTTGTTTATGGTATCAGAACAAATGCCTCCATTGTCCAGAGTAATGTTGTTTAGATCATTCTTAAAAGAAATTAATTGTGTTTTTGAAAAATTAAATGTCAAATGATTAGCTTTGCACCACTCTAAAAGTTTTTGCATACCACTACTAATAATCTTGTTCAGTATCGTAGAGTCCTTGTTTTGCCATAAAATTGTGGTGTCATCTGCAAATATAGTAAACCAGCCATTAATGTTGAGGTTAGTTATATCGTTAAAATATATCAAGAAAAAGATATGACCCAAGACAGAGCCTTGAGATACAATTAATAAAGATATTACTAGAGTAGCGCTCAATGATTGATACATAGATGATGGAATGTACTATCTGGTATACCTCAGGGTTCACATTTGGCACCTTTGCTTTTTGACATTTTTATTAATGACCTTATCACCATTCTTCAATTTGTAATGCACTTCTTTTTACTAATGATTTAAAAAATATATATGAATAAATATAAATACAAAATGTTGATCAGAGACTTGAGTTACAAAAAAGCCTAAAAATAACTTTGTATGTGGTGTAAATCAAATAAAATTGAGTTAAATGTTGAAAATGACAAATTACAGGTTATTTTAGGTTTCGTATGAAACAGTTGCTTTATTCTTATTATTACACTGACCAACTTACGCAATATGTTATATTTGCTATAGGAAACATAATATCTCAACCTTCTGTTTGTTTTTCCAGAACAACGCAGACTGAAAGAGGACGAATACCCTCTCCTAGCGAGAGTCCTATTGGGACCTCACGAAGATGTCGCCAAACTGTATTTGATGGACAGTCACAGTACTCCAGAGGTTAGCTGTGAAGTAGCGCAGTTTTTGAATCTCACTCTAGCAGAATGCCGCGCCATTTTGTCGCAGTACTACTCTCAGGAGGAGCGAGAAGTAGCCCGAATCAAACAGAAGTAAGTTCGTATTCCCTGCGTATTTCGCGTGGATTTTTTACATGCTGCTACATTTTGTATTGTTTTGTTTCAGATACGAAGAGATGAAGTGCAGAATTTCTCGCAAATTACACGAAGTCAAGGTCACAGTGTCTTGATGTTTGTGGATTTATACTTTGTTAGGTCTCACTTATATTTAACATTTTTTTTCTTATATACAATAATTTTTTTAATACTTATTAACCCATTTTTAGATGTTTTAACTCAATTATTTTTTATATTATTGTGTTTTTGTCTTTTTTATACTTATTGTTACGTGTTTATACTTTTTTATATATGCTATTAATTTGTAAAGGGCCTTATATCGTACCAATTGGACTAAATAATAGAATTGGGGATGGAAAAACTCGAATTACCGCAATATATGTTTCCAGGTTAGGTTATGTCTAGTTTCATCCAGAATATTAAATTGAACCATTTGTTTAGTATATATTTGGTTCAATTCGTATGCGAAGGGTCTAATGTGAATGTATACTCGTATAAAATACGAATTATTGTTTTACGAATTTAAGAAGTAGTCAATTGATGAAGAAACCCAGCGAATATAAGAGTTTTTAGATCAGAAGACTGTAATGATTTAAATAAAAATAGATGTAATATCTTAATAATATATTAAATTCAAACTGTTACCTACTTGTTTTGCATTTCCTTTTTGAATCCTAGAACCACCGAGCCTTCTTCTCTTCTTTCTTGGCGCTGCTCTTAGGCAATTTGCCAGCTCGATACGTGGGAATTCCAGATAATCGAATTCTCTTTCTGGTATAAATCAATTCCAAGAGCTCCAGAAGATAGGCAATCACTACTACATATCAGTGTATTAGGGGTTGCTGGTGTAAAAAAACATTTATTTTTAAAATATTTGGACCTAATAGTTATTTATATTATATAAATATTTCAAGCAATAACGATGTGTCTTTATAATTAAATTTTGTTGCTGTCAAGCTACTTTTGTCTAATTTGAAAAAATAGATTTCTTAATCGCGAGATTTCGGCATTGGTCGAATCATGGTTGCCAACCGACAACCCGATCGAAATACTAAAAGAAACTATCAAACTGCAAGATTGGCAACTCTATTTGCAAAATCACGACGTGCCTGTAAAAATAATTCTGTACGTCAACAACTAGGAATTTCTTAAGAAATCAATTTCAAGTTCTCCTAGTGTTTAGTATATTTATGTGTAAAATAATAATCGTTTTTGGTTACTAATATTCAGTGACAGATATTTTTAGAACAATTTTATTCCTTGATTTTGGGGGCGCCATTTTGTATATGCCGGTGGATTTTACGGTGGACTGTCAAAAAATAAAAGTGTCGGACGATAAAAAGTCATTTTATGTACTTTTTAAGACGTCCTTTCATCTAGAAACCCACAAAGTTGGTCAAATTATGAGTATAGAGGTAAGAAATATTAACCACTAATCTTTGATTTCTAAGCCTGTCAGTGCTGTCACTCCCTTTTATTTTCTCTAATTTTTTACCTTTAACTCATCCACAACTATTATTTTTAAGTTTTTTTCGGCCCAAAATAGTGCCAATTTATCTATACAACTCAAATATCTTGAAACACTGACGAGTTTTTTCGTAATTCGTATATTATTATATCCCTAGATGTCCAGACTAAATCACTCGTTATTTTTGTCCTTTCTTTGCAGTTGAATCTACAATGTTAATGTAAAAACGAATCAAAATATGACTATTGCAACTAGGGCACAAGGATTGACAGGAGATAGTGTCGAACCTCAAGTAAGTAATATCTTTTATTACATAAATGGATGGTCTGTCTCGATTTTTTATTATTCTTTGTCAATGTTATCACAACAAATACCAGATTATATTTAGTCGATATTTACATTATATTACATAAAAGAACTATTATTTATTGTTTATTAAACATTTAAAACGATTATTTAGAATTGGCGAGAAGTTATTTGTTTGTTTCTTCATATTTACACTCTTTTTGGGATGATGACAGAAATCATTTTAAAAATAAAATTCCCATTTTCATATTTATTTCATTGTTTACCTGTCGTATGCAGTTTTAATCAACATTTATGTTCTATACTGATAAAAATTATATATCTTATCTATTCATATCTAATCTTACTAACTTGTCTAGTATTTAAAATTTTTCTTTTTATTTATCTTTCAAAGATTTTTTTAATTTTTTCCCATTCTTTGAAGCTAAAATACTACGATTGTTCCTTTGTGAATTACAGCGGATGTGGATAGATACATTTAGTAATTATTTTAGATAAAAATTTCCTTAAAGGGATTTTTGCATCAAAATGTAAACAAAGGTCCTATAACTTCCTCCTTCGCTTATCTCTTTATTTACTATTTTTATATGGTAAATAAAGATTTTAAGCATATTTTGAAAGATATAACAAATACAAAACACTAAAAATCTATTTTGTTTTGAGAAATATTAAAAGTTAATACTATTATGATGTTTCTCACCAGCAATCTTACTTAACATTGTTTTTAATAAAAATATTTATTTAATTTCATGTTTATTGATAAGAATTGTGCATCTTTTAAGAAAACCTGCATTATTCTCTAAATTAATTATGGAAATTTTGATACCAAATTTCTTAGAATATTCATGATGCTTATTTTGTTTATATTATGAAATTGAAGAAGGAAATATTTATTATTGTACCTTAGAGTTTATGGAAACTCTACACACAAGAGGTATTTGCAATTACTGGATAAAAAAATGACAATTTTTACTTATTTATGACTATGCCAACATATTTCTTTTTCTGACCCTAAAACCTTCCAGGAACGTTCAAAACTGTGTTTAAAGCCATCTTCGTTATGACATAAGTCACTTTTATAGACAGCATCTAATGTTTGAAATATTTTTACCTCAATGTACTGATTAAAATCACATACCAAATAAATCTGATAACTAAGGTCTTAGACCTTTTTGCATTATAAACATTTTTACTTTTTTTAGTCAATTTTTTTTTTAATCAAAAACACTTTTTTTTAGTCAAATTGTGAAAAATTTAGGACTATTTTACTACTTTGCTTTTGATATTTAATCTGTGTAAGGAAAAATCTGTAGATTCCTTATCAATTTCTATATCAATTAATTTTTATACAACAATAAGAAAAAAAAATTAATAAACAGTTCCTAAAAGTGCAAAAAAATAATTGAAGAGTCTACAAATTACTTTTTTTGTGGTTTACTATTGCCTTTAATCAAAAAACAAATATTGTTTGATTTATGTTTCAATGAAATAGTAAATTAGTTATTTTTATAGACATAACAGCTTTCCTGGAAGTTTGTTCATGATATATACATGTACATAACTTTTTTTGGTTACCATAAAACAGAAATTTTTAATAATGGTATTGAAACTGTGTTATAGTCTATTTAAGTACTCTTGGTGTGTTTGTTGTTACATTATAGGGAATAAATGGACATACAGACTACATTGATCAGTGATAGAACTGAATTCATTAAATAAAACCAGAATTGTGACATATCTGAGATCTTTCACAGAAGTACCCAACCACTGCTCATAATTTTGTGCCAAAACATTACAGGCATTCTGTTGTTATGAGCATAATCAGTAACTCTTCATTAACTTGCTGTATATCACAATTATCAACGGGAATTGTCTAATTAGTAATAATGTACCTTTGTTAACATTATCCTTTTTGTTTTTTATTGCATTTTTTGTCACTGAAAATAATGGAGATCTAGAGATAAGAAACTATTTAGATGATATAAAAGTCTTTTATAGATGAATATATGGACCAAACACAGGGAAAGGATAGTTCACTCAGCTTAAAAATGAATGCACACTATTAACAATGGCCTGCCTTGTGGCCAACCTTCCAGTAACAATCAGAAAATTTTTGGAAGTATGAAACTTGCAGTTGATTTCAGTTTGAATATTCTTGAACTAAAACTTTGGAAATGACTTGCATATATGGTAAATTCATTCTAAATTTGCTCAAAGCAGGACAGAATTCTGAATTCATTAGAAATGGTTGCTAATGATGGGAATATTTGCACCATAAGCTTGCTCCAGGTGGCAAGACGATCAAAAAATAATTTCACATTCAACTATTTAATTTTTGGACTAGCGGCCACTGACTCCATTATCAAGATAATATGCTAGCACATATTGTGCAAGAGTTTTTGGCAAAACATAAGCTAAAATACAGTCCTGATATAGCTCACTTGACAAAACACAAAAATGTTACTTTAATGCCAAAGTTTTTATAACAGTACAATAGCAACCAAAACTAAATCAAGATTTAAAACTTCTTTGGTTTCAAGAACATGTTTTATCTATGGTTAAGAAACGACACAAGAACTCTTCATTATCCTGGCCAAAAATGCTAAAGCATTATGAGGATATCTAAAACTCTTCTGATATGTGGGAAATTCTTATTTGCCAGTTTTTTTTTGTAAGAGTTATTGTTATTAAATAAAAGAACTGATTATCGGACTCTGTTGATCATTACAATGTGTCATAGGAATTTTCCATTGTTGAAAGTGGCACTGGAAGTTTGCTTCTCAAGAACATCCTTCATGCTGTTGCGGACTCAGTGAAATTTGTGCAAACTTTCTGCGTGTTTGCTCAATTATTCGTGCTAAATCTGACAGACATTTTCTTTGTTGATTTCATGTCCTTATTAAACCTTTTAACTCACTTCATTTGACAATAAATTAAATGGATGATTACCACTATTTGCGAAGAAAACTAAAGTAGATTATAACCATTTCTTTAATGTAAACTAATCATTGTAATAATAAAAGTCTGCAAGGCTCACTACTAGGTATAGAACTTTTAATTTGTTGCATTACCAAATAATGCTTTGTTTTGTAAAGAATGCAGTGTTTAGTAATAAAATTATTTCAGGCATCTTCTCCTGGACCATCTGAGAATAACGCCGAGGAAATCCAAGATGAAAACTTCGAACCGGAGTTCCCCAAAGATAAATTAGCATCACTGGATGAAAAAATATCGAGCTTGCGATGGGTGGTGCCGGTCCTGGCCGACCAGGAGCTAGAATGTCTACTCAAAGTGTCCATAGACTTGGCCCGAAAAAATCTCGATACAAGATCGGAATCTTGTCAGAGGTTCTTCAGAGAGGGATTGACGGTGTCTTTCACGAAGATATTGACGGACGATGCAGTGTCCAGTTGGAAACCAAACATTCACGCCTGCATTTATCAAAACTGCCTGAAACTCATAGAGCTATGCGTGGTGAAGTTGCCTCACGACTGGTACCCCTTATTGGATCTGCTCGCCATGGTTCTTAATCCGAATAACAAGTTCCACAGCTTTAATTCTTCTAGACAGAGCGAAACGGCCGGACCGAATTGTAATTTATCGGAGGAGGAGCTCTTCGCTAGACCGTCGAGCGACTTGAGGAATCCCAGGGGGTGGTTGGTGGATCTTATCAACAAATTCGGAGAGTTAGGCGGTTTCCAAGTTTTATTAGATAGATTCCAATCGGGAAAAAATTTAAGTATTTCTATAGTGTTCGCTTTACTGAGGCCTTTTGGGTTATGCTTTGAATTTTTGACGGTTCACAGTATCAACAAGTATATATTGCCTATATTAGAAATGATTCCTGGTATATTAGATAAATTATCGGACGAAGAATTGAAGAAGGAAGCGAAAAATGAACAAAAAAGCGATATCGTCTCGGCCATTATAAAAGCGTCTAAGAATTTGGCATCTAGAGTACCCAATCAAGAAGAACTTATTAGAACGTTAGAAGGCTTTAGATTGACTATGATATTACGACAGTTGCAAATATCCAGCTTTAACGGAAAGATGAACGCTTTGAATGAAATCAACAAAGTCATTTCTAGCGTTATTTATTATCCGAATCGACACCACGGAATGGAGGAGGAGGAATATCTCACGCCCGAGCGTATGGCAAAGTGGATTAACGAAAATAAAGTATTAGAAATAGTGTTAAGAGATTCGCTACATCAGCCGCAGTACGTAGAAAAGCTTGAAAAGATACTGAGGTTCGTAATCAAAGAGAGGGCGTTAAGTTTGCACGATTTAGACGCCGTTTGGGCAGCTCAAGTCGGAAAACACGAAGCCATAGTTAAAAACGTCCACGACTTGTTGGCCAAACTCGCTTGGGACTTCAGCGCCGAACAGTTAGACCATTTGTTCGAATGTTTCCAAAACAACTGGACGTCGGCGTCGAAGCGACAGAGAGAAAGACTTTTAGAACTAATACGTCGATTGGCGGAGGACGACAAAGACGGCGTCATGGCGCACAAGGTTTTGACGCTGTTTTGGAATCTGGCACACGCCGAAGACGTTCCCACCGAAATAATGGATCAGGCTTTAGCTGCTCATGTTAAGATATTGGATTATAGTTGTTCGCAAGAGCGGGACGCCCAAAAGACGGTTTGGTTGGATAAGTGTGTGGAAGAACTGAAGAACGGAGAAATGTGGGCACTTCCGGCTCTCAAACAGATCCGCGAGATTTGCACATTGTACGAACAGAACACGAACGGCAGCCACACTCAACGTACCCACCACATTTACTACAGACAAGAAGTGATAGAACGATTGCAAAACCAGCATTCTCTAGTTATATTAGTAACCAACAGCCTTTGTAGTTATATGGATAGATTAAGAGAACTAATCAAAGAGAACCCGGAATTGACCAGCGAGACGTACATACCCGACGGACGGTACGGCCACACGCTACAAGTCCAGGAAAGACTGAATTTTCTTAGATTCCTCTTAAAAGACGGGCAGTTGTGGCTATGCGCCGAACAAGCGAAGCAAATATGGCAGTGTCTCGCCGAAAATGCGGTGTTCCAGAGCGACAGAGAGGCTTGCTTTAAGTGGTTCTCGAAACTGATGGGAGACGAGCCCGATCTAGATCCCGGCATCAACAAAGACTTCTTCGAAAACAACATATTGCAGATAGATCCGATATTGCTCACAGAAAGCGGTATCAGATGCTTCGAACGATTTTTCAAAGCGGTTAACGTGAAAGAAGGCAAAGTGAAATACAAAAGGAGGTCCCTACTAACGGAAGATCCAGATCTAATAGGTCTCGATTATCTATGGAAAGTAGTTACTTTGTGCCCAAACGATATCGCTACCAGAGCGATCGAGCTGCTTAAAGAAGTCAGTACCAACCTCGGTCCTAGATTGACTCAAGCGCAGTTGGTGTTCCACGAAAACTACATCACCGAATGCTACGACAGGCTTCGAGCTCACTACGACACGTTAACTATCTTGCAAAAATCGACCAACGACAAAGAATTCGACTCCGTGCAACTTCAAAACCGCATCAAGGCAGAAGCCGTGAAAATATGCAGGGTATTGAAGGTTCTACACGAGTACATCAGCGAATGCGACAACAGCTTCGTCGGGGAACGGAAAATCCTTCCCTTGCATAGAGCTTGCTACGGCAAACACATAACTCTGATCGTCCGGTTTTCTAGTCCCAATAGACAAGTCGAAGACTTGGAACTATACACGCATTCGAACGATACTCTAGCCTCTTTGAGAAAATACATTTTGAAACGAATCAAGCCTGGTATATATTGCAAACTCGAATTGTTCATCAACGGCGAGCCTTTGGAGCCCACCGAGGACAAGAAACTTCTTTCGCAGATACCCATCAGAGACAAAATGGTGAGTACCAAAATTTTTACTTTAACTAAAACTTATTTTAGACTGAAACGATAAAATGTAACTATCGCGTGACTGTACACTACATAGAGTAGTAAACGCAGTCCCATGCGTGTTTCTTAATGAAATAAAAAAAACCGTTAATGATTTTGAAGGATTCCAAAACTGATTACTGATATTTTTGTAACAATTAGTTGATATGCAGCGAGTTTACTACATACAGCACTCTGGACAATTCGAATGTCATTCGTTCTTGTTCTGCCATGAGGCTTTTATTCCATTATACAATGATTTCCTTGGTCTTCTTTTTCTTGGTCCTCTACAATGATTTCCTTGGTCTTCTGTTTCTTATTCGTCACTTGGAGATCCAGTTCAAAATTTTTATTTATAATTGAACAATCCGTCTTTTTCTCCTTATTGTATCTGTAAGCGAAGTTTCTACATTTATTATCTCTTTGGCTTGTCTGTTCTTATATGAAATCGTGTAATGTATACAGATTGAACCAAATTAAAACGGAACATACAATTTAAAACATGTCTGTTTGAACTGCATTTGAAATAGTAGACCAATATAAAACTTGGACAAAAATAAATCCATACTTGGGTATATACATTGTATAAAATATCGTTCAACTATCTGTCTCACAACAATGTTGTTTGCGTAAGACGGGTTTGTCTAAGGAAACGATAATAGTTCAGGAAATGAATCTCGAAAAAAGTTAAAACCGCGCAATTTTTTCGTCCTGCATGTATCCAGTTGAAATTTTAACAGAAGGTAGGTGATAGCCCAAGGATCAAAATCTATATCGAACCGAAGTGCGCTGAAGGGTTTTAGGGGTGAAAACTACCCCTAATTGTCAAAAATTATAAAATAACATATTAAACCTGAATATGGGTAAGATTTGGTTTGAATTAGTTAAATAATGATTATTTTATACTTTTGAATAGAGTCCCATCATATTTCAACCCTTAAAAAGCAACCCTTGTTAGAGGTTAATGTAAAAAAATTACTAATTCTAAAAAAATGATTTCGCCTTGGATCGATTTGGATAAAAATTTGGATTTAAGCTCAATTCACTCGCTGCTTTATAGTTTATGTCATGTCGACGAACCCTGATTGTTCTAAGGGGTGAAAACTACCCGTAATTGTCAAAAATTATAAAATAACATATTAAACCTGAATATGGGTAAAATTTGGTTTGAATTAATTAAATAATGATAGTTTCGAGCTTTTGAATAAAGTTCCATCGTATTTCAACCCTTAAAAAGCGACCCTTATTAGAGCTACAAGGATCTGTGAATTAAATCTTTTTGGAACCCTTGGTTTTTAAATGGGGTGAGTTTAAAGGGCTCGAAAAAGAAGGTGCTTGATCGTAAATCGATGCTTTAAACGGCTATATATCGCCAAATATTCATTGTACAACAAATCTAAATGAAGGATAATTTTAGTCATTAAAAAAGCTACAATTTGGTAATTTGTATTTTTTTCATATATACAGTATTTTCAGGCATATTTAAAAAAAAGAAGGGTAAAAAATATGAAACTGTAAATCGTTTCTCGCTTTAAGCGGTACTTTTTCTAACACAAAGCATTTTAAATGGGTCAAACTTCTTGGACGTATTAACAATACATGTACAAAGGGAATTTCAGAAGGGTAAAGATCGATTTTAATTATGGAGGAGGTTAGGGTGTTGTTTCGATTTTTTCGTAAAAAATGAGGTATTGACCTTATTTTCATCATAACTCACTCAATTTTTGAGCTAGAGTCTTTTTTATGATAGGTCTATGTATGCTCTTTAAAAAAGGTTTTGTGAGTTTTCTTCCAAAAATGCATCTTTTTCCCGATATTTGATTTTGAATCTTTCAAATTTGGCATTTGAAGAAAACCGCTGAACATTCATAGGCCGTATTTCGGTTCCTATTATATCCCAAAAACACTTTAAAAAATGAATTGTATTTGTCTTTTTAAAAGCTACAAATTTGTTCTCTACAATTTTTTTGATAAAATGCACCATTTTCGAATTATTTGCGAAAAATCGATTAAAAACGTGGATTTTTTCGTCTAAAAAGTTATTACTTTCAATCGCGGATAACTTGAAAAATATCATTTTATAAAAAAAATGTATAGCACATTTTTTGTTTAGAATCGCTTTTTTAATCGAAACCTGTAGTTAAAACGTAAAAAAAATTTCATCAAGGAGATGGGGTGGCAACCACCCCCTAGGCTTTGGCGCACTTTGGTTCGATATAGATTTTGATCCTTAGGCTATTACCTACCTTCTGTTAAATTTCAAGTCAATCCAGGGAGCACGAAAAAATTGCGAGCTGAAATGCTTCATTTCCTGGACTATAACTGGTTTGACAGCATAAATCGTAGATTTATGTGTAGCTTTCAATTTTTATGAGTTCAGAATCCAGCAGCCCGCTGAAGTATTGGATTTTTATAATATAATTATTTGACAATATTTTGTTTGCCAACCACCTACAGCAGAATTGAGCCGAAATACATTATATTCCTATGTTCCGAATTTATTTCGTTCAATCTGTATAGTTAGAAGCTTTGTCGGCAAAAAAATGTATGATAGATCTATTTAAACTTTGAGTATCGCATCATTAGGCCGAGTTTAACACGGTTTCTTTTGCGCCTTTTTTGGTTTTGGGTCGTTTTTCTGATACATGTCGATTTTACAACATACCGAAAATGTATAGATACTGATATTCTTTTTTATTAAATAAAAAATTGAATAAAGAAATTTTAATATTTATTTACTATTTTTATAGATTTCAATAAAGTTGAAAAAGTTTACATGTTGTATAATAGAGGTGTGCTTATTAGTTCTTTTAGACGAACTAGTTCAAGAGAACTTTTTCACAAAAATGAACTAGTTCGCGAAAGAACTATTTGTAGGACCGAAATCGAAATCCATCCCTAACGTAACTGGTTGCCAAATGTCTCGTCTAAATCATCACACAAGCTCGGCGCCGGCTGTTTTCTTGGGTTTTCAGTCCAGTCAGTCTAACACTACAAGTAATTCGGTTCGGAACCATTTCTGTCGATCGTTTGTTTAGGTTAAAATGTATTAAATTATTATATGATTAGTTAGTTTTTTTTATAATAATTTATTTTCTTAATCAATCCCAAAAGATGATTAACAGACGAAATATAAGTTTTTTACGGAATCATTTCGAGAAAAACGATAAAAATCAAAAATCTGCGAAATGCAATTACTGTTCATGTGATATTAGAATTGCAAGTGGTTCACTGGGCAATTTACCAAAACATTTAAGAATGAAGTTGAGACACAATTTATAATGCAAATCGTTCGCAGTGAACTAGTTCTATGAAAATTAATGAACTAGTTCAATTAGTTCAGTTGAAAGAATCGTTCATTTGAACTATTTCGATGGCGAACTACACATCCCTATTGTATAACGGTCATCCCTCATAACATAAATGAACTCCAATTGTTTACTTTGACTACTTTTTCGTAAAATCCATATTTAATATGTGCTGATTGAGAAATCTCTTCCTAAGTATAAATATGAAAGTTAAACTTAAAATGTTTTTTCTACTTTCTTACTAGTAAATTATATATTACCTACTATTTGGATGCTAAGTAAATGCATCATAACAGATACTGACACGTAATGACTAGCACGTAATAAAAAAAATTACGCTTCAGTTTTATAAAAATGTGTAATATCACATAAGCCTCGTAAGTCAGTTGGTCGAGTTACCATGGAAACGAATAAACAGACGTTATTTTGACAGATTAAAAATTATTAATCTGTCAGTGTAAATATAGTGGTAATTTAATTTTTATTTTTATAAACGAAAATAATGGTAGAAAAAGTATAGTACACAACTTGAGTTGTAAGCTTATTACATGCTTGTAAAATTACTGCGCTCGCCGCTACGCGGCTCGCGCGCAACTTTTTTACTCGCATGTAATAAGCTTCTTACAACTCTCGTTATGTAATATACTATTACTAATAACTCTTTTTATTACACTTTAATATAGGGTGGGGGTTTTGGGGGTTAAACCCCCCAGGCCACTACTTATTTCTATACTGTTACTCACAAATTTTAAGGACAAAATGGAGGTAGCATAACCATATTTCGGTGCTCAACCAAAAACACCCCAGGGGAAAGTTCTAGGTGCGCCACTGCTTTATTACAATTTTTGAACTGATAATTGTCAAAATCCGACATTATATTTATAAGAAATTATTCTCTGAAATTAGTCTGTATCAAAAAGAAGGAGAGGAACTTGTATAATATTTAAATTTAATGAAAAGGGCAACTTTTACTTGTTAAGGAAGTATCCAATATAAATCAATTAAGTATAGAAACCAAGAAATAATATTAACGAAAAGAAGAGAAAGAAAGGCCGATCATGAAAGATATTAAGGAACAAGAATTAAAAATCAAAATCTTAAAAATTGAAACCAAAATATGCTCAAGAAAATTTATAATAAATATACTGTACAAAAAGTGTTGTATTTTAATGTCATTTATATTAAATTCTTCTTCTTCAAGTGCCTTTTCCCCGCGGAGGTAGGCAATCATCATAGCTATTCGGACTTTTGAGACAGCTGCTCTGAAAAGTTCATTTGATGTACAGTTGCGGTCACGGAATAGTTTACAGGTTCACGTATCTAGGAGCCCATTTTTTAAATTTTTACTTCGTTTAAGCGCACCTTTTACGTCAAAGTGACGTTGCCAGTGGTGTACTAGCTAGAATAGGTAGATTAAAATTAAAATATCAAAATATTTTACAAAATGAAAAATATAGAAAACAGTTTTTTGAATAAAATGGATTATGATCTTAATAACGAAAATAAAGAAGTCTTTTTTTTTAATATGCATTTTATTTTAAATCTATTTTATATTAAATAACGATAAACAATGATAAATAATAATTAATATTTGGTGGAAGCCCCATTCTTGTCAATACAATTTTGCAGTCTTCTGTTCATAGATAGCACCAATCCCCTCATGTTATAGTTAACAAGCTCTTCCCATGCCTGCTCAATTGCTTCCCATAATTCAATTCTATTCCGTGGTCTAAGGTTTCTTTCATTTAGTTTCTTTGTTAACTCTGCCCACACATTTTCGACGGGGTTAAAGTCTGCACTACGGGAAGGCCACGGAAGAACATTAACATCAGTTTCTTCTAGCCATTCTCGAACAATTCTACTCGTATGCACCGGGCAATTGTCATGTTGGAAGATAAAGTCGTTGTTGGGGAATCTCTGGATCACCGATGGCAACATTGTGTGCTCAATAATATGTTTGTAATATAATCCTGTTAACTTCTCCTCTACATGATAACAAACGCCCGGGCCTTCGGCACTTATCCATCCCCATACGTTGACAGAGGATCCTCCACTATTTCTTAAATGATGCGTATACTGTTCATCATACCTATGATTTCTCGGCCTATAAACTCTTATTCGACCATTATTATACGACTGAAATACTTTTTCATCGGAAAATACAACCCTAGACCAAAAATTCTCATCGCGGTTTATAAATTCATTACAAAATTCAACTCGTCTCCTCTTGTGATCCTCAGTCAAAAAAGGTTTCCGTGCAGCTACACAATTTAGCAGTCCACTTGCTTTAATTCTTCGACGTGCAGTGCGAATACTGCCTGGAAACGCTGCCTCTTCTCTTGCCTTTTGAGCTGTGGCAAAAGGAGATTCTCTCAAATAATCTACTAACATCTCATCCTGTTGATCTGTGGAAATCTTCTGCCCTCCTGAACCGCCCAACCGTGCTATAGAGTGAAAATTATCCCATCTTTGTTTAATCTTCCATATGCACATATGACTCACGTTCAAATCAGCAGCAACTTGCCTTAGTGACCAACCTTCTTCGAGTTTGGCAATTGCTCTTGCTTTTTGCGCATAATTCAAATGTATTCTAACCATTTTGGAAGAGTTTAATATACTTTTATTTTATTGTTGAACACTCGCGAAAGTATTGACGTTTTGAAATTTTTTGACTTTGACATTTATCAAATCCGTACCACACTGCAATTTTACAGTATTACAATATAAAAAGTAAGGTGTAAACTATTCCGTGACCGCAACTGTACATACATCCGTACCACTCTCTCAGGTTGCGCAGCCATGACATTCTACGCCTCTCTATGCTTCTCTTTCCTTGGATCTTTCCCTGTATCATCAGTTGGAGCAAGGTGTATTTTTCTCCACGTGTAATATGTCCGAGATATTTCAATTTTCTTGTTTTAATTGTATTTAAAATTTCTAAATTTAAAACCTCTTTGTTTGTGATGTGTTCTGTCTACTATATTTTCAAAATTCTTCTATACACCCACAGCTCGAATGATTCCAGATTTTTCATTGATATATATTGATATATGACTTGATATATTTTCAATTCTTGAAGCTGTCGCCTTCGATCGACCCATATAGTCAGCTACTGGTATTTGTAGTCTTGATTATTGTTGTTTTTTAAATGATTTATGCGATAACAATTAAGTCTTTCGAAGTATTTCAAGGAGTGGATTGAAAAGATATTCAATTCACAAAAAAAAGCTTTGAGTGGTTTGTTGAATGTTATATTCTTGATTGGAGCGAGAGAGGACGTTTATTGTTGTTCCTAAGTAAGCTATTATAGTCCAGTCACTGTGGAGGAAAAGAGGTCAATACCTCTAAATTTTTTTTTAACTGAATCGTTTTTACTAAAAATTTGTAATTAGACTTATCTTACCTCCATCTTCAAAAGTTATATATGCGCCAGGTGAGCTTTTTATTTTTAAGGGGTGAAATCATCCCTTATTGAAAATAATGAAAAAAAATTATATTAAAGCATTTTATGGATTTAAATCGTGTTAAATTAGGTAATTGAAATATTGTCAATTATAATAATGGATATTGTGTACATTCTGAACCCTTAAATAATCTTAAAAACCACCACTTTTAATAAAAATAATTGTAAAAAATCGTTTAACAGGTTCAAACGCTTTTGTAGTGCATTTATATCATCTACAATGTAATTCTTTGCTTATATAAAATAATTTTGGTTGATTGCAACACTTCAACTCTTAAAAACTACCCCCTATGTCAAAATATATAAAAAAATCTTTTTAAACAACTTCAAAAGTTTTTAATGTACATTTATATTCAAAAATTCCTTTCTTATCAATAAGATATTTTTTGATTGATTGCTTATTTTCAACCCTTAAAAACCACCTCTATGCTCACGAAACAAATTCCCCTTTGGTAAATGTCTAAATAAAAAAATTAAGTATACTCATGATGTTTTTATTGTAAAAAATTATGCATGAAAATACTTTACATTAGAAAGTATACAAAATATATTTACAAAAATAAAAATTATTTACAATATATCAAATTATTCATTGTCTGAAACGTCATTCTCGTCGTGTTCTAACTCCACCTCTTCGTCTATTGCGGGCCAGTTTTGACAATTGTCGCCAGAGCATGTTCCACACGTAGCATTGCAAAATAGACCTAGTCTACGACAGCCACACGCCGAGCCGCAACCCTTTTTGCAATTGCAAAAAATCATTTTCAATAGTTCTTCTGGTGCAGGTGAACTTTTCATTTTTATTGGTTGTAAAATATCATCACTCTTGAACCATCCCCAATCCGTTATATCAATCTCTTTGTTTCCAAGCCATATCTGAGTTTGTAAATAAACTCCTTTGATATGCTCATCCAGGGCACTTACAGTTGGTACAAGAGATGATAATTTAACTGCAATATTTTTAGTTGTGGCTTTAATAAAGGATTCGTATCGCATTTGTTCAAGTAATGATGAATTATCTTCGACCTTATTCATTTTGTTCATGTGGATGACCTTTGGCAAGGCCATACAGCAAAATTGTACAGTATCTCACAGTTTCTAAAATGTCTTGTAGATCTGAAGTACTATCATAAAATATTTCTGCTTTTTCTCTCAAATCAGACCGATTTTCTAAGAGATTGATGAATTTTGTTCCTTTTGATCCTTTATTATAAAATGCTGACGTACCATCACATCCAGTAAAGCAATGAGCAAAAAGTATTAGCTTTGCACAATTTGGGTATTCTGATGCAAAACTTTTTGATGAATAAACTACTGAAGCTACATACAACTTTCCTAATTTAAGAAAATAAATTTCTTTATCCATTCTTGCTCGAGCAGTCAATATTACCAATATGTCAACATCTTCAGCTACTATAACCGTCTGCCCAGGTGATTCATTTATATACATATTTGTGTGAGTGTTAGTGTGTCTGTTACCAGTTTTTCGAATATACTTGAATAAAGCATTTATATATACAGAAAATAAATATAAATAGCATGTTCCAAACTTTTTTTAGAATAACTCATATATAGAATCATTTTTCACGTATCTCTTATAGTTTTATATTTATTTTGAAAAAATGTAAATTTTTAGATAATTAAAAAAAAAGATGTTTTAATTTAAACATGATTTTTTCAAAAAATACGCATTTTAAACAGGCTAAACTTTTAAAACTTATAAATAACACTAAAAAAAATGAATTGTAGAAGATATATGTTTAATTTCAATTCTGATCGAAATAGTGTTATACTGCTCGTTTTTTTTTAAACGCTAGAGTAATTCAAATTCTTTCCTTCGTATTTCGCTTTGTTTTAATCGAAATGGCTTTTAACATGGCTCATTTTAAAGGTTTTTTCTAGCTCTTTAAAAAGTGTTGTATGAGTTTTTATCAAAAAAGATTTCCATTTTCCGATATTTGATGTTAAATTCATCGAGTATAGTATCTCAAAAATAAAATGTCATCTTCAAACAATTATAAATCGCTTAGTATTGTACTTATAACTTATAAAAAAACTATCTCTTTGTTTTTTTTTATAAGCTTTATTTTTGTTCATTAGAGATTTTTCAATAAAACGCTTTGTTTTTGAGTTATTCGTACAAAATCATTGAAAAACATGTTTTTTTTTTGCGAAAAGTTTACTTTTTCAAGTGCGTATAACTCAAAAAGTATTGATTTAGCGAAAACAATTTATATGGCATTTTTTTTTATTTTGAGTGTAAAAAGTTCAACCCGCTAGATGGGGTGCCAACCACCTCAGGGGTAGAAGCACACATGGGCACCATATAACTTATATTTTTTGAGTAATTTACTACCCACTGTAAAAATTTCAGATAAATCGGTGCAGTTATAAAAAATTTAAAAAAGGGAAAATGCCACAGTAACTGGACTATTAATATAGTCTAATATTTTATACTATTCCCACTCTTCATACTATTCATTCAACTCTTAAAAGTGTAGTCTAGTGATTTATTTGTAATTTCAGTTAATATCAGCAAAAATAGTTCAAATGAACTCGAATATGGCGTCGTCCCAGGACAGTAGTTCGGACAGCTCGACCTCTTCCCCCCACCACCCGTACGACGGTCCAAACGTCGAAGCGGAAAATCTGTTGCCGGGCGTTCTGATGTCCCAACAACCGTTCTACGCCCAATTCTTCTGTCAATTGATGAACGTAGGAAGCACGTTACCGTTTGCGATGTTGAGAGATATGGGGCACGCGCTCCTTCAGTTGATGCCTTGCAATCTGATGACGATGGAGAAACTGAGGATTCTGTTTTCTGCGCCGGGAGAGCAGAACATTTCGATGGATAGCATGTTTTTCAGCGCCTCACCATCCGAAGTAAGTCGATTTTTATATAACAAATTCATAATCGTTAATATTGTTGTTATTTTCCAGGTGTTATACAACTTAGAAGTCCTTTACACTATGTTAATGCCAGCCATAGACGCCATCTCCGAAAAATCGTACGAATTCCAGTACAGCTTTATGATATCCGGCGAAGCTCACCTGTTTCTCGAGATGTTGACGAAGAATAACTTCATGTCGAGCGCCGATAACGTTACCAGACGTTCGGCGTATCTAGTTGTCCTGAAAATATGTAAATTGATACTGACTTCTGTTGCGCACGTGCTGGTGAGACTGAGTGAAGATCACACTCCGCCAGAAAATGAGGCTTTCAACGAAAATACCACACCACCTGGAACCTTTTTGAGACAGGCATTACGAAACGTTCCTGGACACTCGGATCATGTAAGTTTTATTAGAGTATCTTAAAAGACAATAGTTTTACAATATAAGCAATATACAATAGTGATTCACTGTTCCCAATTTCAAATTACTAATTGATTGTGCTCTTGATTTCTTCGTTACGTTTATTTTATCAAATCCGGTTCCAGTTCAACGTCAATCCATCTCTAACTTATATATAATTAACATAACGTCAAATGGAAGTGTTAATATTTGTATTTAAAGATACGAATCTGCAGGAGTCAATATCACGAAATCGAATCATCAAAAGGAACGATATTGGGTTAGTCCAACTCTATCTTATTTCACCTTGAGTTTCGTCGGTACATTTGAACTACTGGACGACCAATTTGAATTGGTGAACCCGAGTCTACGGAGTTTGCGTTTTTTACATTATTCCCGTGTTGCAGTATTTTTGGACAGTTTATTATTAAATCTATAACAGTTTTACATCCTTATTTGATCCAAATTGCATTTTTCTATGTACCGATATGCAAATATCTGTTTTTTTTTTCAGTTGCTGCGACAAGTTTCCATGAAACTAGCTCAAGGTTTAGCGCAATTGATGGTATCCGAGACGGGAAACACCGGCCAAGCTCAAGCACTGTTCAGTCAAGCGTTGAATTGGGAACTGCCGGACCTAGCCACGACTTTGGCTTTGGTGCGGCTGGTTTGGGCAGCGAGCAGCAACAATCTCGGCGCTGTCAACGCCTCGTTGGAAAACTTGCACTCTTTATCCGAAGCCAGCAACAAGAAGAAGTCAGAACTAGTCAACGACGACGTGCTCCTCTGCAAAGAAGCTCTGGAACTGCTCAGTACCGCCGTCGTGCTCAACCCCAGCAGCTTGCAGCACTTGTACCAGGACAATTGGTGGCCTTATTTCGTTACGGACTTGGTGCTAGTCAATCCGAATTGTTCCATAAGAGTCGCTGCTGCCGAGCAGATGATCATCATTTGTTCTTGCGGCGCTAGCAGTCAAATGGCGTTGCACGTCATTATGCCGTTGCTGTTTTCGCTCATCAATACCATCGTAGTCGAACACGCCAACACGTCCCACGAGTTTTTTCAACTGTTGTGTCGTTTAGTCAATGTAGCCTATCTTACCGGATGTCCCATCAACGGTGTGGAGACCCTACTCTCAAATGAGGTAAGTTTTTCGTTGTTAATATTTCACCACATTAAAAGTTCGAACAATAATACAAATGTAAGTTCTAAATGTTTATATTTTGTATGTTTCACCTCTATAATAGTTTTTATTTAATTACTTTACTATATTCTTTCGAGTTCTATTATTTCTTTGTTTATTTCGTCCTTTCATTTAACGATTCCTTTGTTGTATTCCAACCTTTGAGGTCCCTGCCATCTTACTAGAGTTGGCAAAGCGCGCAATTTGGTTTTGGGGTCGTGTCTAAAAGAGCAGTTGGGGTCTTTCCATATTGGCATATCACCAACTTCAACCCTGATAAAATGGGAATATTGATGCCTTCCAATTCTTCGTCTATAACGGGCCAAACTCTGACACAATGGGTACACCAACTTGTGTTGTCTGGCTTTCTAGGGCTGGAATACAACACATGCACATTTTGGCCCTGGCTATCGAAGTTCTTGAAAAACTCCTGGAATTTTTCAAGAATTTCGATAGCCTGGACACAAAAAGTATTTTTTGTGTCTTTTGTACATTTTTCCATTTCTCTCTGCTTTTCTTCTATTTTTTTACTCTTATATTCTTTACTCTGCTTTATTCTTTACTCTATTGTTATTTTTCCCTATTTCCGTGTTTGTTTAGGTCTCTTTTAGACTTTTTCTTTTTGTTCTTTAATTTTATTTGTATTCAGTTCGCATTTGTTTTGCAGTTATTTTATCTATACTCAGTTTTTTGCGCCTTATATCATTACATTACTGTAGTTGTTATTTTGAACTGTACTACTCTTAATAACAAATAAATCGTCGTTTAGGTCGCCTGGTTAAGAAAAGCCAGAGACAAACACGAAGTACTGATCGAAGGTCATCTCCTTCTCGCCAAAGAGCTCCTCTTGCTGATCTCATCAGAGCAGAAGTGCGAACTGGGTAGTGCTGAATCCGGCAGTCTGATTAAGGAATTGCTCGAAGACTTCCTGTTTCCCGCCAGCAAGTTAATGTTGAGATTACACAAAACGGGTCAGTTGGGCGAAGATCCGGCCATTCCTATTTGTGATACGCCCCAAACTCAGGCCGCAGCTTTCGATCTGTTGGTGTCGCTGTGCATGAACTGCGTACAGAACTACAAACAGCTCGTTAATATGCTCACGGAGATGTTTTACAACGGTAAGTAACAGAATCTTGACAAATAACATAAATACGAAATGTCACTATGTAATAGTAATTTGGTGTTGTAAAATATTTAATTTTTATGTATTAAGTTCCTGTTAAACACGAACTGTTTACGCTTCAAACCCTCTGGAAACGGATAAAAATCACATTGTGTCATTTCAGGTGAATGAGGATGATGATTAAAAATACTTTTGTATCAGTATTTTTTTACGTGTTCCCTTAATTATTTTTGTAAGTTTATGTTTTGATTATCTCTCTTCTTAGATCCTGACACTGCAATCTCGGAATGGGACTACCTTCCAGCAGTAGGGCCGCGACCGTTCCAAGGTTTCGTAGGTTTGAAGAACGCCGGAGCTACTTGTTACATGAACTCGGTCTTGCAGCAACTCTATATGGTCGACAGTATTAAAGAAGGCATTTTGGCAGCAGAAGGAGCAGCTACGGACCCCAATGAGGATTTCACCGGCGAAGAGAGACTGGATATGGACGTGGATTGCACTGACGATAGGAATAGTTTGGACGATAATAGGAAGGACTACAACGTTGGGATTTTGAAGCAGGTCCAGGCTATTTTCGGCCATTTGGCCTGTTCTCGTCTTCAATATTACGTGCCTAGGGGACTGTGGAGACATTTCAAACTTCAAGGTAAGCGATAACATTTATTTTCATGAGGAAAACGAGTTTTATATGATTATTGTTGAGTTTAGGCGAGCCTGTGAATCTGAGAGAGCAGCAGGATGCCGTGGAGTTCTTTATGTCTTTGGTGGAGAGTCTGGACGAAGCTTTAAAAACATTAGGACACGAGCAGATTATGTCGAAAATTCTTGGAGGTTCCTACTCAGATCAAAAGATCTGCAAAGGATGTCCTCATCGTTATTCCAAAGAAGAACCGTTTAGTGTGATTAGTGTAGATATTAGGAACCACAGTAGTTTGCCGGATTCGATGGAGCAATATGTCAAAGGTAAGGCTTTTTTGTGAATGTGCAAGCAAATCTATAAACTAGCGTTTGTTTTGTTGTGTTGCAGGTGAATTACTGGAAGGCGCCGACGCTTACCACTGTGAAAAATGCGCGAAGAAAGTAGTGACTGTTAAACGATTGTGCGTGAAAAAACTTCCCCCTATTCTAGGTATCCAATTGAAACGATTCGAATATGATTTCGAACGAGTATGCGCGATCAAATTCAACGATTACTTCGAGTTTCCGCGCGAACTCGATATGGAACCCTACACTGTGTCCGGTTTGGCCAAAATCGAAGGGGAAATAATAGACTGTGATCTTCATCCTACCTCCACCGAGGTCTGTACCAAGTATCGTCTATCTGGTATCGTCGTCCATTCTGGACAAGCTTCAGGTAAGTCTTTACGAAGTTTTTTTATGTGAATTATCAATTTTTTTACAGTTTATTGTAATAGTTTTAACATGTTTTGATAAATACCCTAAAAATTAACATTTACATTCATTCTTTATGACTTTCCACACTGTTGTAGTCGCAATCAGCTTTTTCCTGACTAGATACGTTATTACAGGTCATCTGTGCAAACACCTGCAACCATTAATCATCATTTTTATTGTCTAGACTTATTTTGATGTACGAAACTTGTAGTCAGCTTTTTCTCACGTCAACATTATTCACCTGCAGTTTTGCAAATATTTGCCCCATTTTTATTAGTTTCAGTATATAATTTCACTGATAATTGCACTATTCCTTTCTTTATAAACCGATAATTACACTATTTCTTTCATTATCAACCGATAATTACGCTGTTTCTTGCACTATCAGCATATAATTACTATCTTTGTTTCATAATTGCTGTTAGTATTTCACAATTATCAAATATTTGCCGTGTTTCTTTCATTTTCAACACTAATTTCACTGATAATTCACTATTAATTGAGAATTACACTGTTAATTTCACTATCAGCATAGAATTTCTTCTCTTTAACAATCACTATAATTACTAGTTTTATTTCACAACCAGCAAATGATTCCCGACTTTCATTTTGAACATATAATTTCACCGATAATTCACTATCAGCTGATAATTACACTATTTATTTTACTACCAGCCTATAATTTGCCGTGTTTCTTTCATTGTTACCTTATAATTTTACTGATAATTCGCTATCAGTTGATAATTGGACTATTTCTTTCACTATCAGCCAATAATTACACTGTTTCTTTCACTATTAAGTGATCAGAATTACTATCTTTCTTTCCCAATTAGCATAAATGCTATTACTATTTCGCAGTCGACAAATATTTGTTGGTTCTTTCATTTTCAACATTAATTTTACTCATAATTCACTATCAGTAATAATTTCACTCTTTCTTTCACTATCAGCCCATAATTACACTATTTATTTCACTATCAATCTATAATTGCACTATTTATTTCACTATCAGCATAGCATTTCTTTCTTTTCTTTAACAATCACTATATTTATTATTTTTATTTCACAACCAGCAAATGATTCACAACTTTTTTCATTTTCAACATATAATTTCACCGATAATTCACTATAACCTGATAATTACACTATTTATTTTACTACCAGCCTATAATTTTCCCTGTTTCTTTCATTTTTACCTTATAATTTTACTGATAATTCCCTATCAGTTGATAATTGGACTATTTCTTTCACTATCAGCCAATAATTACACTGTTTCTTTCACTATTTAGTAATCAGAATTACTATCTTTCTTTCCCAATTATCCTAAATGCTATTATTATTTCGCAGTCGACAAATATTTGCTGGTTCTTTCATTTTCAACATTAATTTCACTCACAATTCACTATCAGTTGATAATTACACTCTTTCTTTCACTATCAGCCGATAATTACACTATTTATTTCACTATCAGCCGATAATTACACTATTTATTTCACTATCAGTCTATAATTGCACTATTTCTTTCACTATCAGCATAGAATTTCTTTCTTTTCTTTAACAATCACTATATTTATTATTTTTATTTCACAACCAGCAAATGATTCACGACTTTTTTTCATTTTCAACATATAATTTCACCGATAATTCACTATCAGCTGATAATTACACTATTTATTTTAATACCAGCCTATAATTTGCCGTGTTTCTTTCATTGTTACCATATAATTTTACTGATAATTCGCCATCAGTTGATAATTGGACTATTTCTTTCACTATCAGCCAATAATTACACTGTTTCTTTCACTATTTAGTAATCAGAATTACTATCTTTCTTTCCCAATCAGCCTAAAATCTATTATTATTTCGCAGTCGACAAATATTTGCTGGTTCTTTCATTTTCAACATTAATTTCACTCATAATTCACTATCAGTTGATAATTACACTTTCTTTCATTACCAGCCCAGAATTACTATCTTTATTTCACAATTATTGCTATTATTTCTTTCACTATAAGCCGGTAATTGCACTGTTTCTTTCACAATCTGCATAATTACTATTTTTATATCACAATATCGGCAAATAGTTTCTGTGATTTTTTATTTTCAACATATTATTTCAATAATTCACTATCGGCATAATTACTATTTTTTTTTACAATTAGCAAATAGTTCCCGTGTTTCTTTCAGTTTCAACATTTAATTTGATCCAAAAATTCACTATCAGTTGATAATAGCATTATTTCTTTCACAATTAGCATAATTGCTGTTATGATTTCACAAAGTGTAAAACAGATGTAGACAGGAAAAAGCTGACTAAGATTCTATTTTCGATCAACTGTTATTGAACAAGAACTTTATTTCAAAAATTCATTTTTTCTGCACCCACTGTCACTCCAATCGGAATACCATCTTACACAATTTTAGATTTATTCTCCAGTCGTTTTGAATGTTCTTTTTTTATTGTGGCGTTTGATTAGATCATTTAGCAGAATCTTATACAACAGCTACGTCGCACACGCGTATTTCTTACAATATTAACAAAAAATCCTTCTAGGTGGACATTATTATTCGTATATTAGAAGTAGAGATCCCTCAGGAGAAGTCAGATGGTACAAATTCGATGACGGCGACGTGTCGGAGTGTCGAATGGGCGAAGACGAAGAAATGAAGGTGCAATGCTTCGGAGGCGATTACATGGGTGAAGTTTTCGATCCCATGTTGAAGAGGACTACGTATAGGAGGCAGAAGAGGTGGTGGAACGCGTATATGCTGTTTTATACCAGGCATGATGTCGAGGAAGAGAGTGCCTTGAAGATGATGAATCAATTGACGATTTGTAAGTATTCTTTTCATAAATTTACCATTTGCATAGCGTTGAGAACGACCTTTTGATGATATCTTATGTTGTGTAGCCGGTACGAGAAAAGAAACACATCTCAAGATGCCGGTAGCCATAGAAAACAGTATAAGAAAGCAAAATATCAAATTTCTGCACCATAGAAGTCAATTTTCTTTGGAATATTTCACGTTCATCAGAAAATTGGCGACGAGTTCAGCTCAGGGCAATACTAGACTTAGTCAACCATTGCCGAACGATCAATTAGAACAACAGTATCTACTCAGTGTTCAACTAGTCAGCAAATTCCTTTTTCATACTGGGTGGCATACGAAGAAGAATCTACGAGGACCTGCCATGGAATGGTAAGTCGATTTTTAATTATTATCGATCAAATTTATTGAATTGAGTATATTAGCTAAATATGTTGACGTATTCTTTCCAGGTGTGACGTCCTATGTTTACACCTGCGCACCTCGCCTGTGATACGTTCCTGGTTCGCACACAACATGCTCTTCGAGCACATGAGCCGTTTCTGCGAATACCTGCTGAGTTGTCCTAGCAACGAAGTCCGTTCGGCATTCATCAAGATCGTGGTGTTGCTCGCGCACTTCTCCATCAACGACGGGCCTTCGGCTTCGCCGGCAGCCCTCAACAGCACCGCCACCGGCTCTTTGAGCGATCACATCCTATGGGCGTTGCTCAGCCTGCTGCAAAGGGAAGTCAGCGAGCACGGGCGGCATTTGCCGCACTACTGTAGCGTGTTTCACATGTACGCCAATCAAGGTAAAGTTTAAACATAACATAATATTAGATTGATAAACTTTTAGATAATTAAATCGATTTATTTACCGATTAATGAAATATGCTTTTGGTCTAGGTATTCAAGAAAAGACTCAGCTGCTGAGGATGAACGTGCCGGCGACCTTTATGATGGTCGCCCTAGACGAAGGTCCCGGACCAGCCATAAAATATCAATTCACCGAATTAGGAAAACTTAATCAATTAGTCGCTTGTTTAATTCGATGCTGTGATGTAAGCAGTAAGTGCCAGAACAGTACCAACGGTCCAGTTTTACCCAATCCCTACAAAGATCCCACCATACCGGAGTATATCATGCCGATTTCCTCGCCTGCCGCCGAAATTCTCTTCAACAGGAATGTGTGAGTATGAAATTATTACATTCTTAGTATTTAAACCCCATAAATTAATATAATCTTACTAAGAAATAGAGAAATATTACTTAAATGAACTTGAATGTTCTGTATGAAAGGATTGATATTTTCGATAGGAAGAAAACGTAATTATTTGCCGATAGTGAAAGAAACTACAATTATTTTCTGATAGTGGAAGAAACGGATCGCTCGTCTGCTGATAGTGAAAGAAATAGTGCAATTATCATCTGATAGTGAATCGTGAATTAAGTATTAAAATGAAAGAAACGGAACTATTAACTAATTGTAAAATAAAAATAGTATTTATGTTGATTGTGAAAGATAAGTAGTATCTATGCTTAGAGTGAAATAAACAGTGTAATTATCAGTTAAAAGTGAAAGAAATATCTAAATATAGGTTGAAAGTGAAAGAAATAGTGCAATTATCAGCTGATAGTGAATTATCAGTGAAATTATGAGTTAGAAAATGAAATAATCACGGAATATTTGCTGATTGTGAAATATGTAAAGTATTAATTATGCTGAGTTTGAATGAAATGTACTAATTCTAATGCTGATCGTGAAATAAACCTTGTAATTATCGGTTGAAAGGTGAAAGAAATATTGTAAATATAGGTTGAAAGTGAAGGAAATAGTGCAATTATCGGCTGATCGTGAATTATCAGTGAAATTATGTGTTGAAAATGAAATAATCACGGGAACTATTTGCTGATTGTGAAATAAGATAGTGAAGATAAGATTGACAGGACATGTAGCAAATTCTACAGCAGATCGTGAAATAAACCATATGTCACATTACGTGGGAAGCAGAAAAGGGTGACCAAAACGAGAAGGATGGTGTAAATGATGTAGGATGAATAGTGAGGAAAACTGGCAACGTTGGCAATGGATCGGCTGACTGTGGTAATTAGACATGGAAGGTCGAGGTGCTTTCAAAGGGTGAAACACCATGATGATGATGACTATTTGCTGATTGTGAAATAGAGTAGTAATTAAGCTGAGTTGAATGAAATGTAGTAATTCTATGCTGATCGTGAAATAAACCTGTATATTATCGGTTGAAAGTGAAAGAAATATTGTAAATATAGGTTGAAAGTGAAGGAAATAGTGCAATTATCGGCTGAATAGTGAATTATCAGTGAAATTATGTGTTGAAAATGAAATAATCACGGGAACTATTTGCTGATTGTGAAATGAAGTAGTAATTATGCTGATTTTGAATGAATGTACTAATTCTATGCTGATCGTGAATAGACCTATGTAATTATCGGTTGAAAGTGAAAGAAATATTGTAAAATATAGGTTGAAAGTGAAGAAAATAGTGCAATTATCGGCATGAATCGTGAATTATCAGTGAAATTATGTGTTGAAAATGATATAAATCACGGGAACTATTTGCTGATTGTGAAATAAAGTAGTAATTATGCTGATTTATGAATGAAATGTAGTCATTCTATGCTGAATCGTGAATATAACATGTAATATATCGGTTGAAAGTGAAAGAAATATTGTAAATATAGGTGAAAGTGAAGGAAAAATGCAATTATCGCTGATCGTGATTATCAAGTGAAATTATGTGTTAAAAATGAAATAAACACGGAGAACTATTTGCTGATTGTGAAATAAAGTAGTAATTATGCTGAATTTGATGAAATGTAGTCATTCTATGCTGATCGTGAAATAAAACCATGTTATTATCGGTTGAAATTGAAAGAATAATTTGTAAATAAGGTGAAATGAAGGAAATAATTCAATTAATCGCTGATCGGTGAATTATCAGTGAAATTAGAGTTGAAAAATGAAATAAACACGAGAACTATATGTCTGATATGTTAAAATAAAGTAGTCTTTATGCTGATTTTGAATGAAATGAGTAATTCTTTGTGATCGTGAACTAGATAGTGTAATTATCGTTGAAAGTGAAGAAATGTAAATATAGTTGAAGTCAAGAAAATAGTGCAATTATCGGATGATTGTGATTATCAGTAAAATTATGTGTTGAGAAGGCAATAATCCGGGACCTATTTTTGATTGTGAATGAATTAGTAATTATGCGTTTTTGAATGAAATTAGTAATTCTATGCTGATCGTGAACTAGATAGTGTAATTATCGTTGAAGTGAAGAAATATTGTAAATATATGTTTAAAGTGAAGAAAAAGTGCAATTATCGGGTTCTGCGTGAATTATCAGTAAAATTATGTGTTAAAATGAAATAATCACGGAACTATTTGCTGTTGTTAATATAAAGTAATTTTGCTGGTTTTTGAATGAAATTTAGATTTCAATGCTGATCGTGAAAAAACCATGTTTATTATCGGTTGTGAGTGAAAGAAATATTGTAAATATAGGTGAAAGAGAAGTGAAACAATAGCGAATTATCTTTTGATCGTGAATTATCAGTGAATTATTTGTTGAAAATTAAATAAACACGAGAACTATTTGCTGATTGTGAATAAAGTAGTAATTATGCTGATTTTGAATGAAATGTAGTATTCTATGCTGATCGTGAACTAGATAGTGTAATTATTGGTGAAAAGTGAAAGGACGTCATTTTAATATGTTTTAATTCAAGAAAATAGTGCTATTTCGGCTGATCGTGAATATTCAGTAAAATTATGTGTTGAACTAAATAATCACGGGAACTTTTGCTGATTGTGAAATAACGTAGTATTTATGTGTTTTGAAGAAATTTAGTACTTCTTGCTTATCGTGAATAGATAGTGTATTTATTGTGGTTGAAAGTGAAAGAAATATTGTAAATATTGTTTGAAAGTGAAGAAAATAGTGGCAATTATCGGCTGATCGTGAATTATCAGTAAAAATTATGTTTTAAAAATGAAATAATCACGGGAACTATTTGCTGATTGTGAAATAAAGTAGTAATTATGCTGATTTTGAATGAAATGTAGTCATTCTATGCTTAGAGTGAAATAAACAGTGTAATTATCAGTTAAAAGTGAAAGAAATATTCTAAATATAGGTTGAAAGTGAAAGAAATAGTGCAATTATCAGCTGATAGTGAATTATCAGTGAAATTATGAGTTAAAAATGAAATAATCAAATATTTGCTGATTGTGAAATATGTAAGTAGTAATTATGCTGAGTTTGAATGAAATGTACTAATTCTATGCTGATCGTGAAATAAACCTTGTAATTATCGGTTGAAAGTGAAAGAAATATTCTAAATATAGGTTGAAAGTGAAGGAAATAGTGCAATTATCGGCTAATAGTGAATTATCAGTGAAATTATGTGTTGAAAATGAAATAATCACGGGAACTATTTGCTGATTGTGAAATAAAGTAGTAATTATGCTGAGTTTGAATGAAATGCAGTAGTTCTATGCTGATCGTGAAATAAACCTTGTTATTATCGGTTGAAAGTGAAAGAAATATTGTAAATATAGGTTGAAAGTGAAGGAAATAATGCAATTATCGGCTGATCGTGAATTATCAGTGAAATTATGTGTTGAAAATGAAATAAACACGAGAACTATTTGCTGATTGTGAAATAAAGTAGTAATTATGCTGATTTTGAATGAAATGTAGTCATTCTATGCTGATCGTGAAATAAACCATGTTATTATCGGTTGAAAGTGAAAGAAATATTGTAAATATAGGTGAAAGTGAAGGAAATAATGCAATTATCGGCTGATCGTGAATTATCAGTGAAATTATGTGTTGAAAATGAAATAAACACGAGAACTATTTGCTGATTGTAAAATAAAGTAGTAATTATGCTGATTTTGAATGAAATGTAGTAATTCTATGCTGATCGTGAACTAGATAGTGTAATTATCGGTTGAAAGTGAAAGAAATATTGTAAATATAGGTTGAAAGTGAAGAAAATAGTGCAATTATCGGCTGATCGTGAATTATCAGTAAAATTATGTGTTGAAAATGAAATAATCACGGGAACTATTTGCTGATTGTGAAATAAAGTAGTAATTATGCTGATTTTGAATGAAATGTAGTCATTTTATGCTGATCGTGAAATAAGCCATGTTATTATCGGTTAAAAGTGAAAGAAATATTGTAAATATAGGTGAAAGTGAAGGAAATAATGCAATTATCGGCTGATCGTGAATTATCAGTGAAATTATGTGTTGAAAATGAAATAAACACGAGAACTATTTGCTGATTGTGAAATAAAGTAGTAATTATGCTGATTTTGAATGAAATGTATTAATTCTATGCTGATAGTGAAATAAACAGTGTAATTATCAGCTGATAGTGAAATAAAGAGCTGGTAGTGAAAGAAACAGTGCGAATATCTGTTTGAAGTTAAAAAAAACACCGATACCTTCTTATAGTGAAACAATTGTATGCTGATGATTAAAAAAACACTACACTTATTTACGGGGATCAGAAAACAAAAAATTTAAAAAAATAAGAGTTGATATCATCAATTTGTCTTAATTTTATTTTGCTCTAGATCGAAACGGATGCACATTAAACACTTTTACACAATAAACACAGTTTTTGTTTCATATAAATATGCCATTGAGGAAGTACGTTATGTTGTTAACTGCTGTTTCGCTGAATTGTTTGAAGTGTTATGCCAGTACAATTATTCTCCAGGAAATGTGTTGCACTTTTTATCTTTTATAGCGCATACAACTTTTGCTGTAAATATAGGGACATTGTCTGCTTTTTTTATTGGTTGACTGGTCATCTGGTCTGGTGTCCGCAAATAATTCTAGAAGGTATCTTTACGTTATAGAGCCATTTTGGTTCTTGCAGAGATCTGTAACTTTTTTTATTTTTTTGGTCTTGCTGAAGGTGTTCTTATCTCTTTTTGCACCTTTGTTCAGTCATTGTTTCTTACTTATTCTTCTTATTAGGCTTTGTTCTTCCATTAATTTCAAGATATTCTCGTGTGGCTTCATGTGAATCTGCTGGCGCTCTTATCTACAGTTGCTTCTCTACATCCTATGCTGTTCTATTCGTTGCATCATTTTGCATTATTCCATGCTGTTTTGTCTTTGTTCCTGCTGTTTGTAGTCTTCTTTGTTTTTATTCTCATGGTAACTATTATCTTATCGATGACACTATACTACCTAAAGAGAAAAATAAACACTGTAATATCGTTTCGCAGATCATACCATAAGCTCTTACTAAAGTACAATGTTTTTTATTTCGGAAAAATTGAAAAGTTTTTAGAGCATTTTTTTTCCTCTATGTGTTTTTTTTATATTAACGTTAAATATATCTATGGGTTTAGTAGAACGATCTTATTTACTTTATTTGCCACTGGTTTACTTTTTTATTTCACTATTTATATAACATTATTACCATAAAAATATCAACTAATATAAAACAATGAACCTTTTCTATAGATACGTCAAAAAAGTGATCGAAGACACGAATCTGACAGAGGATGCTATCAAATTCTTGCAGTTCTGTTCGTGGGAAAATCCTCATTTCTCCAGGACGGTACTATCGGAGCTCCTGTGGCAGATCGCCTACGCCTATTGCCAAGAACTTAGACACCACATAGAGATATTATTGTCAATTTTGTTAATAGAAGATTCCTGGCAGAATCATAGAATACATAACGCTATTAAAGGTAAGAGACACACATACTAGTCCACTACAATAGAAGCAATAATTTCCTTATGGATTTTTTTTTAAATTAGTTAAATCGTGGCATAAGTTTTTATGTACTGTTCAAGTTGTTAATATTTTGTAGGTGTCCCGGAAGAGCGCGAAGGTCTTCTGGAAACCATCGTCCGTGCCAAGAATCACTACCAAAAGAGGGCTTACCAGTGCATCAAGTGTATGGTGGCGTTGTTCAGCCGTTCGGCGGCGGCTCAAGCTATGTTGTTGCGACAGGCAGAAGTGAGGCGGTCGTGGACTTCCGCGGTGGCTTGGCTTCAGGACGAGCTGGAGAGGAAGTACCCCCCGAACGCACAGTACTCCTACAATACTTGGTCGCCTCCGGCACAAAGTAACGAAAGCTCCAATGGATATTTTCTTGAAAGGTAAGTAATTGTTCCATTCGTTCATGTAAAGTTTTATAATTGTGTGTGTTTTGCATCGTAAAATTGGTCCTTTGAGTCGGATCTGAATTATTTATAGTAATTATTGTCTGAACTATATTTGACTGTCTATTGCAGTGTATTTCAAATAAGGTCTATATGATCAATGCTTTTTTTGCGGATCAAAATTTATATGACGTCAGGTGTTTTTCGGAACACTGGCGAAGGGAAGAAAATTTAAAATCAGCTAGCATATCCGGCATTTCATTAGCTAAATTCTTTGGTGAGGTAAAAAAGAAACAAGGCGGAGCTGCAATTTATGTAAAAGACAATCTTATGTATTCTTCTTTTAATCTAAATGAATATAATGTAGAGCAAAGTTCTGAGTTTTGTACAATTTATGTACCTTCAATAAAAACGAATATTTTAACTGTATACAGATCGTATACAGATCGGGTCTTTGCCTTGTTTTTTGTGAATTTTGAGATTGTCATAACGTTTTAACAAAAGTAAAGCAAACAAACTGATCATACTTGGTAATTTTAATATAAATTTTCAAATTGAATCTGACTTCTTTTGATATTCAAAATCTATTAACATCTAAAAGTAACTATAAACGGTTACACTAGAATTACATCCCAGACAATATTATGACAAATTTTTCTGAAAATATTTTCAGAGTTGGTGTATTTGAACCTTTTTTTTTCTGACCATCGAACTCAATTTTTATTTATTGACTCTGAGCATAAAGTTGTTGACGATAATCAAACATTTCAACAGTTATTATTTCTTCTGGTTTACAGAAACTTAAACGTGCGCTAGCTAGTACAAATATGGACTTTTTGTACGATATTAATAATGATCCTGATTTTTTGACAGTCTGTCTTACCGAAATTTATAACAACTTACTATTAAAGCATTTTCCACTACAAAAAGTACGACAAACTGCTGAAAAGACACCCATGCAATGGTGTAATAATGAAGTAAGGTATTACAGATCTAATCTTTCTCTTATTAAATACATTGCAGATGTCACTAAGGATCCCGATTTGTTCAAAGTATATAAACAACAAAAATTTGAATATATAATCGACAATTAAAAATTGCTAAAAAGTTAGCTTACTGTGAGTTTATTACTAATTCCAATAATAAACTGATAAACGGATTTTTCGGCCAAGGATCAAAAACGATATTAACGTTTGCGGATGGCGTGGACACAATTTCACAATCCACCAGAGATGCCATAACTGCCTTAGTCTCATCCATACTAATAAGCTTTATGATAATATACTATGGCTGCTTTGCTTGATGTCTCCTTTGCATTCGATACCGTTAACTTGGACATTATGCATAAAAAGCTATTAGACATCGGCTTCCCCATCACCATAGCTAGCTTTCTGAGGACATTGTACACTAATAGATCAACTTTTTTAAAAATCAACCATTCCATCTCTCCACCACGTCTTACAAATATAGGACTTCCACAGGGTAGCATATTAAGCCCAATACTATTTATTTTATATAATATGGATATAGAAAGTTGTATTAATAGCCCAACAAAAATTATTCAATATGCTGATGATGTAGTAGTTTACACAGCCCACAATTCATTGGATATATGTAAAAATAATTTTGATCTCCCAATTAAAGCTGTTCTTAATCACTATGAAAATATTGGTTTAGAAATATCAGAATCTAAAACAGAAATTTGTATTTTCCCTAGAAAACATCAAATTCCACAAGGTCGTCTGGAAGTAGGTCAAATTCAATTCCCTATTAAAAATTGTATAAAATATCTCGGTACTTATTTAGACAGAAAACTTCTATGGAAGGATCAAATTCATCAAGTCATAAAAAAGTCTGAAAATGCAATGAACATTCTAAGAGCCTTTTGTAGAACTAACTGGGGCGCTTATCCAAATGTAGCACTTTTATTTTAACGTACTATGATTTGTACCATTTTCGATTACAGTTGTCATTTGTATAGAACTGCCGCAAACACACATTTAAATAAATTAGAAAAACAAAAAAATAAATGCCTTCGGCTTTGTCTTGGATATTTGAATTCTACACCTGTTAATATAATGGAAGTTGAGGCGATAGAACCACCTCTGAAACTTCGACGGGAGTTTTTAAGTGATAAATTCAGTACTAGAGCCATAGGGAAAAATACTAACTATCTACAGGATATTCATATTTTATCAATTTTAGATCTAACTTATAAATATTAGACAAAGAAAAATGTTCTCTTCTGGTAAATAGTTACTTGAGGATATCTCAATACTGACATACTTTCTATTCGTATGAAAATCAAGTTTCACCTATGTATCCCCATATATTAGAAGAGCTTTCCTCAAAACATATTAATACCTTTTTTATGGAGAGTAATTTAGATCCAGTCGCTTTTCAATCATTTACACGGCATAAATGGCCAAATTATCAGTTTTTACTTTACAGACGGATCTAAAGTACAAAACAAAGTAGTATGTGCATTAATTAATATTCAAAGTGGATTTAAAAAATTATTGAAATTGCCAGATGAATCATCGATATACACTGCTGAAATGACAACGATTCTTCTTGCATTAAGGCATATACATAGTAACGAACCCTACAGCTGCATAATATTTACAGACAGTAAGAGTGTCGTCGACAGACTAACAAACGTACATAGATCCAAACAACTAAATCATATAGAACTAGAAATTATGATTATTTACAATAAAATTACAAATTTAGCGAAAACCATTATTATATCATGGATAAAGGGACACGCGGGCATTAAGGGCAATGAAATAGCAGATAGCCTAGCCAAATCTGCCCTAGACATAGGCGGAGAAGCTCCCTTAAACTTACTCCCCTTTTCAGACATTGATATAATTAGTAAACAGCATCAAAAAGAAAAATGGCAAACATATTATCGAAACACGAAAACTGGAAATAATTACAAACAAATGCAGCCTGAAATACCCATAAAAAGATGGTTTCATACTCTATCAAATCGCCATTTCAAAAGGGTTATAAACAGATTAAGATCTAATCATGCTCTTACCCCCCTTCATATGTACAAGTTGGGTCTCACTGAGACACCTAATTGCAAGTGCGGAAAAGAAGGTAACCTATTACATATTTTCCTTGAATGTTCCCACGAATCAGTAAACATAAACAAATTTTATGATAATCTTCTTATATTAAAAATTCCACTTCCCGTCTACCTGAACAATTTGATTTTCTTTAGAGATATCAATATATTAAAATCGATTTACGAACATATCAAAAACTGTAAATATAAATTGTAGCTTAAAACTAACCCTTATATTTAAGTAAATATTGTATTATAGCAGAAAAAAAAAAGAAAAAAAAAGAAGAAAAAAAAAGAAAAAAAAATGTAAACCTCCGAGATGTTGAATCGGGTTATGTCTTAGCGCAGGAAAAAATCCTGATTGTTAAAATTGTTTGTCATTAAATTTGTCTGGCTAATTGGGTCGGTCAAGGCCATCAAACTAGAATAAAAAAAACTGAAATTCACAAAAAAAGTACGCAAAACTGTCACTACTTACGAACATATCGATGTAGATTACGTTTTTCAGAAAAAAATTGCCTCATTTATAACTATTACAATATATTTCCAAAAAGTATTAAACAGCTTTTAATAGTTTCGAAAGAGTTATAAAAAAAAATATCTTCTGAAACATTGTTTTTACTGCTCAGAAGAATATATGACTCATTGCAGAACATCCACTGAACTGCATACGGTAACTTTGCCATAAATCATTTTCTGTTTAATATAAGTTCTTGTTGGTATATATTTCAGATACGTTTTGTATTCCTTTTTTATATACTATGTATTTTTTAAATAAACACTCTACTCTACTCTCTTCCAGATCAAACAGTGCCCGAAAGACGTTAGAGAAGGCGCTAGAACTGATGCCCGAAACCGAAAGAGAAGAGGAAGTGGAAGAGACTCACTCGCAAGAGGAGCCGTCGCCGCCCTCCGAGCAGCATTCGCAGCAACACGCGATCGCGCCGCAGCAGCAGCCGCAAAATAATGACAACAACGCGCCGTCAGATCTGCCGGACGTAACGCAGCACTGCGAAAATCAGCAGGACAGGTAAAAGAAATGACGGACGGGACACGGCTGTTGTCGAGCATTTCATCCACTTCTATAAGCTTTGCACGTTATATAAAACGGGCGATAGGAATGTGATATGTATGTATATATTATAAAAAACGTTAACACACGCATTTTATATTGGCTGGGAAGCATTTTTCTCTTGAGCATGTTCCTCATATTATTTTGGTTTTTAATCCGCAAGTCTAAATGTAAATACCGAGGCAAAAATACGACGAACCGGACTCGGAAGTTTATTTCCGAGGTCCCGCTTCGAGATAGTTAAAAAAAATGGTCACTTTTCTATGTAGCACTCTTTTGTATAAGATTGAAATATAAATTGAGTACCGTTTCATCGACTTTAATAAAGAACACTCAGTATATATATGGAAGGATGTAGCTATCGCTTTTTTTAGCAAAATATTTAAGTACACAGTTTATCTCTAACCTCGTGAGAAAATTTAAATGTAAATATCTAGGGAAAAAATGTGCTCTGTATACTAGGTTTTTGTACTGGCGCGGGTAGATCAGAAGAATAAAGGAAAGAAATGACGATATTGATGAGAATTTGTGTTAAATAGAACCAAAATTTAATAAACGAATTGATTTAGTCGTTTTGTTTTTCTAAAAAAAGAAGTTACGGGATAAATATTTGTCCGGAATCTTTATTAAGCTTTAAATTTTGATTTTATTTAATGAAAAAATAGTGTAGGTACCCCCTGGGATACAAAATCGTTCAAACAACAGCTCGTTGTTGTCTTTCTAACGATTTCTTTAATCATAACTATAAACAAATTAATTTATATCCCTTTTAAAATACATTTTCTATGGATTCGTTATTTTATATCTTATTCCATAGATTCCTTCTTCATTTTTGTGTTGTTTAATCACCGGCTTTATTTAATGAAAAATTGGTTTAGGTACGCTCCTGACTACAAAATCGTTCAAAGAACAGCGCACAGTTGCCGCGCTTACAGTTTTCCCTATTAGCAACCACAAAACCACAGACATTTTGTTTACAAGATCTTTGTAATGAATTCGTTTTTGTATCGAAGTTAATAGAACCCCGCTCCTTTTTATATGATTATTGTTAATTTATTAAGCGAATATTAGGTTGAGTTTATCGAAAGTACAAGCTGATTATAGCCGCAAATGTCAAACATGGAACAAAAAAATGTGTGTTTAGCAGTGTTGACATGTTTTTATAATGTATATGCTGTATGCTTCAAATATAAAAAGATAAAACTTTAGAAAAGTACATTTTGTTTATATTATGTTATGAATTCTACAATTTTTGATTTATATAAAACAAGAATGAGTAAGTATTTATTTCTTTGGAGATTAATTACTTGTTATTGTTTCATATAGATTAAAAATTGGAGATTTCTTAAAATAATGTAATCGATATGTACTTTTTAAAAGCGTTCTTCCTTTATATTTGAATCATACTATATATGCATTCTAAAAACATCCCAACACTGCCAAACCGAAATATTTTAACTCTTGGTTGACATGTGCGGCTATATTCAGCTTGTACTTTCGGAAAACTCAACTGAATATTCCAAAATTGACAACGCTGCGCTGACATTTTGACGTACCGAGCACATTTAGCCACACTGTTGCCAAAAAACTTTTGTTTTGAAAATACGACTATTTTAGAATTATTTTTTTATTTTTTCTGCATATTCTCGCGTTTATTATTATTCTTTCGCTCATATTATAAATATTTTAAATTCGGCTTTTATTTATCGACCGTTTTACGAATATTTATTCTTCTGATGACTACTCACGCTGTCGTTCAGTAGTTTTCTCATTATGTGATATTTTTTAATTTTACATGATGGTTAAATGGTGTTTTAGTTCGAGGATGCACAGAAACGCGGAAACGTTTGTCTATCATCTTGTAAAAGACTGATTTTGATATCGGTATTTGTTACTAACACTATAAATATTGAAGCTGGAAGTTTTATAAATGCACCAAAGGATATTTTTTGTCAGAAACACGGTGATAACTATTTTTATCATTGCTTATACCATATTAACAACAATTTTTGAGTAACTAATTTATTTTACTGTACAAAATGATAATCATATGCTCCTATTATTAATAATTATGTACATTAATGCAATTTTAATAGTTTCAATCTTTTTTCTTTGTTTTTTTATTATACGTCGTTGATACAACCTCTCTCGTATGTCGTGTCATCTCCGCGACCGCGAAGGTTTGCAATCATCACTGTTATTCTAACTTTGTGACACTACAGCTCGAAAGAGTTCAGTTACGTTGTATCAAAACCATTCTCGGAGGTTTCTCAGCCAGGACATTGTTCTTCTATCTATGCTGCGCTTTCCTAGAATCTTTCCCTGCAATATTAGTTTTAGGAATTCATATCTGTCACATGTTATATGACCCAGATATTTGAGGTAGTTTTCTTATTTTGAGGAAATCGAGGATCTCCCTGTTTTTCTCTAGTCTTCTTAGTACTTCTTCATTGGTTATTCTGTCTGTCCAGGAGATTCTCAGTATTTTTCGATATGTCCACATTTGGAATGATTCCAATTTATTGAGACATTGTTTATTTAAAGTCCATGTCTCCACACCATACAAAAGAACAGAAAATACATAACACGTTAGTACTCGTTTTCTAAGATTTGGGCTGAGGTTTCTACAACATATTTGTTTCATATTATTGAAGGCACTTCTAGCCTTATCTATTCTAACTCAATTTCTTTGGTATAATCGTTTGTTTTATTAATGTTTGCCCCTAGATAGTTATAATCCTGTACTCGTTCTATTGTCTTATTATTTACGTCTAGATTGATGTATCTAATATTTTTCTTTGATATAACCATGAATTTTGTTTTCTTTATGTTTAGTGACAGACCAAATTCTTCACTCGCTGCAACAACCCTATCTAAAATTCTTTGTAGATCTGTAATATCATCAGATCATCAGCATATCTAATTTCACGAATGGGTAGGCCATTTATTTTTATGCCTACTACTTCATCTTCTAATGCTTTTTTAAATATTTCCTCTGAGTCTACATTAAACAGTAATGGCGACAAGACACAGCCCTGTCTATCACCTCTTTTGATTTTTATTTTATTAGTTTTTAAATTATTTACACTTATGACAGTTTCTTATTCATAATACAGATTATTTATTATTCTAAATCATCAATATATCTTCCTTAGACTGCTTAATATGCATAATTTTTCAAATTGTCTGAGTTTATACCAATTTTTTTAGAGGAAATTGGACTAACTTGTACAATCACACTTTACCAAAAGCTTTCTTAACATTTATAAATACTCTTTAATAAATAATTATTCATTTTTTGCAAATTTTCCTTTTGCTCCACATATTTTCACATATGGCGTGTACCCATCGATAGGTTTTAAAAATATATTAGTTTGTGATGTAGCACTCTGCCAAAAGCTTGTTTCACATCTATAAATACTCTGTAAACAAATTTGCTGTCATATTTTTGTATTTTCTCCCTTATTTAATACCTAATCCGAATTGTGTAGACCTGTACAGGTTTTTAAAATAAAATTGGACTAATTTGTGATCTGACACTTCACCAGAGGTTTTCGTATCATCGATAAATCATCTTTAAAGTGATGTGATGCCATGATAGTTTAAATTTTTGCAAATTGTTCCTTTATTTCACAAATTATAAAGCTGTACCTGTTATTTCAAGAAAACTGGATTCACTTGTGATCTAGCACTTTACCAAAAGCTTTATTAGTATTTATAAACACTCTAAACCAATTTTATACAATACCTGTTTATTTATTTTTTTTTTTGTACGCAAACTTTAAAAACAAATTGATTAATTTGTGGTGGTACACACTTAAAACTTTAATACATCTATAAACAGTTTTTTTTTAAGTTATGATGCCGTAATTGTTATTTTTTGCGAATTTTTCCTTTATTATACAACTTTTGACAAATTGTGTAGAAATATAATTTTATTTGGTGATGTCATACACTATTTCTTGTCATCTCTAAAGAAATATCATACTATCATTTCTGATTTTTCACAAATACTGTATGTACACATCGATGTTTTAAAGGAAATTGTATTATTTGGTGATGTTGTACTCCACCAAAAGCTTTCTTGGTATCTTTAAAGAAATATCTTACTATAACTTCTTGATTTTGGTGTATTTTTTCTTTATTCAACGTATTTTACCAAACACTGCAGGTATACATTGGAATTTTAAAGCAAATTTGACTAATTTGTTGTATTGTACTCTACCAAAGGCTTTCTACAAGTCAACAAGTCATTAAAATATACAGTTTGTACAGTTTCACAACGTTTTTATCCTTGTACATAACATTTTGTAACATATATTCATTTTCCTGCTTCTGTGACCTAGTCAGAAAGTAAATGCGGTGTTTTTGTTGTATAGAAAGTACCAAATACTATTTAATCATCATATTATGAAGCCTGAAACGGAAAGCCACAACGAACAGGCAACATTAAGTATGTTTACCAACGCTAACATGTAAATATTTAGGTACTGAAAAAAAAAATTGAAAAAGTTCTTCTATATATTTTTATTAATTTTAATATTGAAGTTTTGTATATACATATGCGATAACGAGCATGAAATGATGTTCGTTCTTTCGTTGTGGCTTGGACATTTTAAGTTTCTAAGTGTCTTATGGCGTGTAAAAGGCGCGTTTATTTATTAATTGATAAAAAGTATGACTGTTGATAAAAAAAAAACACGAAATTGTTTCCCCCTCCTCCCATTTATGTTGTGTATTTTGTAGGATAGAACACTTGGAGGGACTTGTATACTTATTATAAAAGTTGTAATTTTTGTTTTAAAATGTGTCTCATTTATCCTTTAAATTATTGCTTAATCCTAAGCTTATACATTTTGTTTGTATTATAATTTATGATAATTATAAAAAATAAACTCAAATTTTACATGACGTCAACCTTCTTTATTCCTTACATCCTATTAGAGGGAGAAAACGAGATGATGACAATCTCGGCTTCCTCAATTCCATAATACGAGCCATTTTGAAGTCAAAAAAAATTATAATTAATTAATTTTCTAAATAAACAGTTAAGGTAGAGTGAGCCATTATGTAGTCCAGGCTGTGAGGCCGCTCCCATTGGGAAAATGTTTCTGATTCGGTTTCTTCGCGGATTCCGGTTCAAAAATGTCCCCTTTTAAACAAATCTGAAGGGTGCCGGGCGAAATTTTTGGGCAGAAATTGTTTAAACAATTTTTTTAAACAAAGTCCAAAAATAATTTTTTGTTAATCTGGAAAACGTTTTTTTAGGTTTTTTGGGCCATTTTAAACAAAAAAAGTCTGTTGTCATTTTTCTCTAAAGTTGATAGTTTTCGAGTTATAAGTGATTTAAAGTCTGAAAAACGCGAAAATACGCATTTTTGAGGCTTGAAAACACATATGTAAATTATTATTTTTGAGGTTACCAAGTGTCTAAATTAAAGTTTAAACATTCAACTTCAAGATTGTGAAGAGTAATCGGGGCTTATTTTAATTTAGACCGTTGTTTTTTAATTGTTAAGTATGCGCGTACACTCGATTTTTCAGCCGCCGCGGCGCCGCACGCTACCGTGCGCCTCTATCGTACTTATGCATAGTTTACATATACTTACAAATAATTATTATTTATTGAGTATATATTTATTTATATCAATTGAGTTATAATATAAATTTCGTCTAAAGTCTAATAATAGTTACATAAAATAATTGTACAAAAGATTGTTAAATAACACACTAATATCACTCAGTAAAAGTATCTTTGTTTTCACAAAAATCTAAATCACATCCACATAATGGTACACAGTTGACATGATTTTTCTTGCTGTTGCAAGCATTAGTTTTGCAGTCTTTTTGCATTTGCACGGTTTCCCAACCCACCACTATCAGACATATAATATCCATATTGTGTAAAATCGAGAGTTTGATAGCGGAAATATATGGCATTTCGCCAAATATATGTTTTAGCGAAAGCTCTTAACAAGTGTTGGTAAAGTGCGTCAGAGGTACAAGGTATATTGGCTAGATTAAATTAAATTTTTCAGTCACACTGTCTTTTCGTCGAAGAGCAGCATTTTGTATTGTTATGTAAAAATCTACTTTAGGTTTTTGCACTAACTTAATATTGTTGATGTTATTACAAAAAATACAAACTAAATTTTCTTCGGTAACTTTTCATTTAAGAAGAGGTACGGAAAAAGACATTTTAAATCCATTCACAATTTTAATAACACATTAATAATATAATACCCTTTTAATGGGCATTAAACAATAGTCTTCCTAATGATCGTTTAAGTAATAACAAATCAAGTATGAGCGCGCGATTGTTAAACAGGTAAAAAACTTGCATTTTTGCGATAGTATATTGTTTTTAAACACCGCGCAATTTAAAATTAAGTTTACTAATATTAATATTTACTGCATTGTATTATTTAAATAATAATTTAAAAATATTATTTACAATTGATATAAATAAATATATACCCAATAAATAATAATTATATTGTTTAAATTTGGAAGAAAAAAAAACTATATACGGTTATTACATTGCGATGATTGATTTATTTAATTAGCCCAATGACAATAATTAATACCTACATAAATAAATTATGGAAAAAACTATATATCACACATACAAGATCTACAAATGGACTATAGACTGTAGTATAACTATATCTCATGGAATAAATCAATTTCCTTAAGATTAGTCCACAAAATATCTCATCTTGATGGTAGACAAATTTGGAAAGATCCAGTTAGAGGGTACACAACACAAAACGGGATAAGTTTGTCTGTTAGTCAGTAGATGGTTGACCATGACGTAAGATGAACATTGCTATTAACTAGAAGGTGAATTCGTGAGATTATATCAACACATATAATTAATTGATTATTTAAAACGTATCTTTGACTGATTCACTACGTAACCAACGAAGAACAGTGGACAACGACTAGGCAATTCAATGATTCCACGAGATAATTATTCAAGATTTTGCAATAAAATGCAAAAGGAGATTGTTAGGTTAGGTTATGTTTTAATATATAAACGTGAGAAAAGATATTATATATATATATATATGAATTTAATTCGTACTTGCCTTTTTTCTAATTGGTTTAAATACAAATCAATAGCAGTAATAAATTGATTTTTATATTAAGATTGTTTTTCTTTGAGTGTCGATTCATTACCTAATGTTATCGATAATTTTTTTTATTTTATTAGCGTAGGTGCAGAAAAGCTACGTCATACTTATATGAAACGATGTGCTCAGGTTGTTAGCCAATATATTCTTGTTCTTCTAAGACTGCTGGTAGGTATTTTTCGTTAGATTATTACTTTGAACAGTTTATATCTGTTGTACTTTCATATAACATAGCCAAGGTATTCCTGCTTGCTCTCATGAAGAGACCTTTGTGCTTTTATTTAGTATTCTTTATACTATTTAAGGTCCATGTTTTGATACCATAGAAATTGGCGGCAAAAGCATGTATTTAAGACTATTTTAAACATATACAATACAGGATGTTATTAAAATAAGAAACAACTACTTTTCCTATAAAAAAGTTAATGTAATCGTAGGTACTATCGTTAAACAAAGTCTAAATAAGACACACCTCAAAATATTCACCCAATTTTATAACCTTTTATTTCGAATGTGTATAAAAATGTTTTAGTTGAATGTAAAATGAAGGTAGTTAAAATTAAAATATACGATAATGTACTAAATTAACTAATAAAGAAAAACAAACCAATAAAAAACTATTTTTTATTACGATTTCTTAATATTATTTACTTACAAACTAATAAGGAAGGATTTTTATTACAATTTACAAAATTTATTCTAAATATTAATTCTAGTCCTATTTACGACCCAACTTGAGACACTAAATTTGACCAGAATTCTGAATACTCCTTCAGCACGGTTCCCCTGAAAAAAAGCAGTTTTATTAAGCATTTAATTAAGACATTTAATAAACAATGAGCTGTAATAAAATTTAATTGTAAAGTTTATGTCGTTTTTTGTGGGTTGTCGATAGAATTTTGATTTATTGTTCACCTTGCGACGGACACACCTTTTTGGATTGGAGTAAGCGATGTGGAAAATATCACTTTGTAAATAAGGCAATTTTGCGATATACTTCATTCACTTTTAAACGAAATATTACACGAAAAGGTATTCCTGAGACGACTTTTAAATCGTGGATAAAGAAATCAGAATAAACTAATAGAACTGAAAATTGAAAATCCACAAAATCATAAATCTGTGTCATGACTTTCGTTCACAAAGAAGTCGATTCCTGGCAACTTCCCTCCATCTTCTAACCCTTAGAATCTGTAGGTGTTCTTCCACATGATCAATCCATCTCCTTCGTGGTCGTCGTCTCCTCCTTGTGCCCTCTGGTTTTGAAAATGTTAATCTCATCGTGTATTCGTGATCTGACATCCTAGCAATGTGTCCAGCCCATCCAAGTTCCACGTTCTTTATTTTTTAATGTTTTTGGAGACTGTAAACAGTTCTGTTTGTTATTGCCCTGCGTCTTTTTATTTCGTCGCTTGCCGTGTTTGTTGCGTTTACTAGCGATCCAAGATATGTAAATTCTTTGACTTGCTCAAAGGTATGGTTGTTAATTTGAATTCTCTGTTGGATATTTCGAGGGTTTTTAAAAACCAACACTTATTTGGTTTTTTCCTCGTTTACCAATAGTCCTAATTCACTTGCTGCGTCCGCAAGTTTTGTAAAACACTGCACTATGTCTCTCATACTTCTGCCCACTACAACTATATCGTCAGAGAATGCGAGAATTTGCGTCGATGTATTAAATATAGTTCCATTCATTCTAATATTTAATTGTCTGATTGCCTTTTCCAAGGCAATATTAAAGAGAAGATGCGCCAACGCGTCCCCCTATCTTAGACCATTATTAATGTCAAAGAATGTAGAGTTTTCTCCTTCAATTCTAACGCATGAGCTTACGTTTTGCATTGTTAGTTTGGTCAATTTAACTAACTTAGGTGGAATACCAAAGTCTATCATTGCATTATATAATACAGTTCTTTTCACACTGTCATAGGCTGCTTTGAAGTCAATGAAGAGATGGTGTGTATCTAGTGACTTTTCTAGAATCTGCCTATGTGCTTGAATTTTATGTGTAGTTGACTTTGTAGCAATACATCCGCATTGATATTGACCAACAATATCCTTTGTAAAAGTCTTTTAAATAATACATTGCCGAAGATTTTATACGCAGATGCTAACAGAGTAATGCCTCTATAGTTCTTATACTCCAGTTTATCACCCTTTTTACGCAACGGACATATTATTCCCTTCAGCCACTCTTCTGATATCCATTCATTCTGCCAATAAGTACTATTAGTTTATGGATTGCTACAAAAAGTTGATCACCACCTTTTTTATACAGTTCCGAACAGATTTTATGGATTCCTGGGGCTTTATTGTCTTTGAGTTTTAATATCGCATTTGACACTTCTTCTCTAGTTGGATCTTCACTGTGTAGTTGACGTAGAATAAGTAATATTTTAAAAAATAAATTGTAGCTCCCAAAAAGGAATTTGAGGCTTCAGGCATTTATCTTGCTGACAGAATCAAGACATTGCTAAAACTTCCTTTGTATACTCGACCAATGAGTAAAATAAATGAAGATATTGGGAAACGAATTTAAATTATACGTAGAAAAAGTTCGTGAAAATGGTTTGCAAAACATTATGGGGGCGAAAAAATTCTGTCTTCCTTTAACTGTTGGTAAAAGTGTTTCAGTCGAAGAAGTAAATCAGTATTATCAAAATAGGAGTTCAATTATTAGCAACACTAAATATCTATAACAAAAGTAAAAGGGGTGTAACAAAACCATGGGGTGGACCAAAAATACGATGGGGTCTTAGATGGCAAGGATCTGTGAAGAAGCAGGATACATTCCTGCAGTTGAGAACAATGTGTAAGGAAATAAAGCTCTTGATGAGGTAAATCAAGAACAAATGCTGGAATATGGAGATTTGTACGGTCAGCAAATTTTGAAAGAAAACAATATGACTGAAATAATAGTCGAGGACTCAATTGGCTGCAATTCTGACATTGACAATATGCCAGTAGATATTGTACTAGCAGAAAGAACATAACAGAATCAAAACTGGCTAAAATATGTGAAGTGTGTAAAATATTTTAATTCCTAGTTGAGCAGTTTCGGCTTACAAATCCATCTTCGGAGTTATGGACAAATATTAGTATCCTAATAGGAGAGATCATGTGATAAGCAGAAAAATGCTGGTTCTATTTTTTATATTTTCCTTTCTTTCTGTAATCGATAAAACACAAAAATACATTAAAAATTTGGTTATGGTACGGGTGTCAAATCCCAAACATTGTTACTGGCGTTGAAGCAGCAAATAGAGTCTCTATCACAGGTAGATGATAAATTCACAGAAAATCTGACGAATTTAGATATAAAAAGATAGTAGGAAGACACGGTGATTTTGATATAAAATAAAATAAATTACAAAACTATAGGAAAGTGAGATAAACTATGGGAAAACAATTATACTCCTTGGAAAATTATTGCTTTATACACGAGGTCAAAAAGTTGTTTGTTTTTTTTTTTTTTTTTTTTCGTGCTAACAAAGAGACTCGACCCTCAAAGAAAATTTACCTAAATAAAAAAAAAAACAAATTTACTCACGTAAAGTACACTTCTCCTCCTCTTGTGTTCTGTGGTGCTTGCCACACCAGCGTAGCCGATTGCTTCGGCTTAGGGTCAGCATGAGTAATGGCGCTGCATTCGGAATGTATTTTGGTGTTAGGGGTCTCTATCCAGCTTCCTATCCACTCGTTGGAGGCGACGTCACGGGCCTGGATGAGGAATCCTTTAAAATTGGACACTCCTTGGATGGTCACTAGATAAAAAATGTATTACTATTTTTATTGGGAATAAGCCAAAATAAAAGTTTATTTTTTACGTTTGGATTTCCACTTCGAACTGACAAAACTGTTTCCTGTCCGTGATTTCTCAGTGATAAAATTATGACAGATCCGTCACGAAGGTGTCTGGTAATTCTATTACTGTCACTTTGACAAACGCTATTAAAGGTCGATTCAGACACATCAGTCCCGTCACAGTCTCGACGCCTAACCGGTCCTATTTAGTCACAGAACTATTAATTATCTGACAGCTGGGAAACTGTTCGTCGCCTGATGAATGTGAATGCCGGCGCCATATTTCTATTAAAGAATATTTTGTATGACGAATTGTTAGGTTCGGCGCCAGGACTGTGACGAAACGTGACTGATGTGTCTGAATCGACCTTAAGTCGTAATCAATTTGATCAAGATTTGGAATACCAGTCAGGTCAAGAAATCGGAAAATGTCCAATTGAACACGCGGGTCCTAAAAGTTCATAGCTTAGAGAATTTAAAAGAAAATCCAAAGAATAATCTACCTAGCGACGATAATTTGAATTTGTTACAAACAATATACCCCTTAGAACAATATAAAACTAATGTTTATGACTTACCCCTTAACAATTAAAATTATTGTTAAACATGAAATGTTGGGTAATTTTTTAACTTCTACTATATTGGAAAGAAAAAATAAAAAACGTAACACGGAACGACTTCCTTTAGCTATTATATCTGCACGATATCAAGAAATGTTAAGAAAAAAGCAGGAGTTAAAAGAAGAGCAGGAAAAACAGAAACCAGAAAGCACACGGAAAAGAGAAGAAAATTAGCCAAAAACCAGTGTAGCAACAAAAAGAATCCAAAAAAGTCAAATGTTCTATTTGTTCAAATGATATTCAATCGAATAAATTAAAATGCAATGACTGTAGTCTTTATTATCACGAATGTTGTATTCCTGTTAGGCATAGATTCTTATTTATTCTTAAGCATAGATCACTCCTTAAAATCCGTTAAAGCTTACCCAGGCGCAGATGTATTTTCAGACCATAACCCTCTAATAGCGCAAATGAGTATTAAACTAAAAAGATTGGAGCAGAAAAGAAGAGCAAATCAGATAGACGTCAGTCATTTATGTAACCTGGAGGTAAAGGAGAAACTACAAAAATGTATTAATAATAATTTGAAAATACTTCATGATAAAAGAAACGTCTCAGCCAACGAACAACATAGATAAAAAATGGCAAAACGTAAAAAGGGCGATAACAGGTCCTGCGAAGAAAATTCTGACTAAAGAAAAACCAAAAATAAAGGAAAGGTGGATGACTGATAAGATCCTTCTTCTCATGGACAATCGGAGAATAGTAAAAGGAAAAAACGAACAAAGGTATAAACAAGTACAGAAAGAAATCAAAATAGAAATCAGAATAGCAAAAGAAGATTTTTTTAAAAGAAGATGTGAATAAATAGAGCAATTGCAGGCAAAACATGATATTTTTAAAGTACATAAAAAAGGGAAAGAACTTGCAGATACACAAAAACGTAAGCAGCCAAATACCCTGTATAATATCAACCGAAACATAATAACAGTACTAGAAGAACAGTTGGTGGCATGGAAAAACTATATTGAAGAACTCTTTGCAGATGTTAGACAACAATCTGAGCTAAGTAACATACAAGGAGACGAAGGTCCAGAAATAACGGAAGAGGAAGTAATGTACGCACTAAAAAGAATGAAAAATGGTAAAGCCCCAGGTCCAGATGAAATACCAACGGAAATCCTTAAACTAATAGAAAAAGACTCGATTCGCATTTTAGTTGAACTTTTCAATAGCATTTATACATCAGGATAAATACCACAAGAATGGTTTTTATGCACCTTTGTTATTATACCAAAAAAGATAAATGCCAAACAATGTAGTGATTACCGTACAATCAGTCTGATGAGCCATGTACTGAAAATATTCCTGAAGATTATACACTCTAGAGTACACAGAAAACTGGAAATGGATATCAATAATACCCAGTTTGGATTCCGAAATGGACTCGGAACAAGAGAGGCGTTGTTTGCACTGAACGTTATGTCTCAAAGACGTCTTGACATAAATCAAGATGTATTCATGTGTTTCATAGATTACAATAAGGCCTTTGATAAAGCGCGGTATAATCACCTAATCAGACTCCTGACAGAAATGAATTTATATAAACGAGACATCCGACTAATAGCAAATATGTACTACAATCAGAAAGCAGTAGTGAGAGTAGAGAATAATACCACTGAAGAAATTGAAATAAAGCGAGGTGTGAGACAAGGGTGTATACTGTCACCATCCCTGTTTAATATCTATTCCGAAGACGTAATGAATAGAACACTCTCTAAGCAATCCGTAGGTATTAAAATAAATGGTGTTAGATTAAACAATCTGTGATTTGCCGACGACACCGTTCTGATCGCAAAAACACTTGAAGAGCTACAGACATTGGTGAATAAGATATAGGATATAAGATATAGGAGAATAAGATAGATATGGTGAAGAATATGGACTATCTTTGAACATAAAGAAAACTAAATTTATGGTAATATCGAAATCAACACAAAATGTCCAAAATTTATATTTACACAATGAAATTATCGATCGAGTTAGCAAATACAAATATTTAGGCACTTTTATAAATGAAGACAACGATAGCTCAGCAGAAATCAAAATAAGAATAGAAAAAGCCAGATCCATATTCACTAAAATGAAGAGAGTGTTCTGCGGAAGAGATTTGAGCCTTGAAATGAAACTTCGCCTGATGAGATGTTACGTACTTTCTGTGCTGTTGTACGGAATGGAGTCATGGACGTTGAAACAGATTGATACTAAAAAATTAGAGGCATTTGAACTGTGGATGTATCGCAGAATCCTGAGAATATCATGGACCGAGAGAGTCACAAATGTCGAGGTCTTGACAAGAATGAATAAAGAAAAGGAAGTCATATTTACGATCAAAAACGAAAACTGCAATACTTGGGACACATTACAAGAGGCGAAAGATATGAGCTTCGAATAATTATGCAAGGGAAAATAACAGGAAAAAGGTCCATAGGAAGAAGACGAAACTCCTGGCTAAAGAATCTACGGGAATGGTATGGCTGTAGCAACAGCGAATTGTTTCGGCTAGCAGTTTCGAAAATACGTATAGCCCTGATGATCATGTGAAGAGAGACAGCATATACCTAACGATGGTGATCTATTTATATGTCACAACTACCTCAATCTGCAGGATAGTGATTCCGATGCTAATAACAGTAACCAAGACAGTGAGAATGAAGACATTGACGAACTTTTCACTCAATGCAAAGAAGCACAGAGACAGTTTTTTATTAATTAATGGCTTTGGATAACTTGATCCATTCAGCCATGATAGACACAAAAGCAGTTATAAGTAGTTATAAAATTTAATTGCGTCAACTATATATAGGTACTCCATAACGCACAAAAATCTTTGGTTTGTCTTGTATTTTTAATTTGTTTCTAGTTTTTTATTGTATTAAAGCAGTTGTCCAATAACTAATTTTGAGTGTCCTATAACTAAATAAACTGTCCAATAACTATAATTTTTTAACTATTTTAAATAAATATATATTGACAAAAAATATTTTAAAAAACTAGTTTAGACTAAGTTTTATATCAATTTCAATTCAATCTGCAGAGAACAATGTGAATTACGAATTTTTAAAGTTGAAATTTTCTTAAGTATCCAATAACTCTACGGTTTACCCTATTTAGTTTTTTTTGCTCTCCTGTAACATTAGGAACATGTGACTCGTGTTGTTTTTGAGAAAGACAAGAGTCTTTGGAGGATGCTAAGATGGGAATCAAAGTGAATGGAGTATTGATCAACAACATACGATATGCTGATGATGGTGTCTTAATTTGTGACAACATAGTCGATCTTCAACAACTTGTCACTATAATCGGAGAATACAGTAAGCGAATGGGATTAGAGATTAATACCAAAAAAACCAAATTTATGATCATCTCTAGAAACTTGGATGCACTTGAAAACTCCACCATAACACTGAATACTAAGTCCATTAAAAGAGTGAGTAAATTTAAATACCTGGGATCGTGGCTTTTTGAAGGCTGGACATCGGACAGGGAAGTAAAATGTCGCATTGATCAAGCTCGACAAGCATTCGTAAAATTCAAGAAGGTACTGACTTGTTCAGAGTTCGATCTTCAACTGAGACTAAGGTTTAAGGATAAGACTTCAGTAACTGAAGGATATAAACAGATTAGAAGCTTTCGAAATGTGGCTCTACTGCCATATCCTAAAAATACCATGGACAGAGAAAATCACAAATATAGATGTCCTTAAAAGAATAAACCAAGAACGCCAACTTTTCGAAACCATCAAGAAAAGGAAAACGGCGTATCTAGGTCACATCATGCGAAATGAAGAATACCAGTTTCTCCAACTTATAATCGAGGGTAAAATTGAAGGCAAGAGAGGAATGGGACGCAAGAAAATGTCCTGGCTCCGAAACATAAGGCAATGGACAGGGATTAACGACATACAATCTCTGATACATATTGCAAGAAATAGAGAATTAATGGAAAATGTGATCGCTAACATCCATTAGTGGATTTGCATCTGAACAAGCAGAGAAGTTGTTTTTGAAATGACCGATTCAATTGGAATAGACACAAAAAAACATAAAATACGAAACCATTCTCATCGATCTTCAACTGTGTCAGTCTTGTTCAAACAAGGTGTTTCTGAAAAGGAGTTTAATTAACTCCTATTCGGAAACACTTAAATACAAGCTCGCTAAAACCATAGCTGCAGCTGAATTTCAGTCACCACCAGAAGTTGATCGAAAATCTCAGAACAACAAATAAAGCATCGAGTTCCCAAATACTACAAGTCAATAATACACCAAATCATGCTTTGGTAGAAAAGAATGCGCAGATTACTAGAGTCTATAATAATTGTTCATTTAATATTGTTAACAAATAAGTAATAAGATTATGTTTCGTTGATATGGTGCATTAATTCTCTCGTGAAATAGTCTTGTCGAATATCATTCGGGAGAAAATAATTATCTACCAACAAAATTTTCTTCTGGTTTTAATCAAGTTCTCAAGTCATTCAAGTAATCAAGTTGACTTTTGTCAATTTTCGCTCATGAAATTTTGACAAAATCACTCGACTGACATCTCGTCATTTAACTATCAAAATTTAATTTGCGAAAATTGCCAGGCAACAAACTGTCATATCAATCGAAAATATTGCCGGCAAAATTTTGTCACTAAATATTTTTAAATGACAATTCTCACTAACCTGTGATCTGAGTTCCCGGTCCATAATCGGCCTCTGATTGCAGAACCTGGAACGGGTTGGTTTCTGGTGATTGGGGCCTGGCTTGTCCGTGGTACGGCTGGTTAACCCTGGGCTTCACGCAAGCATCCACGGGGGCGCCGTCTGGAAAGCAGTTCGCCTCCAGCACCAAAGAAAAAACAACCATCACTCCAATGCGGTACATGCTTAATCGAAATTTGTCTTGTTGCGTCTGATAGAAAGATCGAGCCGTAACTAACATTGATTTTGAAATTACATGCGAGATACAGGACGGAGGTGGGTCTTGAGACCTACGGGGGTCTCAGCGGTTGGTCTACTTTCACTTTGTTTCATCTCGTTCGTTCGGGCCCATTCAGTTTTCTTGGTGATGTGTTGCATAATCGGAAATAAGAAGTGATTTTATCATTGGCGTTTTTCTCACATAAAAGATATAATCCTTATGTAATACTAAATATTTTGAAGCGTATATAGCCTATAATATTTAAGTAAAAAGGCTTTTGTTCGCCTTATCATTATCTATAATAATCAAAATTGTTGCATTTAGAAGGCATAAATGCAAAAATCGAAATGTTAACGAATGTATTTACAACCTGTTATTATCTGGTGCCAATTTTAAATTATAAACGTCATCGAAGTACGGGAGAGACTTGTACCTTGGGCAGGATTTTTTTAAACGGATATTACAAATACAAATATTGAAGTTATATTTTTAAAATTTACACTGAAGCAGGTATAAACTATTGTAATATATAAAATAGAAATAACTGATTACATGAGTTGGTTTTCTTAAAAGAAAAAAATCCTGAACGCCTACAATTTGCCCAAGGTACAATACGTATTATATCTTGGGCCACCAAAGATTGCACCTTGGGCCACTGGTAAACATAATTACCAACACTTTTATTTTAATAATTAACAGACACATTTAGAGTTACATAGGAACAAAATCCTTTTAATATTTGTTTTAAGTTTTGTTTAGAATAAGGACCATTTTAAGCAAAATGAGTTACCAACAATATAAATCAATGATTTATTATTATTAAACATAAGAACAAACAATTTACATAACGTGTTCTTGTCTTAATCTTGTTATCCTCTTTTGCGGAAATAAGTAGACCAATAGGCCAACCCTGTAAAAGCATAACCGAATAAAAATATATAACAACCTGTTATTTCACACGTAATAGAGGCGCGGGACAAAAAATCTCAATAAAATAGCGTAGGATAACTTAAACAAATTGTTGATCCTTAAGAATGCAATGCCAATATAATAAAAGTACCTATGTATATATTTTGCAACATATTTGACGTCATTTTGATGACTTTTTTTATAAAATAAAACTATAGTTTTGTCTTGTTTTAAATTTGTAACCTAAATACATCCCCTCAACTTTCAGCAAACTCCCCCGCCTATGAGAATGACATAACGCGCGTTCATTTTAATGTCTTTTTGTTCCTTTATCTCGATTAATTATCTTGATTTGTTGATGGTTATGTCGCAATGATTTTGTTAAAATTGATGAAAGCTGTATTAGACGCTAGTACTATCAAGAGTGGTACTTACAAACCAGTTGTAAGCGACATTTTTGTAACTTTATTTCGTAAACACGCATATCAGAAAGTAGGTACATGTATAGGATTTAGTACAATTATGTGTGATGTAATAGAATCGTTAATGGCAATTTAATGGTATATATTTGATATGACAAATGGCTATGAAGATTTGAAATACCGGATTATATTAGAAACAAAAATTATATAAGTAGGAATGTTTTATAAAACAAACGATTAGTAACCGATGTAATAAGAAGGACCAAGATGTTCACTCAGTTTAATATTTTAACTAAGGTTCAAGAAAAATTATGAGATACATTATAGAAAATTGTTCTTTACAGAGATAGATGTAAATGCTATATCTATAATGTGTCTTGAACAGCGCAATTTTGGTGCACTCCTTGAGATTGTCCTCGTAATGTAAAGTATGTTGCCTATACAAAATGTCATACGTATCAGAACCGCAATCAGCAACATTGTGCACAACAAAAAAAAAAACTATATAAAGAAATTACATAATTTATAAAATATAAAAAAAAATATAGAAACAAAGGACTTAGACCCCGAAGGTCTGTATGAGGTAATTAAAAAATATATTCATGAAGCGGCAAATGAAGCACTGGGAAAAGTTGAAAATCGGAAAAAAGGAAAACCTGAATGGTTGTCAACGGAACTAGAAGAGAAAGTTCTCAAGAAAAAACAAGCATATCACATATGGCTTTAATCCAAAGATCCTCAAGACAGAGAAATATACGCTAAATGGAATAGAGAAGTTAAAAAAGACGTGGATAAGGCGAAAAATATAAACTGGGAGGCTAAGTGTGATGAACTGGACAGATTTATGGGTGGAACAAAAGTGGCGCAAGCTTGGAAAACATTAAAACAGTTTAGGAAAAATGAGAAAAATGAAGACAACATTTCTCTCATAAAGTTAAATGAATGGGAAGAAGATTATACGAAACTGCTGAAAGAGGATAGAGTAGAGTACAGATGGGAAAAAATAAGGGAATTAATAGACAACAGAGACGAAAGACAGGAAATCCCTATAATAACATTATCTGAATTGACGGAAACCTTAAAAGAGGTTAAAAACGGAAAAGCCGCAGGGCCTGGAGACATTCCCATAGAGCTGGTTAAATATGGGCCGACTGCACTTTTAGAATTAATAGTAGACCTTTTCAATAAATGTATGTGCGGAGACCAGGAAATTCCTAAAGATTGGAATAAATCTTATATAAGCTCCATATATAAGAGAGGGAATAAAAGAGACAGTTCCAATTATAGAGGTATTAGTGTGACGAGCTCTGTGGGCCGGTTGTACGGCAGAATATTAAAGAAGAGGGTTGAAAGAAAGATACAAGATATTGAAGAACAAAGCGACTTTCGTACCGGGAGATCCTGCCTTGATAATATATTTATCCTACGACAAATAATTGAAAAGCGTGTCGAAAGAAGTAGAGAGACCCATTTGGTATTTATAGACCTTGAGAAAGCATATGATAGTGTCCCGTTAAAGAAAATGTTTGAGGTCCTCAAAAGGTCCGTATTGGATTCGACGTATATCCGAGCGATATATAAATTGTACGAAAATGCAGTTAGTTGTGTAAAAATTGGAACCAGAACCTCAAATGAATTTAAAGTCACTAAAGGCCTAAAGCAAGGATGCTGTTTGTTACCGACACTCTTTAAAATATACGTCCAAGAAGCATTGAGGAATTGGAGAAATAAATGTAGACTTATGGGCATCGAAGTGGGACAAGAAACTCTGTATACATTGTTGTTTGCAGATGACCAGGTGGTGGTTGCAACCGATGAGGAAGATATAAATTATATGAATCGAAAATTATTTGAGGAATATGCCAAATGGGGGCTTACTGTAAACATAAGCAAAACAGAATATTTAAAAATTGGAGGAAATACCACAGATCTGAGGCTTGAAAACGCAGTCATAAAAGGCTGCAACCAGTATAAATATCTAGGAAGCATCATATCAGCAGATGGCAGAGTTAAGATAGATGTACAAAACCGAATAACCCAAGGGAAAAAATGCATCCGAATACTGAATTCATTACTGTGGTCTAATAAAATAAAGATGCATACCAAACTTCGCGTATACAGAGTAATTGTAGAACCAATTACCACATATGGTGCCGAATGTTGGACGATGACAAAGAATGAACGAGATAAAGTAGACGTTGTGGAAATGGATTATCTTAGAAGGTCATGTCGAGTATCGAGAATGGAAAGAATCAGGAATGAGGAAATACGAAACCGTACAGGAATTAGAGATACTCTTTCAGATAGAATACAAGGAAGGCAATTACAATGGTATGGTCACGTGATGAGAATGGAGGAGGAGCGGTGGCCAAAGAAAGCCTTAATGTATGTTCCGCCAGAAAGAAGGAAAAGGGGAAGACCACCAAATTCCTGGAGAAGAGAAATTACAAAAACAATGCAATCTAGAGGCTTAGAAGAGGGAGATTGGGGAGATAGGAAAAGATGGAGGCTGAAATGCGGGAAGCGGCAATCGCCGTAGGACTCCCGTTATATGATGATGACATAATTTAATTTTATAAAAATAATAAGTCAAAAAACAACTTAACGCAGGAATTAATTTATTCTTAACTCTTAACATTATTAAGAAAGTAAGTTGGATTTTATAGATACCTATTTTAGAATAAATGACAACACGTGATAATAATATGCGTCATACGCATGATAACCAAAGTTATTATATAATTTAGCTCTCCTTATGAGTTTTATCAAGAAGCGTATCAGTAGTGAAGAATTTATCATTAATATGCTGTATGGAATATTAAAATCATACAATCAAAAGCAATATTTTATAAGAAAACGATAACTGTCAATATATTACCCTTCTTATCTCTTTACTTCTTTTGTTTGAATTCCTTTTTGCTTTTGTTCAGTTTCTGGTAAAATTTTTTCGTCTCTGTTGGCTTATTTAGGTCTTGTAGTTCTTTGTTCATAGTCTCTCTACTGCTTGTCGGGTGCTGTATCCCTGTTGTATCATTAAATATGCTCTGTTTTTTCTCTCTATTATAATCTGATATTCTTCGTCAAAACAGCCATTCGTTCTTCTTTGCTTACCTTTCATGCTTAGTAATTCTTCAGCTGCTTCTTTCACGATGCTTCTGCACCCTTTCCATTCTTCATTTATGTTTTCATGTTTTAGTCTGTTTTCTAGTTTGATGTTTATATTTTATTAAATATTCTTTATTTTTGTTTGTATTTTTAAGTCCTTCTACATTGCATCGTTCATGTTTAGAACCTATTTCCTTTTTTAAACGTTTAAAATTCTGACCTTTACCACCTACATTCTGACCTACTTTCGATCCACTAGTGAACAGAACCCGCATTTGCTCCTCTTCTGGTGCGAACGTTTATTATATTGGATTGATGTCTCAAGTCTACAATACAAAACTACTATGAAAAAGACATTACTTTTTAAATCAGAGCATTCAAAATATTTAAAATTCGTTATTTCTCAGGCACCAATTTTTTTTTATTTTGTTGGGCTGTTATCATTCCTGTTCCATACCATACAAGTTAAACGTTTACTTTGTATTTTAGCTCTTCCTTTGACGGAATTTTTAGTTTTTTATTAACATTTATAAAATGAAAATATTTGCTTCGTTGTGTAGTTGCGAAAATCTGCCGATTCAGCTGTTGATTCATCTGTTGTGTCTTTATTTTATTGTATAAACATATTTCTACATAATGTCAGGACATTCTTCGAATCTTGATAATTGCATTTCGTTCTGTGGACGGCCTTAAACAAAAACGTAGGGTTAATTTTGGGGGTTATTGTATTTGTAACAATATGATTCATGCCCTGCATGACTCGATCTATAACTTCTTCCAAATAAACACGTTTTGGCATGTTTTAAAGCTTATTTTATAAACTAGATATAATGTATTATTATTATAATTATAAGCAGATATGTAATAATCTATTGTTACAATGTAAAGTGACCAGCAATGCAACGTGACACTTTTAACCTACATAAAAGGATCAAAAACTTAACAAGAGGAAACAGATCACGAAGTCATAACTTAATACTAGATGAGCACAATAATCTGCTTTACGAAAATGAGAGAATACTTGATAGATGGAGGTAATATATGGAAGAATTATTCAAAGAAGAGCAAGAGACATAAGTCAGAATGTTTCTGGATGTTCAGAACCAAAAATATCGCTCAGTGAAGTAACATATGCAATAAAAAGACTAAAAACCAACAAAGCACCTGGACCTGATAAAATAAAAGCTGAAATATTGAAACTATTTGAAAAAAACCAATTCAAACTCCTTACGAGTCTACTGGACAAAATCTATGAAACTGCAGAATTTCCTACAGATTGGTTAGCTTCCACCTTCATCCCCCTCCCCAAAAAGGCAAATGCCACCAGATGCTCTGATTACAGAATTATAAGCTTAATGAGCCATGCAGTTAAAATCCTTCTTTCTGTTATTCACTCTCGCATATATAGAAAACTTGAAGAAAACATTAGCAGTGTTCAGTTTGGGTTTCGAAGCGGACTGGGAACGCAGAAGTTCCTATTTTTCATAGAGGATAAGCACCAAAAGAAGAAGAAGGAAACATATTTTCTTACGCGCCGCTCATGATCGAATTCAAAAATTCCGAGAATGCATGATAGTCACGTGATCTCGGCTATTTTTGACCACTTACGACGCGTGATTTATAGTTTAATTTAATATTTGTCAGATTATACATACAGGATTGCTGAGACAATCTAATTATTTCTGTTACAGAAATACATTATATACATGAAATATATATAAATTGATTCTGCTTTAGTAACTGATTATTATATAGTACGTATTTTTGAGCAGTTAACATTAGTTTTTGGTTTTTTTGGTTTAAGTGAAGTATTATGTTTATTGGCGATCTGCAATCATTTAAAAACTAAAAAGAAAATTTTTAATTAAATAGCTTGCCTTTTTGCTTGTGATTCGTCAAAAAACGGCCATATTTACACAAGAAAAATATGCTTAAAATACACTTAAATTCCATCAGTTGACATTTATATTTGAGCTTAAATCAGTAATTTTTAATATTCTTATTCACAGAGTTCTATTAAATAACCTAGATGTCCAACTCCCTATGATCTTATTAAGACGAAATGTTTGGAAAACTTTTAGTGGAAAAAATAAGGGGGCAAAATTTTGAAAATTAAACTTAACTGAATGGGTATAAGAAAATGGGCGAGCGGTTTACCTCTACCTACAAGCAGATCATAAACCTTTTTTATTCGATTCCATACATTTTTTCAAGTTAAAATGTAATTTTATTAATTTTTCCAAGTGGGCTGGAAATTATTATTAACAAATAACTTATAACAAAAAACATTTCGAGTAAAATTTTTGTAGGCGTATCTCATCGAAATAAATACTTTTTCTATCTTGGAATTTTTTCAAAAAATGCTTGGTTTTTGACTTGTTTTTTGTTAAAAAAATCCCTTAATTAGTGATTTTGGGTTTTTTTAAACTTCTAAATGAATTACAATTCTATATAAAGCTTTTTAATCTTTAAACCTTCAAGTACAACATTAGTTTTTAATAGTAGAAATCACTGATTTTCATGGTTTTTTTAATACAATTTCATCGCTTTATGAGCTTCAGATAAAAATGTCTGATACTCTACTGCCTTTTTTAGTTTTGAAACCTATATTTTAACAGTTTCACTAGTTTCGCCAAAACATTCAAATTTAAGATATTAAACTTTTTCAGCTCTTCCGTGTAATCCTAGTACAGACCTGTTTATAGGAATATTCCATTTCTAAGAACCCCTCGAGTTATGCAACGCTTTCTACATCACGTATGTTATTCTCGTCTGGCTGTCAGTGCGATTTCCAAAAACCAGTGTTGACATAACAACAATCGTATTCATATGTGACGTTCTTAAACCAGATTTTTGGAAATTATAATTTTCTATGTTGTTCCACATAAGTGTAGTGTATCTCCAACTCGATGGCCGCACATCCCTAACGGTGTAGACAAAAAATTGGATAAATTTCGAAAGAAGAAATAATCTAATCACGAAAATATTTTGAAATTGTCAGTGCTATGACCCGTGGGGTATCTAATTTTCAAATAAACAATTTGTTTAGACGCTTGTCGAAAACCAATGGAGATCTTCGTCTGTCAAACAGTATTGTAGCTCCTGCTGTTGTTAATAATTCCGTTTGGAGCGCCAATTTCAAGTTAACCCCAAATATTGTATCAGTAACAAGTAGCTATTGTCATTTGCACCAATTTAGAGAGATGGCAACTCAAGCAGAAGCGAAGAAAACGAATAGACTAGTATTAGAAAAATCTCCTTATTTGCTTCAACACTCCACAAATCCAGTGGATTGGTATCCTTGGGGACAGGAAGCTTTCGACAAAGCAAAGGCAGAAAACAAGTTAATTTTTTTGTCGGTGGGCTATTCTACATGTCATTGGTGCCATGTGATGGAAAAGGAGTCGTTTGAGAATGAATCTGTAGCCGAAATAATGAACAAACACTTTGTTAACATCAAGGTCGATAGAGAAGAGCGACCTGATGTAGATAGATTATATATGTCTTTTGTACAAGCTACTGCAGGTAGTGGTGGTTGGCCTATGTCTGTGTTCCTCTCTCCAGATTTAGAACCTGTAGCAGGAGGCACTTATTTCCCACCTGAAGATATGTATGGAAGACCAGGCTTCAAGAGCGTCTTAAAGGATCTTGCCAAACAGTGGAATACCAATAGATCCAAGATGGAAGCTGCTGCAAAGAAAATAATCGGTATTTTAAGGAAAATGGAGGTGAAAGAAACAACGGATGGTCAAAGCATACCTGGAGAAGATGCTTGGAAGACTTGTGTTTTGCAATTAACCAGAAATTACGAATCAGATTATGGTGGATTTAGTACAGCTCCCAAATTTCCACAACCAACCAACTTTAACTTCCTGTTTCACATGTATTCTAGAAACAAACACAGTGAACAAGGCTATGCCTGCTTAGAGATGTGCCTACACACACTAAAAAAGATGGCCTATGGTGGGATTCATGATCATGTTAACAAAGGTTTTGCAAGGTACTCAGTTGATGCTAAATGGCATGTGCCACACTTTGAGAAAATGCTTTATGATCAAGCCCAGTTAGTTGTTTCTTACTGTGATGCCTATCTTCTTACAAAAGAAGAATTTTATGCTGATGTTGTTAGAGATATCCTCACCTATGTCTCTAGAGACTTGAGCCATCCACTTGGGGGTTTCTATGGAGCTGAAGATGCAGATTCTTATCCATACGAAGGTAATTGTCTTAAAATTATATAAATGAGTCACTAAAATGTTTTTTATTATAGGTGCTGCACATAAGCAAGAAGGTGCCTTTTGTGTTTGGGAATATGATGAGATATTTAACCTATTAAATGAAAAAACTGACAATATATCCCATGCTGAACTAATAGAATACCATTACAATGTTAAAAAAGAAGGAAATGTTAGGCCTTCACAAGATCCTCATGGAGAATTAACAAAAAAGAATGTATTAGCTTGTTTTGGATCATATGAGAGCACAGCTAACAAGTTTGGAACAACTGTGGAAAAAGTTAAGCAAATCTTAGAAAAATGTCATGAAATTTTGTATTTGGAAAGACAAAAAAGACCTAAACCACATGTAGATACGAAAATCTTGACATCTTGGAATGGGTTGATGATTTCTGGATATGCTAGAGCTGGTTTTGCTTTAAAAGACCAGGCATATATAGATCGGGCAATAAAAGCGACCAGTTTCATCAAAAAATATCTCTATGATGAAAAAGAAAAGAATCTTATAAGGTGTTGCTATAAAGATGAGTCTGGTGGTATTACTTTGGGCAACATGCCTATATCTGGCTTTATAGATGACTATGCCTTTCTCATTAGAGGTTTATTAGATTTATATGAAGCATCTTTGGACGCAGAATGGCTACAATGGGCAGAGACTTTACAGGAAACTCAGGACAACAAATTCTGGGACAGCAAAAACAGTGGCTACTTTACCAGTGCAGATGACGATACAAGCATCTTAGTACGTGGTAAAGAAGTGCAGGATGGAGCTGAACCTTCAGGAAACTCAGTTTCCGTACACAACCTTCTTAGATTGTCTGTATATTTACATAGACAAGACTTACATCAAAAAGCAGAGAAGATACTGAAGGGATTCAGTGATATGTTGGAGAGAGTTCCTATAGCATTACCAGAAATGACTTCCGCTTTGTTGTTTTACCACAATTCCCCCACTCAGGTAAGGTTTTTATTTAATTTCTATAAAACAAAACACAAATATACAATTGAGTGAATACTATATTGAATTAAATCTTTCTCTGTGCTCTAATTGGTCATATAAGAGCCTTGTTCCTGTTTTTTATTCATATAAACAATCTACATGACACAACTATGGTATCTGTATTAATTTTTTGTTTATTTTAAAATTACCCTCTTGCAGGTCTTCATTGCTGGTGCCAAAGAAGACACAAACACCCAAGCTCTACTAGATGTCCTCCGTTCGCGCTTCATCCCCGGCAGAATTCTAGCCGTAGCCGACGGTCCCACAGGTGCAGCCGGTCTCCTATACCGCCGGCACGAGCACCTTTCACACATGCGCCCTGTCGGCGGAAAACCGGCAGCGTACGTGTGTAGGAATTTCGCGTGCGCTTTACCGCTTACGGAACCGGCAGAGCTGGCAACGTCGCTGGACAGCGGAAACGGCAACAGCCACAAAAAGTGTGATGGAGAGAAGGAATCTCAAGGAAACAGGTCTAGTGATGGTACCAAGTAAAAATATTTATTCTTTTATTATATTATGCTCTTGAAATTATGTTTTATATGTATATATAAGGGATTGTATATATTTATTGAACAGGTTGTTACAATATTAAATATACTGGTATAAATTAATTGATATTTGGTTTTAATTTAACCTTCCTTAGTTGTTTTACCAAGAAATAAATATAAAATTGGAATATCTACACTTTATAATGAAGATTTGTCAATATTATGACATTATTACGTCATAGTCACACTTTTTGTCAAATGTCAGCTGTCAAATATGCTGTAATTCGTGAATTTGTCAACAGTATTTGACAAAAAGTGTGATTGTGACGTAATAATGTCATAATATTGACAAGTCTTTATTATAAAGTGTAGATAACATATTATATTGTGTATGTAAGCCTTCCAGGCAATGGTAAAAGTAAACAAGAAGAAATAATAACATTTTATTTGTAACTCCACTTTTACATAAAGCAACAGCACCATATAAATAAATAACTTAGTCACCTTAAGAACTATAGAACACATTTTGTTTTCAAATTTGATTTGAGACGAACAATTGGGTAAGTATATTGCTTTGGGCTTAAAGTAGTTCATATATTTGAACAAATTCAAGTCTTTTATTGAAAATACCAAATAATACGATCAAAAAAATAATAATACTCTTATATATAGTTGCGCGGTGATCATTCAAAATGTCTGGAGTCACAAAATCTGTACGATATCACCAAGAAGATTGTCATGTACCAAAACACTTTTATATTTCAGTTTTTATAGGTATCCAACAATATTTCTAAAAGTATGACTGACATTTGAATCAATTTCTCTTTTTGTCCCCCTACTTTTTTAAAAGTGTAATTTTGAGTTCACACGTATTAATAATGCATGTCATTGCCAGACTGTATTAACGCAATAGTTAATTTTTTTATATATAAAAATTCAGTAGACAATCTTCATGGCGATTTAAAATTTGTGACCCCCTGTTTGTAAAAATATATGAACCACCTATTATACTGGAATGATTTATTAACTGGACAAACTGTCCTCGTCGTTTAAGTTAACCTCTTCGTCAATCAGACGTTTAATAGCTTCATTAGAATACCTACAATGATCAGATCCACACTGACACGAAAACGCTTTGTACTTAGCTATCCAAAACTTTTGGCCATAATCGAAGCTGGAACAAAATAAAACAAAGTGTGGTCACGGGTGGCCCTTTCTTGCCGCTACTACAAACTTACCTCAGTTCTTCTTCTGCGCGGATGTCTTTCAGAGCGAAAAACGCTATCCTTGGGAACCGCACGTCTTGATGATCGACGAATACTTTGACAGGATGCAAGTTGGGATTACAGCTGTGGTTGATGAACCTCGTTAGGTTGCCGTAAAATTTGGCATCTACGCAGAAACTATCCTTGTCCTATAATATTAATGTAGTAATTGCTACTAGTGATTAATGATCTTCAAACATTTCTGATACGTCAACAAGTGGCAAATGACACAAAAAGCACGATAATCGTGACAAATGATTACAGAAGTATGGAACAAGCGACAGGTAGCACATTAACAGATACTACCATACAAACATCTCAAATTTAAACGATTTGAAACGTTGAAATGGTTTTAAAACGTTACCTGACGAATAAAGAATGAAATAAATTCATGTAAACTACAAGAAATTGCTTTGTTGACCTACTAGTGACCTTCAAACATTTCTGATACGTCAAAAATGACAAATGACACGAAAAATATTGGTAAAATATGACAAAGAAGTGACATATGACAGAATAAGTATGAAAATCGTGACAAATGACTTCAAAAATATGGAACAAGCGACAGGTGGCACATTAACAGATATTACAACATAAAAATCTAAAATTTTAACAATTGTAAATATTTAAATTGTTTTAAAACGTTAACTAATGAATATAGAATGAAATAAATTCATGCAAACTACAAGAAATTGCTTTCTTGACCTACTAGTCAAGAAATCACGGCGAAATTAGATCCAGAATAGAGCAGGCTAGAGCTGCTTTTAGAAGGATGTCCAAGGTGTTATGTAACAGAGACCTAAAATTGGCATTAAGGATCCGCCTACTTCGCTGCTACGTGTTCTCGGTCTTACTTTATGCTGTCGAGTCCTGAACTGTGAATAAAATCGATATAAATCGGCTTGAGGCTTTCGAAATGTGGTGCTATAGAAGAATTTTAAAAGTTTCCTGGGTGGAGAAGATTCGTAACTCCACAATACTAGAACGTCTCAGCAAGACTACTGAGATCATAAAAAGCATCAAGCAGAGAAAGCTGGAATATTTCGGACATGTAATGAGAGGTCCCAAATATAGATTGCTACAAAACATCATGCAAGGAAAAATAGCAGGCAAACGCAGTCCAGGACGAAGAAGAACCTCATGGTTGAAGAACTTGCGAGACTGGTATGGTGTAGATACAAGCATGCTATTTAGGGTGGCAGTGAATAAAATTAAAATAGCTATGATGGTAACCAACGTTCTGAAAGGACATGGTACATGAAGAAGAAGAAGACCTACTAGTGACCTTCGGATATTTCTGATACGTCAAAAATGACAAATGGCACGAAAATGTTTGGTAAAATATAACAAAGAAGTGACACATGACACAAAAAGTACGAGAATCATTACAAATGACTTAAGAAGTATGGAACAAGTGACAGGTGACATTGACAGATGCTCCGACATAAAATTCTAAAATTTAAGCGATTTAAAATATTTATATGGTTTTCAAAACGTTATCTAAAGAGTATAGAAAGAAATAAAGTCACGTAAATCAGGACGTAGCTTGAAAGATGTTTCTAAAAGGTAAAAAAGAATAACAATAAAATAATACCTTAGTTCCGAGATCGAAGACGAAACTGTCATCTTCTCTGTGGTCAGCGTCGCTGTCAGTCAAAATCTCTCCTACATATTCGCATACGAAATGGCCTCTTTCTATTAACCTAAGAGTTTTCACTCCCCAGCCTTTTGAATCAGTCTTGTAAAGTTGAAATCGATGCTGCGTACCCCTTTGAACTACGCGGTTTCTGCAGGTGATGGCGTTGCAGGTACATGTATCAGAACATTCGAATATTATCGGAGTATCTGGAAGAAAATCATAGGTACGTTACACATTACCACTCCAAAAATCTAAAATAAACAATTTAACGCATAGTTCGTGAATGGAACGCTTACCAGAAAACTTAAAATCCGTAAAAACCTTCCCATCTTCGTCGTACCAGCACTTGACGGATAATGTGCCGCACAAGCAGTCCTCGCCGGTGCATCTCTCGCCGCAGGTGCACCTTTGCAGGGACGACGGTATCGACTTGATAGCAATGCCCTCGGACGATATGATGGATTTCGTTATATACACGTAATCCTTCGGTTCGAGATCGTCGTCAACGGCGTTAATACACTGTACTGGATTGGATTCTCTGCCTTTTGATATGTCCCTGAAATGTTTACGTTTAAAATTGTGCCTAGACATTTGATAGAAAATTTACACATCGCATCCTTGCTTTAAAAGTGACACAACTCAAAAATGACAGCATTTGAGTTATCACTATAAACATCATCCGAAAAAAAAACCACACAAATCATCAAAAGCGTTTCAACTTGCATTCAAAAACTTCCGTGAGATGGCGACTGGATTCGGTTTTGATGATTTCCCACTCGGCATTTCCCCTGCAGCATAAGTGTCACAATTTTAGTTAAGTGCCTGTCTTGGTCGTTATTAGACGTCTGGCTTACTACTAAGCACTATTTTTAGTTGTGTCGTTTTTGATGATTTATTTTGTATTTTCTATTGACAATATTTTGAGTTACCACAGTTTTGTTGAAAATTTGTGTAGAGAGTAAACTGCATTAATTAAAATTGGTTCACTTTTGTAAATTAAAGTAAGTAAAACACGTGTTTTTAATTTGAGTTATGGCACTCCTATTGATGTTATTTGTAACGAGCACAAAAATAAACAAATAGAATATTTTTAGGTTAGATGTTTTTTTTTGCTAATAACGTTTAGTTTTTTCCATGTTTTATCTTTTATCTCAAATTATTTTGACGTTTACGACCACAAATAAATCAATTATTATTTAAGAATCATGGCAGTAATTAGCTTGTTCATACCGAATCAAAACAAAATAAACGTGACAAAATGTAGGTTCTATTCTTTCTGAAAACATTTTAATAAATAAATCAACTTTCAGGTACCTTCGTACAATTATAGATCCCATCAAAAGGTGAACCACTGCTATCCTCAAATTGGCAAAAGATAATATTATTTAAGAGTCCTTAACAACAATAAATAACACAGACAAAGAAAATGTTGTTTCTATACATCCTTCGACCGCCAGTCATGCCCACTGCAGCAATATAATGTATAATCACGGACAAATAAAGAAAATCTGTATCTAAAAGTTACGTCGTCGCCAAATCCTCTGTCAATGGGACCCAGTAGCAGTCCTCTTACAGGAAAATGTATTAATCCTGCATCTAACGGAAATATTAAATTAAACTTCGAATCAGACACACTACCAACCCTAGTTTCAACAAAAGATGACATAAGTTTGAATTTTATTGGACATCATAATGATATTGTCTCTCAAGGCGTTGAACCAGAATGTAACAGAAATATCATTTACAAAGCATCATATCGTTCTGAGCGTCCCACTAAATTACATTTACGAAGACAGCCAAAAAGAAAATTTCTAAAGACTTCTGTACAAAGTGAAGAAAGTGATGTAGATGATTCGGATGCAGATCCAAACTACAATCAAAGCTTTAGCAGTTTCTTTTAAAGTGATTTGAAAGAAGAAAAGTAAACAGATGTAATTCAGGCTATAGACTTAATGGATGAAGGTTTGACTGATAAAGAGAAAAAAAGGAAAGCAAGACCTGATACATGGGATGTGAAAAAAACTAAACTATTTAGAAATTCCGGAAAAGCTTGAAAAAGAACTTGTTGATAAAAATATAATACCAAAATTTATTATGAATATTTCTACAAACAAGTTTTTGATTTAAATTAATCTTGTAGGTATTTAATTAACTACATTTAAAAGCTGTTTTTAATGTTTTTTCTTATTTTCATGTCTCTTAATATGAATGTATGCTGTTTTTTACATTTAATGCTCTTGTAAATTTACTTAGGTCAAAATAAACTTATTTTTTTTTTTAAATAAGTGTCTTATTCGAATCAAAATTGTCATCTTAAAAACGTCATAAATCAAAACTTCGTCTAAATTCAAATTTGTAAAACTGTCACTTTTGCACTATAAAATATTAAAATTGAACTGACTCAAAATTATTGATTAATTGGTTAATACAGTGTTCATGAAAAACGTCATAACTCAAAAAATTGTATTTTTAAGGTAATAAAAAACAGATACCAGACAAAACTAAACAAAATGTTGTTTATAAGACCAAACTATAGCTGGTTTTATTTTAAATCATCTAAATATCCCATATCCAATGAAAAATGAGTTTTTTGCTTCTTACCAAAAACTAAATTTTTTGAATTGTGTCACTTTTGAAGCAAGGGTGCGACATATTACCTTAGAATCTAAGACACTGTCAGCCTTTCATGGCAGAAAATACCGGATATATTAGTGGGGTACATAAATTAACTATTTTACCAATACATCGAATAAAAAACTATGTCAATATTGATAAAAAATCCGTCGTTTTAGTTGTTAACGCCTTTGTTAACTATATTCTGGTACTACACAAATAAATTTAAAAATTATCTCTACTTACTCGGCAACTATGTTAGTAAATAGCCTCGACGCAGGGTTCACGAGCGATTGTAATTGCATATTTAAAGCTATGGGATTGTGGCACATGCCATCCTCAGGTACACAGTTCAAAGGGGTTTCGTCGTTCTTGTTGACCAAAAATACATTAGCCCCCCTCGCTAACAATACTATTACGCTATTGTATCTATCTTCTCTAGCAGCTATATGTCTGAAATAGCCAAGAGAACATAACTAACTATTTACGTGATTTTTTTTTTGGATCAATTATCAATCTTATAACAAAAAATATAAAAAATACTCACAAGGGCGTCTCCCCATGTGCGTTAACTGTATTTATATCACATCCTCTATTAAGTAACAGCTCCACGATATGAGAACAGCCACTAAAAGCAGCCCAATGAAGAGCCTCGTTATATTCTACATCTCTTAACCTAAAAAACATTCTCTTCTTAATTTCTAATTGTGACAAAAACGGTTTGCGTAATAAAGTGCATTTATAAAGGTAAAATATGTACATTATTGGTATAATATATTGGCAATGACGATTTAAACATTAGTAAAACATCACGAACTGTAGAGGTAGTCTCCAAAAGTGAATTGTATCATAATGACGCACGGGTGAAGATGTATATATAAATAAACCTACCTATGATCTGCTCCTTGGCCGATGAGAAAGTCCGTGATTTCAGAAAACCCATTTTCGCACGCCCACACCAGCGGCGTCCATCCCCCATCATCCTGACAATCGATGTACTTCTTAATACTCGCCCCTGCTTCTAGAAGAATTTTACAGGCCTGCAGATTGCCGCATTTTGACGATACGTGCAAAGCTGTCATACCGTCGGTTCCCTGGAATTACAATTCACTTAAATAGTGTCATTTTATAATATTTCCACCAAACACCTACCTTTAAGGCTATATCAGCTCCAGCTCTAACTAGATACTGTACGATATCTATCTTGTGTCCGGTTATAGCCAACATCAACGGCGTGTTTTGTTCCCCGTCTATTTCGTTTATGTGAAGACCTACCGATACTAGCAGATGGCACATTTTCAGCCATCCTTTGTGCGCGGCATAGTGTAAAAGTGTCCCGCTGTTACAAGCGTCTAGTTTAAAGTTAAGATCTACCGAAGTGGAAGCTGGAAAGTCGAACAAAAACAAACAATTTTTAATAAATATCCAAAATATAAAGTTTTTTTACAATTAAATAGCTTTTCGGTTGTTTTTACACACTATATTTTATATCAGCACAAGAAAGTACTTTTAAAATACTTACATTTAAAATTGAAAGTATTTCAAAAGTACTTTCCTAAATTTTCCATCGAAAAAAGAAACGAACTCACAGGCTCACAGGCCCAATTTTTTATCATTCTATACACCAAATAGAAACAACTCCACAAGGTTTAACTCTTCAGGTCGTGGATTCATTAGGATTTTAAACAAAAAATAAATAAATAAATAAATAAAACAGAAATATCAAACTCCGGGACACAAATGGACCCTTCTGTATACCAATATTTCCAATCTTTTTGATTTCGCAACATCTTTACAGGCTGAAATATTCTGGCGACCCCCTTGTATCATAGAAAGCCAAAGAAATAATTTAATTAAAAGACTATATACGTTAGGTAAAGATTTTTTCCTATTTTGGTACAATTATCTGTTATTCACGCTGGCCAAACTGCGTCGACAACGTTGCCACACCGCACTGTCGTTGCGGCAGCGGCAACAGTAAGCACCCCGCGCGCGCCACTATCCACCACCCACCACCCATTAAAAAATGTCACCACAAAAATAAAAGAATGTCTTCTAGACATTCTAAGAGTTTAGGGTTCACGACCTACAGATTGAAAATCACTGCTTTATACTACTATTTAATTTTATTGGGTAAATTCTTTCCCTTCTATAACCAACAAAGTTTTAGTAATGTTTATTTGTGTTGTATAACCATCGAGCAATAAGACAAAAGAGGGAATCTAATCGTTATAAAAAGGAGACCAAAAAAGTGGCCTCTGATGGCGGACATATCCGGAAATGCAAAGGCGCTAAATTTAAATTTTCCAACACTTGTTAACAATACCTGTAAAATATTTTTCAGACAAGAAAGTTTTAATTAAATATCAACGATAATAGTCTAAAAAGTGACATAATTGGTAAAAAACTTCAATAAAAATAAAATTTCATGTGACAGTTGGGACAAACAATAACATAACCAAACTAAATTTGACTTCTTAAACAAGGAAAGAGACTGTCTTTCCTTGTTTAAAGTGGCCTCTCAAGATGGCACTTCCTGTCTATCAATATGTTTACCCCTTCTACCTTTACATTCCCTCTTTTGTCTTATTGCTCGATGTGTATAACATATGTATAACCTCAAAATATAAATTACTAATATAGATAACAAAAAAACATCATAAGAGAGTACTTTTAAAATACTTTCGTTTAAAATTGAATTTTCTATTTAAAAAGATAGAAATTAACGGATAAACCAAATAAAAATTTAACTTTACAAGGCCTGGAATTCATTAAGACTTCGCATAAAAACTAAACAATTGAAATATCAAACTCTGCAATAAAAGTGGACCACTCCATATACTAATTTTTGATTTTATCGAATAAATTTTCTTCCGTCACTGACCGAACAGTAATATTTACTTGTTTTGGATAATGTAAATAACAAAAATATTGATACAGCTCAATTACAAGACGAGAAAATTAAGAAATCAGTTCAAATACAACTGAACGAAAATTTAATTTGGGAAAATATTGGTGAAAACGTCGATGAGGGCTTAAATAGAATCATAACAACAATAAAAGAAATCTGAGTGAGAAATTTACAAGGCACGTCAAAGCTAAAAAAAGCAGGCTTGGATGACAGATGACATATTGGATATAATGGAACAACGGCGACTGGCGAAAAACAACGAAACACTTTACAACAGCATACAAAAAGAAATTCGACGTAAAATACGAGAAGCAAAGAGTCAACATCTAGCCAAACAGTGTCATGACATTGAAGAACTTGAAAACTGATACTACACATTTAACATGTATAAAAAAGTGAAAGAAGCGCCTGGTATCTTCAATAAGAAACAAACTGCACTGCTACAGGATGAACATGGTAAAGTAATATTTGAAGAAGAGCACAAACTTAAAGAATGGGAAAATTACGATTGGTATGATGTTGATACAAGCATGCTATTTAGAGTGTCAGTGAATAAAATTAAGATAGCTATGATGGTAACCAACGTTCTGTAAGGGCATGGTACATGAAAAAGAATAATAAAAAAACATAACTTACCAATGATCGACATCAACTTTTCATTGTCATCATCGCTGACAGCATCCAAAATGTCGTTTTCAGTAAAAGTTGTCCCATCGGCAAGGGTTTCAATACTTTGAAAAGAGTCTAAAGGAATCAGAAGTGGGGTAGAACTACGGATTTGGTCTTTGGCTTTAGAAAAAGTCATTTTAGCTGTCTGGCTAAAATTTATTAATAATATAACCAAAAATAATGACTAAAAAAAATTACTAAGTAATAATTTTATAAAATGCTAACAATACTAAAATATATAAAATAGTATAGGGCCCTTAAAAGTACATAAGTAACAAAGATAACAAGATGTTAGAATCAATAAAAAATATGCAAAGAAAGTACCATTTTTATGATTTCGAAGAATTTTGTTAGAGTTTAAAAAATGGCAGGAATAGAAGAAGAAAATAGGTATTTATGTGCTTTCTTAATATAACAGTTAAGATTATTAATCAGTTCTCATTGTAATACAATGTGATTTGTAAGAGTTAATCACAACTTTAGCTACAAAACAATTCAATATCTCCTTTCATGAACATATAAGGACATTGTGACACTAATTTGGGGCAGAACTGTGGATAATTTTCCATTTTTGTCTCTTTTATGTTCCTATGAAATAAGTACACTATTTTTTTTTAACACAATACCAACAAAAATATTTAGTGATGATTTTTCAAATGCTAATTACAGGATTAAGTTCCTTAAAAGAAAATTATTTTGTACAATTGAGACTGACTATATTATATTCCATTACAAGTGGATTTGTTAAGATTTCTTTAATTTTGTAGACAAATTATTGGTTTAACAGTTATGAATCACACTGTACATTAGTAAATAGTATTAGGTTCATACACCAAATATTATTCATAGGCTATAAAATATGTCCCAAAATTCATACAAGATTTAAATTAATTGTAGAATTGTACCATTTAATCAAAAATCTGTGATATTTACATCATGCATTACTTTTGGGACACCCACTATTACAAATCTACTGCTTACCCTTTCGATTTTTGAGTAGGAAGAAATACGGGATTTTTTGTGCATTTGAATTTAAGTAGGAGGTCTCTGGAAGGAGATGAGGTGCCGCAATGGGGACAACATTCTGTACTACCTACTATCAAACGACATTTTTCATGAAACTGATGATTCGATTCACATTGTACAAATTTTCCCTGTAAAATACAAAGAATGGTAGTTTAACACTGTTATATAAAAACAGCTGTGTTTTTATTTTAAGTCTTACCTACCTGGGTACAAAATATGCCACATGTTGGGCAACAGTTGTGCCTAATCATTCTATTTTTGTGTAATTCACAGAGAGTCATGTATGGTACCCTTCTAGATGGTCTTATAAGTGATGATACATTCACAGTGACTTCTCTAGAGCATCCTACTAATTTGTCATCAATACTATCAACAGCAGAACAATAAACAATATCTGCAACAAAGATTAAGACAGCCATAATCTACTTTATCATTTTTTTTACATGTTAGTTAAACATTTTGGTTTTTAATTGAACACTGTTGGATATTATAATCTCTTATATGTTTCCTTACCTTCACTATTACCTTCAGCTACATAAAAATGTGTCTTTTGTGTGCATAGACATAATCTTAAAGCCAGCTCCGGATTTTCTCTCATTAATGTTGTGGAAGGATGGCCTGGGATGTCTTCAACCTGATCAGCAATGTTTGGTGCTGGATCTGGAGTTGCTTCAACTACTTTCTTAATTGGACTGTAATCAAAAGATAAAATAAATACAGTAAAGTCTAAAGTTGTAAACCCTAAAATTGCTTTTTATAGCCATTAAACCAAGGTAATGATAAAAGAGATGTTCAAAATTGGTTACCTATTAGATAATCTTCTAGACTTCCTTATAGATCTAACATTATCAACTTCAAAATCATCCTCTGAACAATTTAGATCAGACTGACTATCCTCATCACTTTCATTGACTTTCAACATTTTAGTAACTTTTTGATTTTTCCTAGGAGTTGTGCTAGTTTTTTTGGAGTTGCCTTCACCTAGATGATTGTTGTTTTGTGTGTTGTCTTTCATCTTAACTCTTTTTACTACGTCTTTGGCTTGTGCGATGTTTTCTAGCACCTTCTGTGTTGGTTTCAATTGTCTTGTCAATCTTTGTCTGGTGGGTTCATTGTAAGACTTCTTTCTGGCAATTGCGTTTTGTAAGACCGATTTTTTAGTGGCACTTTTCATTCTTCTTGAGTATCTTTTTGTACTTTCTTCGGTTTTTTCATCGACTTTTTGTTTGCTTGAACGACGACCTAATAAGATGATTTAATTTTATTACATTGCATTGTACGTAAACTATTGGAAATTTACCTGGAGTTCCCGTGTTTGATTTTTTTGGTGATGTCACGGTTTCCTCGCTATTCATTTCTACCGATTCAGTCGACTCTTCATTTCTCAATTCTACTTTTGCAGAATCGGTTCTGTTAAACGTATTTTTCATTTCACCCAACAATTTATCAATAAAATTGTTATCATACTGAGAGTACGATTTATTATCATTAGTAGTCATTGTACATAGGTTGATTTAATATTATATATTATATTTTTAAATTTGTTGTAGTATTTGACAACCACAGCCCTTTAACCAAAACAATCTGACAGTTCATCAGATTTGATAATTGGCATATCACAGGACACAGACACAAAAGCAGAAATCAAATTTTGACATTATGCCAATACCACAGAATAATAAACAATTGTTATTTATTCTATGCCAACATTGCTAAACCGAAATTTTTTGTTCCATGTTTGACATTTGCGGCTATACTCAGTTTTGTAAACTCAACCATTTTGTAATGTCCTTTTCTTTTGTTTTATGGCTTCCACCTCTTAGGTACGTGGCCAGCTCAGTTTTGTAATGTCCATAAAGATTTCAAACTTAGTGGTTAAATTCTTTTGCTTTTCTAATCATAGAATTTATAAGGAATAATTGACAGGAGTGTAAGATGACCTTTAGTGCTGATATTCATAGAACTACAAATTGTTTGGGGAAGTAATTGACATACGTCTAAGACACCCTTTTGAACTAATAGCCTTTAGCCACAGAATAATTATTAACAATGTTTATTATTCTGTGCTTTGGCATTGATAAGCATAGAACGAAGATTCGATTTTAGAAATAATTGACAGACGTGTAAGACACCCTTTAGAGTTGGTAATCATAGAACATTGTTCTAAGAAATATTTGACATGCGTGTAAGATTCCCTTAAACATTTGTAATCACAGAACAATCATTTGTCTGAGGAATAATTGACATGTGTGTAAAATACTCTTTAGGGTGGGTTGTAACTCGAGTGGTTTAACCCAGTGATCACAGGACCAAGGTTTAACCTTCCGACTGCGGTCAACTTGTATTTTGTTGTAACACACGTTGGTCGATTGACCATTCGTCATAAGGTGGCAACATTGATATTTTGACAGAAAGCCGTTCTGACAGCACCGCCGGGGGCGCGGCGGCACCGTTCGTTATATTTACATTTTATTATAGCTTTGCTGCTTTGAATCAGTTGATTGTCTTATAATTTCTTTGTTTTATGTAGTATTAGTGAATTCGTTGTATTTTTAGGGGTTTTTAATTTTAAACAGTATAGTGATATTAAGATTTTTAGTAGTTATAGGTATATTTAGTACATTAGTGATAATAGCAAGTTAATTGTTTTATTTAAGTTTGGAAGAGCACTATATTTTTTCAAAAAGGATGGGTAAGAAACTATTAAATATGAAAAAATTGTGTCTAAGACCTTCATTTTTTAGAATCAAATGCTAATAGAAGAACAGTAAACTTCACAGAAAGTGAAGAAAATATGCTTCTTTTATTGATAAAAAAATATGCAACTATTATAGAAAACAAAAAAACAGATAGCTCCATTAATTACAAAAAAAATGAAGCATGGGCCCAAATCGAAAGAGAGTTTAATGCAGGTAGTAGAGGGGGAACCTACAGAAGTAGGACAGTATTAAAAAATAAATACACAAATATTAAGAAGAGATCAGTAAAGAAATTTTCAAATGCAAAAAAAATGATGTATTGTACAGGTGGGGGTCCTAATATTCCATTCACAGATAATGAAGTGGATACCACAATTAGGGAGATAATTGGATCCCGAACGAATGACTGGTTTAACCTCAGAGTTTGACAATGATAGTCAAAGTAAGTTAATTTTTCTTCTAAATATGCCTTCAACCTCCCATTAAATTTTAGTTAAATTCATATCCTGTCATTTAGATGAGTATTGAGTGTGTATAGGTAAAGTAGGGACCACCTAAGTTTACCATTACATCATCAGTTAGCATCCAAAATAAGTAAAAAACTAGTCAAGTTCATGTAAGCTGGTTTTGTAGCCATCTCGTTTACAATTTTGAAATATTGTTTTTATGTAATCTCATATTGAAATGTAATTTTGTAACTCTGTTCCAGTTGAAATAGAATATGAAGAATATTCCCCATCAACATCTACAGTGTCAGAGGGGGAAGGTATGGTACACAAAATAATATTTATTATTCAGATTACATTATATAGTTAACTTTTAGAACTACTCAATCAGGAAGACTTAACAGTAATTTATAAATCAGATGAGGAGGTGACGGAAACAAAATTAGACAAGACTGTTGTAGGTATGTTAATAAAAAAAAATGTTTTTCAATATTATATTATTTTATTTTTTAGAAGAAAAAAACTGGTCAAAAATGTCTGTGGAGAATCTTAGAACTCCTAAAGCTAAAGAATTAAGAGGAGACAATAATACCAGAAAAAGTAAGTGATGTACATGAATGTTAAAAAGTCCTATCTTTAAAAATAGTGTAAATTGTTTTAAAAGTATAATATGGTGTAGTAAATATTCTATTACCACTAACATGTAAAAACTCTATGATATTAGAGGATTAAGTATCTTATAAATAAGTTCAACTACAGTAAATTGATTAAAGTTTTGATAGTAATAGCATAATTCATTACCTTAAATTGTTTTTTTTTTTTAGATAATACACTGAAATCAAAATTAACTGATTGGGCCAAGTCCAAACAAGATTTACTGTCTATACAGCAGAAGTGTATAATTGATGAAAGCCGCCAGAAATTACAACACAATGAAGAAAAAATAAACAAGAATTAAGACATAGGGAGGAGAGGCACAAACAGCAGTTAAAAATGGAAAAAGAGGAACATCGTATAAAAATGGATATTTTAGAATTGCAAAAAAAACAGTTGTCATAAATTATTGTGAATAAAATTTATTTTATATTGGCTTATACTTTATGTATTCCTTCTTCGATTGCAATCCATGCATCAGTGAGTATTAGTATTAAATTATATATTTTTGAAATGTATTGTAAATTATGCATTATCAAAACTATAAAATTTATAGTAGTCATCATCATCAATCAGCCCTGATTTGTCCATTGTTGAACATAGGCCTTCTCCAAATATTTCTATCTAACTCTATTCTGCACCTCTGCTAAAAACCAATAATAATACTAATATAACTATAATAATACTAATATAATATGATACAAGGATACATAAGAGATTTATAAAAGTCTTTGAAAATATTGGGTAATTAGATTATGCCTAACCAAATTGTTAATATTAAAACGAGGAACATCAGGTATCACCAAATTAATATTATTTGCCTCTTCTATCGCTGCTGCAATATTTTCATTAACAGGTAGGTCTGGTTCATTTCTCATACGTGCTATGTTATGAAGTACTATACATGCAATAACAAGAGCTTCCACCTTGTCTATATTGAGTCTTATTCCTAATGCTAAAACTGGAAATCTTCTTTTAAGAACTCCAAAACATCTCTCTATAGGGTTACGGGTTCTAATTTGACTTTCATTAAACAACTGCTCCACTCGAAGTTGTACATTAGCCAATGGTGTTATTAAATAGGGTTTTATGGCATATCCAGTATCACCCACTAAAACGGCATGTCCAAACTCTCCATTTTCAAATTGGGCTCTCAAACGTGAATTTTCAAATATGGTAGAATCATGAACTGATCCTGGCCATCTACATACTACATTTTGAATAATTAGATCAGGTTTACAAACAGCCTGCACATTAAATGAAAAAAAGCCTTTTCTGTTCCTGTATATTTCAGCATTATTTCCTCCAGGAGACTGTATTTTAATATGCGTGCAGTCTAATGCACCAATACATCTAGGGAATCTACTAATATTGTAAAATTGTTCTTGGACCCTTATCACTTCTTGTTCAGTCTCTGGCATTTTAATGAACTCTGGTGCAAGTCTTGCTAAGCTTCTCAGAACTTTTCTAATTATACGACTGGCAGTAGACTTGTCAATACCTAAAAGAAATAAATATTTAGCCTAATCAAGTTTAACAATAATGTAATACTTCATTTCACTTTAGGGACCATGGCAAAATTACAGAGAAAGCATTAGTCATATAATATAAAAGCCATTTTGTTATGCAATTATTATTACCTGTGAAATCTCCAACTGCTTGTAATGTTGATCCCGTTGCCAAAAACCTCAAAGTCAGTAAAACTTTTTCTTCAGCAGTTACAGTATTGACTCTAAAAACCAGGAGTTTAATAAGTTATAACTTCAGAAGTTAAATAAAGCATTAACTTACTCATACTTAATACAACTAATGTCTTCCTCAATCTCTTCCAATATAAACTGAACAGTTTCTTTTGATAATCTAAATCTAGATCTAAATTCTTCAGGATTCCATTTCAAGAAGTGATTTTCTCTCTGCCTGAATGTTCTTGGAGCCCTAGGGAACAATTCCAATTCCAGTAACTCTAAAAAGTCTTCATCATCTGTTAACTGCAGTTCTTGCAGATCGCCTCGTTCTAAATTCATTATATTACAATGTACATAAAAACAAAAAACAGACCACTTAAAATTGAGGTTAAACACAATTATTAATTATATGTTTTTCGGCACCACCACGGAGGCATTCTCGGCTCGGAACACTGTTTTTAAGAAAATATTTTATTGTTCTTTGGCCTGACCAAAGGTTAACCCATCAAGTTTAGCGGATCAAAAATTCTAAGGTTAACCCGTCGATTAACCACGGTCAAACCGAGTTACAACGATGTTTGGACATTTGACCATTGACTAGAGGTTAACCACTCGAGTTACAACCCGCCCTTAGTGTTAGAACTCACAGAACTATTATTTTGACAAATAATTGACATGCGTGTAAGACATACTTTATATTGATATTTTTGAAGGACATTAAAATGTTTTATAAATTTAATAATATTAAATATTGTAATTTAAACATTAAAGATAATATTTAACTTAGATATGCGACAAGAAAACCGTTTCACAATTTTTTTGATAGTAATATTTGATGAAAAATCAAGAGGCGTGTAAGACCATCTAAGTTTTAAATTTCTATGGATCGTCTATCATCTGTGATTCAAATACTCTATGGTGGCACCATACTTCGCTGTGTTATTTGTTATGCGGCTTCGCTGTATTTGCCCAAATATTTGTTATTCGTCAGTGAAAAACTTGTGCCGGCAAATATTTGCGTCATGCCTGTTTGGTATAACCAGAATGGATGTGGATGTTTGAATAATTTGAAATTATATTTTTGGGAGTGGTGTAATATTGGCTGCATATGAGTTAGGTGCCAATACTTGAATCATGAATTTTTTAAGGTATTAAAAAAATAAAAGATAACAATATACATAGGTTTTATTTATAAAAAATATATGAAACAAAAACAATTGGTAGCCTATTCTTTATATAAATATTTATAACTCATTCCTACATAACAAAAATGAAATTTTATGAATTTAACTTACATAATGTTGAAGTAAAAGTATACCTTTTTACAGAAACGATATTGTTTCAAATGAAAAATTAAATTACTACATTTTTTAGCCGAAACTGAACATTTTTAAACGTTTTTCGACATTAGAAAATATTTTATTTATATTTTTTATTCTTCATTTTTAATCAATAAGTATAATCATTAATTTGATCACCAAATTCGTTTATGAATACCGAACGAATACTACAACCCTGTTAAAAACGACAAATCAAGCGATACTTGCAGAAAGAATTAAGCTTTTCGACAAAATATCACTCGATAATCAACACATTCATTCGAAGCAAATTTATTTTTTCAGGATTTGTTAAAAGCGAAACACAAACCATTTTACGTGCGGAAATTCAAAGCTGTGTAAAGTATTTCAGCGTTTTTGTATATATAATACAAAACAAAGTGTTTGTTCGTCTAAAAAACAATTAAATACTTGATAAGCTACTCATCAAAGATTTCTAGGCATGCTATAATTAGACCGCAAGACAAATATGTCGATAATACTAATTTTCTCAGTAAAAGCATGGAAGACTGGAGAAAACCAAAATTACTCAGTGAAAACACTTAATCTGAAAATGATGTGGTTATTTAAGAATATTTTACATAAAAATATGCCAATGGCAAGTACGGAGGTTTTAGGAAATCTACGATATAGTACTCGGTTTTGGGTTTGATGGTGACGAAAAACTAACCTTAAATTGACAACAGAAACAAACGATGTTCTTAGTAAAAAAAGGTACCTGTAAAGATGTAATAATGTTAAAATAACGACAAATGACAGGTGAAACATTTTCAGGGTGGCCAACTAAAAACGTGACGTCATAACTAACACTAGTCAATATGAAAATGTTTGCTTATAGATTGGAATATTAAAATTTGACAGTGAAAAACACAGTGAACATATTATATGACCTAATAAATTCCAGATGATGTTTATTGTTATCGCAAGTTATGGCCACAATGACATGGCAAGTTTGTTTACATTATGTATAAAGATGTTACAGTGTAGATATGGCTGTGAAACAATTTTGTTCAGAATATTAATGGTGAAAGTTAAATGCAAGCAAACTATACTTGTTTATTAACTTGAATATGATATTTTTTTGGCTAAAGGATCACTATAGCATGTAAAAGTAAATTTGACAAGCTGAGAGAGTTGCTACAATTAATTTTTTGGCCTGGAAGTTTACTCTGCCATTGATTCAGTGAAGTTTGGATGAAAATAATATAAAAAAAAAACTAAAAACCTAATAAAAAATAGCATGTTCCTTGTTTTTAAATCACCAGGAGCATACTTCTTGTTCAGACATAATTTAACCCAAAACAGACGCTTTAACTGTTACTAATCGATGAATAAATAAGAAACGGCCTCTACGGCCTTAACACGCACCTCCTCATCTTCGTCATCCATAAGTCTTAACAATCTATCACAGACCGTATCCAGTGATACTCTGGATCTATTCTCCGGAACTAATTGGGAGTACAAAAGCCCCGCTATAAGAGCGGCGTTCCCTTTGATCTCCTCCCATTGGCTCTTAAAGTACGATAGGCACGTCATTATCAGTAGTGGGAACAGATCTTCTAAATCTTCAGTCTAAAAAAAATAGATTCCGACAATAAATGGTGTACACTGGAAAAATGATTTTATTATAGATAGAGGTTCATAAAAACCAGTACTTACCATTAATTTGATGACATCTCTAATGAAATCGGTGAAATGTAAGTTGGCTTCGTCTATTAGGTGCTCCTGTATCATAGAATTGACCTTGGAGCTTCCCACATAGGGCCCTATTTTCCTTAACGTATACTTGCAAGCCTGCAATACAAAAAAATAATCATAAAACAAGTCACAGTGAGAATTTTGAGGTGTTTCTTCTTTATGTTGAAAAACGGTAAATAATTATTGTAGGTCATAGTCAAGTTTCATAGTTTCAAGCTAAGAAAATAACATTGCACTTATGGAGATCAGTGTTGCCAAAACTCTCAAGCACGTGTTGCTATTAGATTGTCGATATATGATTCATTCTAATCAGAGCCGTATTCAGCACTGTGTAGTTGTAGTTAATTAATTTCACATTTAACAAAAGAATATGTATACAGTTTGTCCCAAACCCTTTTTTCAGTGCGTCACTAATTTTGACGTCATATAGGATTTTAAGAATGTCGAGAATTATTGCATGACATTTTAGTTAAATCTGACAGTTGCAGGATCGTAATCGGCTAAACGTGAAAAGGTTATTTTTTTTAATGCATAGCAGTTTGTCATAATTATATTCTATTCTGTTCTATTTTATACATTCCATGGAAAGTGCTTAATTAGCTAAGATTTGTTTATGGATTTATTATTATTTATTACAAACACTAGGGAATTGGAAGGTTTGTTTATTTAAAATAACGCTTCCTCCTAGAATCTTTTAAGAGTTGACTGCAAGGTAAAAAAAATTACTGACAATTGCAAGGCATCAAAGTAAACATTCCTGCGATAAAATAATATCGATTTAAATCAGTCATATTTGGATAAGGAATTTTCTGATAAGTTTGTGTGGCAGCCAATAGTTTAATTTTGTGAAGAGTTGTCATTAAATAGTGGAAATAGTTTAAATAGTGAAGCAGTTGATTTTTGAGTTATTCTACCAGATTTGGTGTGCAAATGAAAGAAGGTTATAAAGTTTAGTTAAAAAAACAATATAAATAGTTTAAATAGTGAAGCAGTTGATTCTTGAGTTAATCTACCAGTTCCGATATCCAGATGAAATCGTGTTAATGGAGTTTAGTTAAAAAACAAGATACAGAATGTAAGTTTACCTTCTTTTTTATGAATAACAAAAATGAATATTATATTTCAAACAATTTATAATCCCATTCAGAATCTGATTCTTGAAAATCAATGATTACACTAGATATGTGGCTGGTATCAATTATATCCTACATTTTAAGAAAATGTCGTGGTTCTAAAAAGAACCGTTTTAATACATATAAATATCCATAAAGGTATTAGTTTAAGATATTTCCTCAATATCATTCCGGAATTCACAATCTGATTCGCGAGCGACAGAAACTGAAATAAAGATAACTCAGCCTCATTTTCTAATTGAAACTAATTTAATAATTTTAATATTAGTCTTTTTTCATTCTCGGTATATCTCGGAATATTTAAAATATTTTTATGACAATAAATACAGAATTTAATTTTCACTGTAGTTAAAATGTCTGAAAATACTAACCTGGAATGGCAATTATCATTTTATCAGTTGTTGTGAAAGTACTGTCACTGTCATTATCAAGATCATCTGTGTCAAATTATATTTATATGCATAATTGATTGGATATCTATTTAGCATATTCTAAACTCCAACCAATTATACGTTCGTAAGTAGAATTCGCTTTAATATGCGAATACCCGTAAACGATACCTAATTTTCTAATTTCTATGTATAATAATACGCGACTCACGTTTTTTTCTGTCACTTCTAGCTTAATGCGTTAGAGAGAATTCGAACAACTATGACGCACTGAAAAAAGGGTTTGGGACGGACCCATGATACTATAAACTACAGATAAACCCACGCGCACGCAATCAGTCGTGTGACGTCACTTGGCGACAAATGTCACCAGAAATGTTCTGTGTTGTATGGAGTTTTGTCAGATTTAGTCAAGGTTAGTAGATATTTAAGTATCTACTTAAATATCTACTAACCTTGAGATTTAGTTTTGTTTTATCGTTTATCTTGTACGTTGACATCGGTTTACTGGGTAAACCATCGTTCCGAAGGAGGTTTACTTAAACCATATCCAGATTTTCTAATTAAATGTAATGAACTGGACCATATTTTTAACAATTTTAACAAAGGGTCATTAAAATTAACCAAGAATTATTTAAAATCGCTAATAGATTTAGCTGTGTTCAGATGTAATGTTAGTAAAGGTGTAAATTATATTTTAAAATTAGAAAATTGAATAGATATATTAAAGAATCCAAAGTTAAGAAGAAGAAAATATTAAAAATTGTAAAATAAAACTTGTAAATTATTACAGTGTATTTTATTTTATCAGTTGTATTAAATTTTTATTTTAATAAATCAATCCATTGTATATAAATTTCCATTTGCAAAAGGATGTTTAGTTCTTACTTTTTTATATAATTTTAGTTTACATTGCTAGGCTAACAGAGATGTATATATAACATATTTTTCAGATTTAATTGCAGATATTTTACCTAACATCCCTTAATATTCTAAATATTTAAATAAAAACCCCTTTCTTTCCATATATGTTTTACCGACTGTGATGATAAAAGGTTGGTGATAAAAGTGACTTTTATCACCAATTGACGTCATGCGCGTCGATGTACAAAATTCGATTGCGAAGTGGGTTTATCTTGGAAGTCTTAGTATCATGGGACGGACCGTAGTTGAATCCAAATAATGCATTATAAATACTTGTTTCTTTAATTGACAGATGTAGGTATGTAATTATTATAGGACTAATAAAAATAATTAAATTTTACTATTGTTTAACATCACATATTTATTAACGCTTTAAATAAGATGTAACTAAAAAAAAAACAAGTGCACCTTTAATTTTATTTTCATGTAAGTAATAACAATTACACAATTACATACACAACCCTTTCGCCGACATACAACCCCACATCATGATGCTATGTGGAAACTTTACAGTTCTTTTGAGAAAATTCTTATGGAATACTTCTTGAATCACACTTTTTCCCGAATCACAAGCTTTCGATAATCTCCCACAGACATCAAATTTGCTTTTGTCGCTATAGATAACTTTGTCTCAGTAATGTTTGGTTCACGAAAGTTTTGATTTAGTACAAATGTAACGTTTTATTTTTTGAATTTCCGTCAGCAATGGTTTTTTTTGGCCTACTCGAATAAATCAAAAAATGGAAAATTTATATCGCAAAGAAGAACCTATCAAACATACTGATGTGATATTAACCTCCTTGGTATTGCTTTGGCTGTAGACTTTGAATATTGTAGGCAACTTTATGTTGATTAAAACCTTATATCCTAGGTTTTGCTTTATCATTTCACATACATTATAAAATCTAAGACCGCTTTTATTGATATATTTGCGACAGGATTATTTGGAAACATTCATCCCAGCTTCTCTATTCCTTCTAGCAGTTACTTTTCGCAGTGTATTTTTTCTTCGCGACTTACGTATTCTAATTAAAGGCTTTACACTTCCTTGAGAAACAGCTTTTGCACGGACTGACCTTTTGCGCAAATATTAATATACTCGGTTCACTATTCCCAGTCAGGACTGTCTAGTGAATTTAATAATTATTTTTTTGCGAAGTTAGTTACTTTTTGACAGACTAAAAGTGTCTGGAAATTTCTATACAACCAAGTACACGCACTCATAGCCGATATTAATAGCAAACAAACTAAATAGTAAATAAAATAGAAATATTATAAATATTTATTTATCTGCACCATATAATAAATAGTTATGTTAAATTATAACAACTAAAATATATTTTTTAAATATATACTACCCAAATTCTTCTGGGTTTAGTATACACTTCCACTATTTAGAATAATTCTTCTTTTTTTTCAAAGAAAAAAGTCTGCAATAGTAGTATACTTGAGCTATTAATACTGAGAAGTGGAAATTGTTGTGTTGTAGGTTTCCGACAATGAATCTGTCAAAATATACCCGAGCTAAGCGAATGGAGTATATTTGGCAGTTTCACCATATTTTTTAATTATATTAAAACTAGTAGTTGTTGCTATAGTCAATTCATTGGAAAATCATGCAATGTTTTCTTTTCATGGTTCTGATGAATAATAATTTATCTTTATTCATACTCAAATGACGAGTGACAATTATTGTTGACAACGCTCTACCTACTCTTATGTTTGATTTCAAAACCTTCTTTGTTTCAGGCTGATAAAATTTAAGAAACGCGAGGAAAAGCAAAAAATGTTCCAATATTTAGTCGTCAGAAGTTTTCGATTATCAAACAATTAATAGTAATCAAAATTATAGTTTATTCGTCTTCCGGGTTTGGACCGTGTCATTTGTGAGTGACCCAAAAGTGGGTTCATCTCGACGTTTCGCTACAATTGTATGTAGCTTCTTCAGAACAAAGAAAAATCAATATCAAAAATCAATAAATCAAAATTAATAGTAATCAATATAAAATATATAATTTAGCCGTAAAAATAATTCCATACATCATAAAAAATGTTGTTAATTTCATATTTACAATTAAAAAAAAAATAAATAAAAGAATTTCGCTAAATTTCGCAAAATAACTGCGTGTTCCAACACTTGCTGCCCTGTACGTTCTTGAAATCCAGAAGTCTCTTCACCGTCGAAATATTACACGAGCTGCATATTAAGTTCGTTCAATTTCGACCTTATTTATTCGTATATGAGAAATATGGGTAAGCACTGAAGGGCTACTGGTTTCAGTGAGACTCCTTGTGTCTACGAGACGATGCCATCACTCGTAAATGGGAGAGTCCAGATGAAAAAAGAACAGCGTCCCAAGCTGTTCTCCCAAGGGCATGTATAAAGGACGTACTGTTAATCTTATTTATCTATGCGATTATGGGCATAGCTAAATTCCAATGTAAAAGTTTATATCAAATAGCGCAAAAACTATGGCAGATATTGAGATGATTCTTTTTCTATATGAAAGGTCTTAAAAAGTTCTAGTGCACTATTTGGTGTAAATTAATAAATTGTTTAAACAACATTTTTTTTTCAAATATTTTTGGTTAAAGTAAACGTAATTTTTTTTTTTAAATAGGGCACTACAGAATTTGACCCACTTTCCGAATCTGTTTTTATTTTTAACATAAAGTGTAACACAAAGCAGCTATTTGGTATAAACTTTTTAAAAAATCTCAAAGTTCTGCTAAATGTAATTCTCTCTCCGTCGGCACAGGCTGTCCTTGTCGGTAGCTTCTGGATTCTCGCCAACAGGTAGGTAAGACCCTCGGAAGAGGATAAATAATGTTGAATAACATTATTAGTCCCCAAGGAATCCCCAAGGAAAACGAAAAAAAGGTCGCCCAGTACAAACTTGGAGAAGATCCATCATGGACGAGATAAGAAAACAAGGAAAGTCTTGGAATGAGGTGAAGGCCTTAGCGCAAAATAGAACCCGATGGCGAGTTTTCACTGAAGCTCTATGCTCCACTTAGGAGTTCAAGAACCTTATATATAACATTATTAGTATAGGGCTTATTCCGACTTTTGACAAACCAGTGTGTTTATTGTATTTAAAATAGGAGATTTTATATAAATAAGCAGTAAGTAGGTACCTATAATTTGATTAAATTTTTATATGAATAGAAATATTTTCTGTTGATTTGTAACATTTTCCTTCTAAACATTTATACTGTTTTTTATAATAATACTATTGTTTCAGTATTTGCTTATATAATAATAATTTATTATATAGAAACAGCGTAGAATTTTGGTCAATCAGCCAGTACATTTTTTTTTGTATTTCAATCAGAATTATTATTTTCTTGAGCTCAGAGTAATAACCAAATATTTTGCAGTATTTGAATATGGAATTTAATTATTTATATTTATTGGTTAGCAATCTACCAATAGTAAAAACAAATACTGCTCAAAGAAAAAATGTACAGCCTCTGAAACGGATTGATACTATGAAGACGACTACGGCAAGAAATAAGGACAAGCGAAAAACATCCAAAACCCACATGAGAATTACTACTTGGAATATCAGATCACTCACCTCAAGGGACCAAGAAATAACCCAAGTGTTGAAAGAGAAAGAAAGACATTTGTGCTCTACAGGAAACAAAAAATAAAGAAAAAGTTCAATCAAAATTAGGTGAATACATACTAATATACAGTGGAGTAGCAAAAGAAAACAGGGCCAAAGAAGGTGTAGCCTTACTATAATATACACCATAATACACCAAAGGTATCAAAATTACATCAAAGAGTGTCAATACATATCAGAAAGAATAGTAACAGCAAAGATAAGAATGGAGAAGGAAAACCTGAATATTATCGGAGTATACGGCCCAGAAAATCTGTAGGAAAAAGAAGCAAAGGCCGACCGCGAATTAGGTGGTTAGATGGAGTAGAAACCGACTTACGAATATTAAAAATCAGAAGATGGCAACATGTTGCCAAAACCGAACAGAATGGCGACGAATCTTAGAGCAGGCCAAGATCCACAGAGGATTGTCGAGCCAAAGATGATGATGATACGGCCCAGAAAATAATAAGCCTCAAACAACAAGGGAAGCGTTTTATGACCAATTACAACAAGTAGTAGATCAAGTCAGAGAAAAGATGATAATTCACAGCCAATTTGATTATAATAATTAAGGAACCTCATTGATGCCATGTTAAGGAATGGGATTTGTATTTTTTGTTAAAAAATTTGCACAAAAATTGTACCTTTACAGGACCCTCTACGAATTTTCAAAAATGTAGTTCAAATGATGACTAGGGGGAACCTACAAATTCATACCGAACAAGCAATTTCAAACTAATAAAATTTTCTATATCTCCGGACGTACTCAATGGATTTTGATCTTTCTTTTTTTAATCTGTATGTAATTTCTACGTAAATTACAAATATGTAATTTGTTTATATATTAATTAATAAATAGTCTAGTTTGTTCAAACAATTCGTGCAAAAATAATTTTCTTCCAAAAATCTATTTTTTTAATACTAGTATCAATAATCATAGGAAAAATCGCGTTTTTTGCACTAAATTGTTAATAATTAAAAAACAACTCCAAATTCAAGGCAGGAAACAAGTAGGTTTTCTTCCTATAGGTCTACAATAACTAAAAAAGTTGTCAGAGACCTGGATTATTGAATGTCACGAACATGGTCTATTTTTTGCTTATTTCCCTGGAGTATATATTTGATTAACATCTGTGTAATTTCTTTGTCGCTTCATCGCTGGTTTTGCATATTGCTATGATAGCAGTATCATCGGTAAATGTTGCAATTGTGTTATTATCTAGGACAATAATATAACACGTATACAAAAGGTAAAGACACTTCTTTGTGGCAGCCCTGCTGTAATTTCTTTCAGTTCCGTGTACGTTTCTTCCTGTTTAATTCTGAAATATCTTTCCAAGATGCAGGAGTCAATTATTTGAGAGTATAGTTTTGGTAAATGTAGTCTTAGTTTATAGTTATGGCGTCTTTGCCATTCTTTATCATATACCTGAGTCACATCCTAAATTATTGATATAAGGTTGAATGCTCGAATAAATGAACTTTGAAAAATTAAGGCAAATATCGAGCACAAATTTAATAATCAAATCTTGCCCAAGTACTTTCGCATTTTACAGCATCATCAGGAGCATCTGCGCTTGCTGGATAGCCCAAATTTGACGAAGTAAGTCTAAAACGTTAATCTCAAAAAACCTTTATCATCCATTAACTCCGAGTTTGTTATCGAACTTATTCTTCATTTAAAAAAACGTTTCTTGCTTATTTCAGATGGCCCTGATGATGCTGTAGAAAGCGAAAGTACTTGGGTAAGATTTGATTATTAAATTTGTGCTCGATATTTGCCTTAATTTTTCAAAGTACATCCTAAATTGTCCATCATATTATCGTTCATGATCCATGTTTCACAGCCACATAAATAGTAATACAGTATATTTCATCATCATCATCATCAATGGCGCTACAACTCTTCGTGTCTTTGCCGCGGTTACTATTGCCTTCCATGTTTGTCGGTCCTGTGCCAGTAATTCCCATTGTCGCACTCCCATTTTCTCTAGATCTAGGAGTATATTTACATATAACAAATTAAATCCTTAGTTGTAAATTTTTGAAATAAGTACTCAGTATACATCTAAGTTTCATAAATGCTCCTCATAAATCTCATAAATCTAAACTTTTGTAATCCGTTCATTGTTGACAATTAGTTGCATAGGGCCGACGTTTACTAACCACAAGTAAATTATCTTATTTCTTTCATTTGACAATAATAATTGTCTGTTAGATTGGTATTGTAATAAGTAAATTAGTCTCTTACTGAATGATAATAAACAACACATCAAACTTATTCTGAAACTATTTCTTGTGTCATGTTATATTTTATTAGATTTTGGTGTAATAAACCACAACCTATCAAATTCAATATCAAAAATCAAAATTGGAAATGATAGCGTGACTAAGTTATTCCTTCCTTCAAGAAGTCTTAAAAAGAACTGATTCCTATTACTAGTCAGTACAAGGACAGTTATTTTATTATTTATATCTAATAGAGAATACTGTTAGTTTGCGGTATGGACCCCAAAAAATATTTTATTCGAAAAGATTGATAAATATATGGAACTGTGGGAAAATATGCTACAAAAATTGCAAGATTTTTATTATAATTTTTATTTGAAACACCTTCTGAAGAAAGATTAGACATAATTCTATATTTATATAGTTTCATTTTATCAATTTTAATGATCGTGATACTAATCAAATTTTTATGATATATAATTATAATCTTTTTTATATATTTTTTATTTTCCGTAAACTTTAATCTACGTTAAAATTCAGACAGCCAATTTTTCCGTAAAAAAAGTAACAAATAAATTATGTGTGTACCTTTGTTACATTGTAAATTTATGAACGGATTATATTACTTTGATCTGTTATTCTATTTACTCAAAACACCACTAAAGAGAAATTTATGGTTTTATTGTAACCCCCGGTTGTATAATCGGCTCGAGTAAAAGATGAACGCATTTTTGACCTGGGCTTGAGAAAGATATCTGAACGAAGTTTAGAATATTACTTCATGAACAGATTTTGCTTTCGTAAAGAAAGAAATTTTTGAAATAGAGATAGCCTACTGAAATTTACCGTTAGGATTTTCGAGGATGAGCCTTAATATAAAAAGTTAATAGAACATAATTTAATAAAATATTTATTAAAGCTAATAAGATTAATTCTCCTACATCAATCTGTACATACATTTTCTAATAACAATAGCTATAAACTGCTTTCTAAATAAAACTATTATAATCAAGATAATTTTTATGTTCTATTGTAATTTATTTTACTGAAATGTGTTAATTTTTACGCCAGATGTACGATAGAGTGCAATCAGTAATGTGGTTAACAATAATAGTCGTGATTGTTTCAATAGTGGTTTGCAGAGGAGTCACTGACACTACCAGCAACTATTATGATCTTAGTACTTATTGTAAAAAAACGGGTGAAACCATCAAGTGCAAAGATATGATTCATATTATCAGTTGGTTTAACCTCCATCCATTGGGTTTTAGAAACGGTACAAATCTTGAAGTCATTGGCACCGATCCAAGAAAAAGAGCTTATTTAAATCCAGAGAGTTACAGAGGAATGCACAACTGGAAAAGGATTAGAATACTCGACACTAACTTGGACCATTTAGACCCTTATTCATTTGAACACATGGATAATTTGGAATCGGCTCACTTTATTAATACTGGCCTTGAATACATAATGGCGAATATATTTTACGACTTGCCCAAATTACGGGAGGTGATATTGACTAGGAATCGTCTTATTGCGTTGAAATTCTCGGTATCGAATAAATGTCCAATGTTTAAGTTATTAGATGTGGGAGATAACAAGATAAACTTTACCTCGGATGAGAGTTTTTTTTTTGAAATAGGATCAATATTACATATAAACCTTAACAATAATAGACTCTACACCTCCTTCAAAAACGATATGCAGCATTACCCGGACCGTATTAGGAATTTGTGGTATTCGCATAATAAATTTACAGAGCTTAGAGCAGATTGGTTCCGATTGAGGAAGAATTTAAGAATAGTCAATTTTGCGTACAACCAGATAGAATATGTAGAGAATAATACATTTAAGGACAACCCTAATTTGCATACGATCATTCTATCTTACAACAAGTTGACAACTATTCCGATGTCGTTACTTCCGGCAAATTTTTATCCGAACTTAAAATATCTGGCTATAGATCACAACTGGATTATGGGATTAGATACTACCAAGAAAGGTCCCTTGAAACTTTTAACCAACTTAAAGAAAATATCGTTGGCTGGAAATCCGTTTTACTGCAGTTGCTTTCAAGAAGTTCAGAATCAAATAAATCACTTAAGTCTGCAAGAAGTGTGTAGCGAGAAAGAGACCCCGGAACACACAAGGGACCTTTGTATCATAGAAGCAGAAAATTACAATACACCATGTCATTTAATTCCAGCAAGCGAGAACGCCGAAAATCGGGAAAATTTCCTTGAAGAAAATACCGCACTTCCAGTATCCTTTGATTCGATGTACTGTGCTCTTGCAGAATTTATAAATGCCTAATTTTATTGTTAATAATAAAAAATCATGTAAACTTAAGTTTAATTATACGTGTCATACATTGTAAGTAGTTTCTTTTAAAAAAATCAAACAAATTATCTAGCTGTTTGGCAACAACATATCACTAAATTATAATGTGTTCGTTCCGTTCCTGCTTTCGTTTTGTCACCAATCAGTTTAGGTCTTCCATATTGCATGCTCTTCTTATGTTTTCGCTTTTCGTCGGAGTATTTTTATCTCTGTTGTTTCTAATAGTCGTCTCGTTTTAGATGTGTTAGGTCTTGTCTCCGCCATGTATGTTAATATAGATCTAATTGCTGCTTTATAGATTCTTGTTTTTGTGTCTTGTCTTAGGTGTTTGTTCTTCCAGTTGTGTCATTAAGAGATCCCGCCGCTTTACCTACTTTTACCTTTTTTGTCGTACTTCTTCTTCAACATCTCCGTAACTAGTTGCATCTATCAAAACTGCAAAGGTAGTACCTCTGTTTAAGAATAAACGCTCTATTGATGATTACAACAATTATCGATCTATTTCTTTGCTGCCCATCTTATCAAAAGTTTATGAGCGAATTTAAAAAAATCAAATTAATCTACATTTTGAATCTAATAAACTGTTTGCCGTAAACCAGTACGGATTCCGAAAAAATAAAACAAACAACTTTAGCTATTGATAATTTCACTAGCAATGTTTTGGAAGGGTTTGAGAAATATCTTGATACTCTTGCATCGTTTTTAGATCTTACTAAGGCTTTCGATTGTGTCACACATAGTATTCTGCTTAGAAAACTTCCTTATTATAATTTTCATAGTGATGCTATTCAACTAATTGATTCATATCTATCAAATCGTGATCAATATGTTCACTTCAACCAGTGTGATTCTCAAAAACAATCTTTGTTGTTTGGTGTCCCTCAAGGCTCGGTTTTGGGTCCAGTATTATTTCTTATCTATATTAATGATCTAGTGTACTCTCAAAATGAAACAGTCAACACTGTTTTATTTGCTGATGACACTACTTTCTATGCGAACTATCATCCTTCTGAATTCGACACCCTTGATTACCAAACATCTGAAAAAAAATTATTCAATTGGTTTTTAACTAACCGTCTCTCTTTGAACAACTCTAAATCACAAAGTGTTAATTTTACTCTAAGAAATAACACTTGTGTCGAAAACGTTGCTCTACCACAATGTGTAACCGGAGCGAAGTTTCTGGGGATATATTTGGATGCAGGATTAACCTGGGAACAACATATAGTTAATCTATCGAAAAAGCTTTCCCGACAACTTTTTCTCTTCAGGAACCTTGTACAAGTGACTTCCGGGGAAACTATTTTAACATCTTATCATAGTAATTTTCATTCTCATCTGACATATGCTATTCTCTCCTGGGGTCACTCTTATCATATCGATAAAGTGTTTGCACAACAAAGAAAGTGTGTTCGTATTATCTCTGGGCTCTCTTATAGAGCAGACTGTAGAAACTCTTTTAGAATTTTAAAAATTTTAACTTTACCTTGTGTATACATTATGCAGTGTCTGTTGGACATTAAACAAAATCTTAGCCAATACAATGCGCATGTAGATTTTCACAATTATCCCACCAGATTTAACAATAATCTTATACCAGAATTTAGCCGTCTTGAGAGATCCAGAAATGGTTCAAGGTATTTAGCCATAAAATTCTACAACTTAGTGCCAGCTAGAATAAAGGCTCTTAATTTTCATCAGTTTAAGGCAAAAATTAAGAGTTACCTTATAGTGAATGCTTTTTTACATATGAGGAGTATTTTACTTCCAATTTTAATTTGTTGTAATGGTTAACAGTATAATTTAAAACAATATATCTATGTTTTGTGTTTATATTTATGTGTGCGTATTAACTATATTCACATTTACTTTATTTTATTTGACTTGTAAAACATACTTATGTATTAATTTATTACCAATAAACCATCTATCTATCTATCTATTCCCAGATATCTAAACCTTGCTTTTTATTTTGCCATCAATTTCGATTTTAGATCGTAGTGGGTATTTAGATCAGAGGCGGCTGGTGTGATAAAATTTTGGTAGGCCAAGCCAGCAAATTACATATAGCTATGTGTAATCAGTGGCGGATCCAGAGGGAGGAGTTACGTGGTCATGGGGTCATGAGCCCCCCTTAAAAATATTTGAAAACCCACTTATACCTTTAAAATATAATTTTTTCTGCCAGTGGTCATTCAGTTCTGGAGTTGATTTTAATATTAATTCCCAAATTGCTTTAAAATTTACAGGATTTTTAGGGAATAATCGGATTTGTCGTGGCCACGGAAAGCCAGTTCGTGTTTCGCTAAAGTACAAGTTTAAGAAACTAATTTTTTAATGATTTCTCTGTTCATTTTAACTTCTGCCTTGTATCTAAGTTTTGCGATTTTTGATTTTTCATTTAGCAAATCGCGTACAGAAAACGCCCTCTTCTGTACATCCTTAAAGGACATGAGATTACTTAAATGTTCCTTGCAACTGGAATGTTTTTTTAAGGAGGCAGACATATTTTTTCAATCAAAGTATCCTTCACAATTCCATAACAATAATTCGATAATTAGAAAATAACAAACACGGCCAACAATATAGTGTGTTTTTCGTAATACTTCCAGACAACCATTTATAGACATCATACCAAGAACAATTAAAAGTACGCACCTTTTTCCCATCTTTTTAATCAATACGCAATGTTGGAAGGCCTTTCATTCATAATAATTTTTTTTCTATCAACTTCAGTTCTTCTTGATAATGGCGATTCCAATAGTGAAACAACAATAGTGTTGTTTGTTTAAAAATATGTTACAATTATAAATTATGTTACATATTTTTTATCATAATTTAAAAGAAAATTTATATTACAATTCGATAATTACGTTACAAGTGACAATGATGGTCGGCGTAGGCCCGATCGTCTGGTGCCTAAGCAGCAATTATAAACACGACAATAAAAATCGTTGTCCGGCAAGCTGCTTAACTTCAAACGCTTTTTGTGCGGGGATCTTATGTGAGCTGGGTCGGCCAGTTCCGATCGGGCCTATTAATGATATTTAAAATGCCTGAATACGATTCGATGTTTTCTGAACATAGTTGTTTTAACGGACGCTAATGTATTGAGTGATTTAGTACATTTAAAAGTTATTTACATGCATTAACATAATTTTTTAATATTTGTTTTTCAATTGTAAAGTTCTTAAAATTATTGGGTAGGTCCGGCCTCTCCTGCCTACCCCCAAAAGCTGCCACTGCGCATACGCAGAAGGTTGCACGCTATCAAATTCCTCGATAATTCCTCAAAGATCTATAGTTTGAGCCATCCAGGACCTTGCGGATGTTGAGTTTGCAGCGCTTAAGTGATCAGCGAATAGTTACAACGAAAATGACATACAATCTTCACTTAGCAAGTTGAAAATACATCTTTTATTTGTGGATCTCACAAAAGCAAATGACACGATTCCTATGAGAAAGCTGTGGCAGTCTCTTGAACGATCTTCATTAAATAGCACGATCATCGCCGCAGTCAAACAATTATACAATAAAGCATCATCAAAAATCAAACTAAACAACACCTTATCAGAAGAATTTCCAGCAACAAAAGACTTACGACAAGGATGCTGCCTCTCTCCAATACTATTTAAGATCTATTTAAATGAAGCACTAAAACACTGGAGAAGATCCTGTTCAGGAATGGGGATCCAACTTGACGACGATACAACATTATACACTCTACATTTTGCAGACGACCAAGTAGTAGTGGCAGCAGACAGGGAAGATTTAGAATTCATGACGAGACGGTTGTTTAAAACATTTGAAGAATGGGGCCTCTCTGTAAATAGAAACAAAACGCAATACTTATGCATCGGGAATGAAGTAGAAGATCTAATGGTCAACGAACATGAAACAATCAAGAACTGTGAGGAATATATATATTTGGGAACAACAATCAACAAGAGTGGGCGCACCGAAAAAGAGATAGAGCAAAGAATCTTGAAAGGAAAAAAGGTGATAGGATGCTTAAACCCGACGCTATGGTCCAAAGAACTATCAAATCAAAGAAAGCATCTCCTCTTTAACTCCATCTTTAAAAGTATAGTGCTCTATGGATGCGAAACATGCCAACTTACTAAATCCCTTGAGCGACGCCTACTTGCATTGGAAATGGACTTCTGGAGAAGATCAGCCAGAAAATCAAGGCTTGATAGAATTCAAAATGACCATATCAGAAATATAATGGTAGTCAAGTCAACCATCACTGACGAAATTCAAAGGAGATAACTGATCTGGTATGGTCATGTGAAGAGAATGGACGACGACAGGCTGCCAAACCAAATTTTAAAATGGACGCCAAGGGAAAGAAGGAAGAGAGGAAGGCCAAAACAATCCTGGCTGGGCGGCATTCAGAAGGCAATGTCGGAAAGAAACCTTCACCCTGGCGAATGGAATGACCGACGCAGCTGGAAACTGGGAACCGCAAGGCGGAGAACGCTATAAAAAACCGGGATAATAAATAAGTTGAACAGCAAAATGCAAGTACCAAACGCGATTAGATAGTTTAGAATTGCTGTATCAGATTAATCCAATCAATTGAAAATTTCAAATTTCGCAAGAATTCATTAAATATTTTTGTCGAGCACACTTATAAAAGCCTAAAATTACTATCTAACGTACTATCTAGAGTACTATCTAACAATATTCTGTCATTGAAATCTAAAAATTGTCTTCAGTTTTTAAAATCCAAAAATGTTTTTTTCACATTTATTTGCGTGTTGATTTCAGCATATTGTGCAATTTTATTTTATGATACCATAAAAAATTTCATTTAATTATTTTATTAATAAAAAAAGTTATTGTTTCCGATTCTAACAACGTATCTAATAAATTAAATTAAAAATTGCGAAAGCCTCAAAAAGCAATAATACATCTCGTTATTTATAACTACAGGACGTCCCTGATTGTATTCTTCTTTTTTCTCTTTCTACTTTGCTATGTTACTCTATCCGTTATTAATTCCATACCAAACGTCTTTAATGTTGCCT